TATGTCACCGTAAGTTACTTCCAGGTCTTTTAAAAATACTTCAAACTGCCGTGGTTGAGACCTTGCTTTCTGCAGAAATTGACACATGTTATTACTACGAGCCCCTTCCCACTTCAGTTGGCCCACTTCAAGATTTGTACCAAAATATGCCTTTATAAACTAAACATGACGAAACTATTTACTTCTAAAACAATTTATTTTCTCAAAAACATTTTAGATACACTCTAGTCGTAAAAAATACATATTTGAAATCACTTAGACCTATAACTAATAGAACATCTGAACAAATAAACAATGTGCGAATAAATGCGCGAAGTTATCAAAGCAACAATTTAAAGATTACCATTGGATAACATCACCTTTATTTTTTATTAAGGCTGAAATTCTTTGGGACATAGTGTTAACCAAGTTTTGGCAAAAATTTGGTGTAAAACAATCCCATATTTCTTGAAGCTTTTGTCTCAGTTCGGTAATTGTACGAGCAGGATGTTGCCGTAGGACCTTTTTCATCTCGTGCCACAAAGTTTCAATAGGTGACAGATCTGGACTGCTAGAAACCCATTTCAAAAGTGGTACATTATTTTCTTCCATTCATTTTATAGCCTGTTTTGAGGTATGGCACGCTGCACCATCTTGCTGAAACACAAAATCTTGGCCGGATGTCAAACATTCTTCCACCACTGGTAAAAGCGACTCTTCTAAAATTGCCAAATATTTGTTTGTATCCACATTTCCATCCATAAAATGAAGTTTTCCTACTCGTTGTGCATCTTTAGGGTTTTTACTTCACTTTTTTATAAGAAAACTTACATTGCAAGTGCTAAATCCCAGTTTGTGGGCATCTCTATGAGTTGTGGACCTCGAAATTCTCCTTCCAACAGCGTCACTCCACAGAGCACTTAATTGTAAATAATTGGCACGCCTGTTTTTCACGATTATTCTTAATGCTCTTCGGTCGGCATTTGTGATATTATTTTTTTTTTCGCAAATCGTGGCATAATATTAACTGAACCAGTTACGTTATATCTTCTAAAAATATTTCTCACACTGTACCGCGATAAGTCTAACAAAGTTACAATTTCTGAGTTTGATTTCCCAGAATTAAAAAATTTAATTATCTGTAACCGAATTTTCTCACTAATAACCTTGCCTCTACCCATTTTGAAAACCTTAACTACCCAAAACTATTTTAAACGTATTCTGACAGCTGTGATTAATAAAAACAATTGTCATGGCTTTTATTTTTCACAGCCATCTATGCGTTATAGACTTATTTTGCATTGAAATGAAAATAGGTTGATATGCTGTAATTGCAACATTTTTATGCTGCAAATTTGATTAGGGAGTGATAAAGTTGGTGTTTTCTACTATATATTATCAAAATATTCATTGTTAATATTTTAAACCTATAACACCCTGCTACATTTTTTTTATGTGTTAGATAAGAAAAAAACTCCCACTTTTGGCGATTTTCCAAGCAACAATATAACTTGCATAACGACACCATTAATAATAATCAACTACGACCAAATTAATATACTAAGTGACATATAAATCCGAACACCCAGTTTAAAGGGTTTTATTTTAATAAAATTTTGTATAAGTACTTAATGAAGCATAATAAGTAAGTGGTAAAAATTTCAAAATGATTGCACTGCTTTAAAGACCTTTGACCTTTAATAATGTGTGGATGCACCCTGATGTGCTACGCATTCTCCAACGCGCCTAGGCATGCTTCTGATCAGGTGGTCAATGTCCTCCTGTGGTATCTCATTCCAGGCAACCACCAACTCCTCTCGAAGTGCTTCTAGAGTCTGAGGAGGACCTTGCAAATTGAGCAATCTCCTACCCATCATATCCCACACGTGCTCAATTGGGGATAAGTCGGGAGATCTTGGTGGCCATGGTAACAATGTGACATCATGTTGAAAGAAGTCTATTGTGACTCTTGCAACATGTGGTCGGGCATTATCTTGTTGGAAAGTTGGATCTGCCAGGGTGTCAAGATAGGGTAAAAGATGGGGTTCTAGAACTAAAGGATGTCAAGAACCAAAATCCGCCAACGTTGATTCTTTACTGCGGCTGAAATATTCATTTTTAGAGCGTTAGTGAATTAAAAAAAACAGTATAAAACCGGAATGTCCAACTGATAAGGCTGAACATTTTTTCACTTGTTATTTACAGTAAGATAAATACATTCACCAACTTTTATTAAAATAAAACCATTTAAACTGGGTGTTCGGATTTATATGTCACTTAGTATAATTACCTCTTCAGAACTTAGAAGGGCTGGCCTCAATACCGTGTGACAAATTAAACATTTTGCTTTTCCATCAGTATTTACAAAAAATAGGCTTCTTCCATACAGGATTGAATGACATCGTTTAAAAAAATGCACGTTAAGACGCTAAAAAACCTATCCACATTGTCTTGTCCTATTAAGAAATGGCCTGCGCCCGAGAGACAGCACCGGTGCCGCTGGATTCAGCACCGGAGCGCACCAGCACCAAGTGCTCGAGTTGGAGAGGCCTGTATTAGAGGAAGGGTGGCCAAGTTTTAATTAACCATTTGGATCAAATTGAAAATCTTGAGATAACTGGGTAAGCTACCAAATTATCACCTTTATTACATGAGGAATGTTTTAGAGGTCAAAAAAGATATCTTCCTACTTTAACAGCTCTCCATCGCGACTGCGCCAGCAGCCGTAGCTGAAACAATGTAAAATATATATGGCGACTAGTGATGTTCCCATCAAACTGATGTCACGTCTGAAGCTGCAATATTTGCCAATAGGATAGTTTAGCTAGGTTGCCTGGTGTGCCGGAGAGAGATGGTCCTAAGGGCCAGAACACAATCATCCGCTCTGAAAACCCTGGCGGGTCACATTACACGTCTGGTGAATCTCAGAGCAGCAGCAAGAAAGAAGCTGGTTATTGATTTAGAACTAGGGAATAATTTTTGGCATATCCTCTGCTTCTCCTGTGAACAAAACCCTGATAAGATAGGCAGGCGCAGGTGTACTACGTATCTTGAAAAGTGACTATGTCGTTTTTTGTCATTATATGGATTTTTAGTGACATTATGTAGGATTTTCTACAATATGTCAACTTTTAGCACTAGCTGTTGTACACTTGATGTTGGCTCGTTCCGTAGCTGTACGTGTTGCCTGAACGTCACGATACTTCGGTTATCAATGTTTGCCTCTGATGTGATGTAACATGTGCTTCAGAGATAGAATTATTCGTGGTCTAAGCTGTAAGTTGTATACTATAGCTGGCAGGGTTCGGTGCTTAATGAGGATTTGTGTTGATGATAATTCCTTTGGTTTCTTGCTACTCAACCACACATCTTCTCAGACTATACAGACTATGTTGCCATTCTGCAACTACCAGAGCATGAAGGTCACCGACTTGCAACTTTCAGCATGATCATTGAGCGTGTCGTGTCGTTGAGTCATTCCTCTATGATGACGCTCACTGTGCTCATAGCGAGCAGACGCGGAATGTACTATTTGCACACTAGGAACAATCTAGGCAGCGAGTTGACATTTTGTTGTTTTTTTTACGTTTTGTATGCTTTTTACGTAATGAGCCTGCCTGACCCTGCCGGTCTAGAGTACTGTTTGTCTCGCTTCGACGGGCTCCCCTCTACCAATATGCTAACAAACTTTGCTCCAAGATAGAGTTCACGTAATCGCTTAGCAACAGGTGGGCAAAACCGCGCTCATTGGGGTGAATTCAATATATCGATCGGTTGGTCCGCCGTTCCTATGCCAGACGCCAGCTACATAACCAGTACAGGGATACATTGTCACATCGTGTTTACAGTACCTACAGACACTGCAGATTACCGCAAATGGTTCTCAGTACGATCTCTTGTTTGTTTAATGTTGTCTGACTGCCGGTGCCTTTGATTCTGGTGTCACCAACTACGACAACTATCCGATCAATTACCATAAAAACTCCCGGGACACCTAGTGTAAATAACGAATACGTACTCCCAATATACTTTGAAAAGCAAAAAACAACTCATACTGGAGATACCGTGCGAATATGTGAGTTCCCAAAACTTTTGAAGAGCGGGTGAAAGAAAATTTTCGCTTGATATAATAATTCTTAAAAATCCTACCAGACAGGTTTTTTCATTTACAAAAGATGTCTTCTGATATGTATTTATCTACATGCTATATTAAATAATACAACTTTTCCCTTAGGATCCCTTGAAAAAAATAGCTCTGAAAGAAACAAAGACACGTTATTGCTTGACCATGTGTCGCAGTGACAGTATGAGAAATCCTACCAAACCCAACGTATCGGATTTTTTTACAGGCTTTCATCTCTGGTTTCAACTTTCGAGTATCAAAAACGAAAATATTTAAGCTTCACACGGTAATATACAAATACACGGATGTCAATCAAAATAACGCGCATTTAATCGATTTGAGATTATCAATAATTTGAGTTTCAAACTGACAATTAGCGAAATTTAGGATGAAAGAACAAGTAATGACAGAAAAAATGGGATATTAGTGAGAATGAAAGGGAAGTATATGAGGTATGCGAAGAGGTTGGAGAAAGCAGGATGCACCTAACCTTTAGTGCTTGCCAGCTTGTCGTCGGACATGGTAATTTTCCGGCCTTTTTACATAGATTAGAATGCGTACCCAAATGAGTATGAAAGAGGAATTGAAAGTTCAAAACATGTATGATTGCGGTAAGGGTAAATGAGAGGGGGAAAGTGATTAGTTGTTGAAGCCTGAGGCTACAACTTAGAGCGAATGGTAAAATTAACAGTTACTCAGTAGATATTTGGAACGTGTGGACAGGAATGATAGTCTGAATGGGCGACTCAGTACTCTGCTACAAGGACATATCTTTCTCTTTGTGTGTGTTCATCTTTTTTTATTTATACTTGTTTTATATTATATGTATGTATTTGCATATAAGCCACTGTATACAGGATCTCCATCGCAGCTGCTTTGGTATGAAAAATTACGCAGATGTACCTTCATCACTATTTATTGTTAAAATATAAAATTACAAATAGTACTGAATAAAAACTGAACGAAACACAAGTGGTATTATTTCAAATATCTACGTGAATTTCGCAGAAACTGCTTCACTTGTCATCCTTGTCAAAAGAAAAAGAATAAAATCATACAATTACAATCCTGACATCAGAGATTGCAATTTTATCTGGAGGACAAGCAATTTGACACCAAATCAAAATAAAACAGAATTACAATTTTCAGAAAGCATATAATCCAATATTAAATCACCCTTCAAATCGAATTTGTATCAGAAAAAATAGTCTTCATTTTTAAATGCTCTTTTCCTAGTTCACAGAAATTATAATCTGGAAAACGCTACTAAATATTGGTATTGCAAATATTCACTAACACACGTGATCTATAAAATCTAATAAATATACATATATCATTTATATAAAATCTTCGAGAAACAGGATGTTTAAGCTAAGTCGCCGGATTTCCTAAACATTGCTCTACTCGACATCTTTAAATCATTTGTAAACCAGAGGGGATCTTATTCTGTGGGAGCCTAATTTGCCCTGACAGCTGGGAGTGATGCTAGATATCAAATAGGCATAAAAAAACGAAAATGGGTAGACTGGTGCATTTCTAAAGTAAAGTTGTGAAATGAACTCTGTCTTCTTCCTTGATACATTTCTTGTTAGAGTTCAGGATGCCGCTAGTGGAAGGGCGAGTATACCTGAATCGGTCAGTGCAAAACCACTCTAGTAAGATTTTTCAAATGTAGGCTAAATATTTTAAATAGATGTACATATAGATAGTATAAAAAGGAAAAAATTACCCATATAGCGTTTTTTTTTGTTGTTGAAAAAATACATTATCTTACAATCAATTACCGAATTCAAGAAAGTTGAAGTAATTAATCTATGTATTTTTTCACGATGGTCGACTCAAGGTTTGGGTGTTAAACGGGAAATTCGACTTACGTACCTTAAAATATTAAAAATTGTAAAATTAAAACGTGGCATGTTAAGTCAATATTTAAGTGTAATTTTGAATAACCCTATCTCTTACATAAGTCCATATCAGTTTTGTGGCCTATACCTTTATTATTAATAATAAACTAAAGGTTAATCAAAATATCAATCATGTAGAACTCAAATGCTACATTAAGCCCAAAAGTACCTTAACCCTTTAACGCTCTTTGGGGTACTATTTTCCCACCGGGTCTCTTAAGTCGCAGTGGGACAGTATCTTCCCACTTACCATATGATTTGAATTGCGCGCGCCTCCACTTGTTGTCCGCAATCTGGCGTCCCCCCCCCTTGGTAGTTCCTACAAGGTGCTGTCTACAGAGTGGTGCTAAAGTGGGACGATAATATCCAGTGTGCGTAGGAAACATACAAAGCAGTGAACACCTGTCAGGCTGTTATTGTTTCCGTTTGAAGTTAGCTGGAATAAAGGTATGTATCTAAATATACTAGTACTGCTGCGTCTGTTGGCGTTTTATTTTGTGATGATTTTTGGAAAAGATAGCGTATATAAGCTTTTACTGATTGTGTCATTGCCCTTCGGCTACCCTTCTGCCAAAATGACAAATTATTTCTTGACTTACCCAAGGTGCTTATTCTAATCGCATATAGCTACAGATTGTCTAAGGGGTCTAACTAATGATGATTTGCCATTGTAATCGAATGCGGTGTGTGCACACAGATGTTATACTCTGTGAAATGTGGCATTATAACCTAACAAGTCATGGTTTTGTTTACATTTTCAGAAATGCGACTTCTACCATCAAGTTTAGCTTGTTATCGTTATTTATAATTTTATTTTAACTATCACGCATTTATTTTCGTTTTTCAGGACAGTAATTATGTCAAGAAGACGTCTAAGCGATACTGAAATAGCCAGATTTCTAGGAGAAAGCACAGATGATCAAGCTGAGGATTCGGAGCTGGATGGTGATTCTGACGCAGATTTTTTTACAACCACTGAATGATAGCAGTGAATCTGGCTTGCGAGGTACATTACGTCCCATAAAACGAGGGTTCAAAGTATAGGTTATGGTGTGTTCAGTTACCGGTTTCGTAATATACTTCCAGGTATATACAGGTCGCTCTACGGAAACAACCGATCTTGGGCTCGGAGAGAGGATTGTTCTCGAATTATCTACGATGCTGGGTGGATTAGGCTACTGTCTATTTTTTGACATTTTTTTTCGAGCTTACCGCTGTTGAAGCTTCTACTAAACGAGCGTCTCTTTGCGTGCGATACCTTTAGGATAAACCGAAAATTCTACCCAAAAAATGAACTGAAATCCGACGACGACTGGGGATAGCGATTTTGTTCAATCGGGGGACATAAGCATTGCAAAGTGGCGAGATCGCGGCAAAAAGTCGGTTGTCGTTGTCAGCTCTATGCACAACCCTAGTAAGCAGAGATCAGTTCTTCGAACAAACAAGCGCGGTGAGAGGGAATCAGTGAATTGTCCCGAGTCTATCGTTGACTACAACACCTTCATGGGTGGAGTTGACAAATTCGTTCAGCTTATGTCGTCTTACTCGATTGCCCAGAAATCTCGTCGGTGGTGGTTGAAACTATTTGATTATTTCATCGATACGGCGATAGTAAATAGTTACGTCATGTACAAGGACTCTGCCAAAAAACAGCGTCGCCGTTATTTGTCTCACCTCGAGTTTCGCTCTCAATTGATCAACGAAATGATCGGTAATTTCTGCAGCAGAAAACGCAAGGGCTATAGACCCGGAGCGGGAGTAGGCAGAGAAACATCAACCAGATGGTTACCCAAAATGCAATTCGTTTCTTAAACGTCGGAGACCATATGCCCAAGCAGCAAGAGAAATATCGTAGATGCGCGCACTGCAGTACGAAGGCGAAAGAAAAGAGAAGCAACATGATTTGTACTGCTTGCAATGTGGCATTGTGCAAAGCATGTTTTGAACCTTTTCATTCTTCCAATGCATTTTAGTCGTGGTATTTAATATTCTGTTTTGTAAGGATAGACCTTTGTTTAGAAAAAATTATATACAATTTCGTGAAATAAAGTATTTTTTACTTTTTAATTTTACATGCGTTCAGCGACAAATTAGGGAGTGGGAAAATAATCACCCACTGCCCGCAGCCAGATGTTCGTTTCCCTACATGGGCAGTGGGATACTATTTTCCCGCCCCTAAAACAGAACTTTTCCGCAAGATATTTTTTTGTGATTTTTCTGAGTGAAGGGTACATTAGGGAGGCAAAAGCCCGATTTTTTCGAAGTTTTGAAGTTTTACGGTTTACTGGGCGTTAAAGGGTTAAAGGTGGTTTATTTGTCAGCGACCCAGTTTTTATCATCTGAAAAATTCCAATAAGGAGTTTTTGCACTGACCAATCCACACACATTCTACCCGTTTTTAGATGACAATTCTGTGTATTCCAGAAAGTCAGTAAATCGGAAACACATGTTTAGGAATTAATTTAATCAGTACATGGAGTATGATTTCAAAAATCATCATCGACTCAGAATCGACCAAAACTCAAACTCAAAAAGGCAATGAAACATCTTTGTGACAAACTCTTTAAATACAAGTATGAATTATAAATAATTAGAACTAAAGAAGAGATAAGTTTGTCAATCTAAACTAGTATGCGTGGTAAAAGTGGTGGAGACAATTATTGTATTGTTATCGGTTTATCACCATTTATCTCAAGTATTTACCTTTCTAACCCATTGTCGATGATTTCCTGACTAAAGCTTAATTTATGAGGCCGTAGGGCGTCAATATACGAGCTGCCAACTACTGTCAACTTAAGTCAAAAGTGAAGATCACTGTAAGGCCACACAATGCATTCAAATGAGAACACCGATTTAGATTTCAAGGTCGTTTCAAAGACAACACCAACAAAAATAACTTAGGGTTTCAAAATGAGCAACTGGTATGGATTTTCAAGATGTCAATTTTCGCTTTTTATACCTATGATACAACAATTTTCAAGGGAATTGAGCGAGCTTGCTATTAGCTCTTTTGTCACTTTTAGATCTAAGAATGATCAGTATGAACTTTATCTTCGTTGTCCCTTACAGCTGATGCTTGGAACAACGCAAAAGCACTCTTGAAACGTTGATTTGGTCGAACACCTCCATGGACTGGCTTATGCAGGCTGGAAGACTTCTCTTCATCCAATATGCTTCGGTCTGGGGTGACAATTTCGTGTTTCTAAAAGTGGATTCAGATATTAATGATACAAAAAATTGAACTTAATACACTTTAGCTAGACAGATACCAGTAGGAAGGTTCACTTTTTGATTTAAGAAAAAAAATACAAACTTAATGAAAAGAAAATATTTATTACTTTCAACATATTCATAAATTCGGCGGATTTTATTTCTTAAATATCATTCCGTCGAAATTTTTGCCGTCCCTTCGGACACACTCTTCTAATCGCGCACGCAAATTCCGAAACACTCTCTTGCAGAGTTCCGGAGTGATGTGATTTATTTCTCGTCGAATGTTGTGTTTAAGCTCCTCCAGTGTTCGTGGATTATTGGGGGAGGCCAGTGAATGTCTCCAAACTTGGATATAACTTTTTGAGGAAAAAGTACTTTCACTGTGTCCATCGATTCTCTGGGAGTATGGGCAGTGGCCCCATCATGTTGAAATCATGTGTTTCTTTTAAATCGACGTTCTGTTTTTACAATAGGAGCAAAAAAAGTGTCCATCATGTCCTTGTATCTCGAAATTGACTATCAATGCATGTCCGTTTTCATCTTCAAAGAATTACGGCCCAATAATACCGCTAGAGGATATGGCGCAACAACACCTTTGAACTATGTAGCAGTTGTTGATGTTTCTCTTTTGAGTTCGTTGGTGCCCAGTATCTGCAATCTTGTTTGTTCATATAACCGTCTAAGTGAAAATGGGCCTCGTAACTGAAAACTTCGTTCTCGAGTCTGCGGGTCGTAGGAAAAAGATTCAACATCCGTTCAGCACAAAATTCCCGTAATACGTCATCACTTTCCTTTAAAGCATGGACTGATTGGATTTTAAGCATGAAAACCCATTTTTTTTCTTCATTGCGCCATGCAGTGTTGACCAAGCGATTTCCAAAGCTGCGGAATGCTTCCGTACAGAACGCCGAGAATTTGCAATGACCGAATCACTTGCTCGACGCACATTTTTTTCAGTTGATACAGTAGATCTGGAGCCAGGAATGAGTTGACTAAGAGTGGAGCCTGTTTCGCGGAACCTCTTAATCCACTTTTTCAATAGGTTTTTACTTGGGGCATCTCTTGGTCGGCGAATGTTGTATCGTGTACAACATTTCCGAAGGGCAGCTGCGTATGAATTACCACTCTTAAAGTAAGCCTCGATAGCAGAAGCTCGTTGCGCTCCGGTCCAACGTTCCATTGTGATTATTTAACCCGCACGCCGGAAGAGTCGATCAAGACCTCTCCCTAATTCCTCGCGTATACGGTTGCCTCTTAAGTCAAATTTGAAATGTGAACTTTCTCACTGGACATCCTGTATAACTTCTGAATATGCGGTTGTCTCGCTGATCGATCTCCATATCAAACCACAGATGGCATCATGGTGGCGAAGTGGTGGACGCTATGGGTCTACTAACTCAGTCGCCATGAGTTGACAGGGCTCATTTGTTTTTGCTATAAGTATAGGGCACATTCAGGGAACTACAGGCATCAAATGTCTCCTTTCACTACTTTGCAACCTCTAGCTACAGCCTATTTTACGAGTATCCATTACGTTTTGACGTCTACTGAGATGAAAAGCTGATAAGCAAGTGACATCTTTGTATCAATCTGTAACGTGGGAAATAATGAATCGGGTGTAAACCTGGTGAGACTCAGGACCGTATTCAGAGCTGTTGTTCACATATATAGATACTTTTAGTGAGTGGGAAAATTGAAAATAAAATATCCGAAGTACACATTAGAAACTGATTATAGTACATCTAGGATCTATTGATTACAAGGTAAGTCAATAGAACCTACTGCATTGTCCTTTCCAGCAGCTGTAATGTTACTTATAAAAGTAATACAGACACGCGCTCTTGGTTAAATGTCCGGAAACGTGGCTATCAAAAGATATATCTAATGACCATATAAGAATGAATGGATACAACTGCTATCGCTGTGATAGAGATGGGCGAGGTGGTGGGGTTGCAGTCTTTGTAAACAACCACTACAACTCTTCCATAATTTCATTTGGGCAAGACCCAAGTCTTGAATATATATGGTTGAAGGTGCAGCTTCCAAAACAAAAAATTGCTATTGGTATATTCTATCGGCCCCCACATAGCTCTGTTACAGAAGCCGGTAATACCTTTGATAACATGTTGCCTGCCATATTAGCTGAATATGATGGTATCATCCTTGCAGGGGATATCAATGTTAATTTGCTTTTAGTTTGTAACAACTTGACTAAATGCCTTGATTCTTATAATCTGAAACAGGTGATATCTGAACCGACTAGAATAACTGAATCGACACTCACTCTCTTAGATCCTATTTATTTGAGCAAGCCTGAAAGTTGTCTTAGGAGTGGCACTATTAATGCTGATATGATTACTGATCACTATTTAACCTTCTGTGATATACGTATTGCACTTCCTAAAAATCAACAGAAATTTGTTACATTCAGGGATTTCCATAGTTTAAATGAACAAGATCTCAAGAGTTTTCCATGGTGGCATATTATATCGATAGATGACATTGAAGATAAAATTTACTTTTTAACAGATAGTATTTTATGCTTATTTAATGTTCACTGTCCAAAAAAGGTAGTGCGTGTAAACAAAGCTCCAGCTCCTTGGTTGGATGATAATATTAAACTTGTATTCAGGCAGAGGGCTGAAGCTTTGTCAAAGTTCAAACGTGATCGTACAGCCGCCTCTTGGCAACAGTATACATATTTCAGAAATCGTGCATTAACGCTCGTGCGAAGAGGAAAAAGAGATTATTTACAAGCTGTTCAAAATCAGGATATAAAAAAGTTTTATAAGACCCTAAAGACTTTCAAAGTACAATCTCAGAAAGATTCTACAATTCCCGTGAGCTTGTCCGATCGGTATAAAATAAATGAGGCATTTATTTCAATTTTCGAGAATAGTGATTTGGCTTGTGCTAATAAAATTGCATATTACCGAGCTAATAAAAATAACTCAAAATTCAAATTTCAATTTAATAAAGTGACTATTGACACCGTTGTTAAAATTATACATAAAATAAAATCAAATTCTAGTGGTACAGATGAAATAACTTTGCATATGATACTACTATGTATACCTGAAATTGATGTCTACTTAACGCATATTATAAACTGCTGTTTAGAGAGGGGATATTTCCCCAATCAGTGGAAACGCGCTATAGTTATTCCGCTACCTAAGTGTTCTGATCCTACTAACTATGGTCAACTGAGACCGATCAGTCTACTGCCAATTTTCTCTAAAGTAATGGAACGCGTTGTTTACGAGCAGCTATGCGCCTACTTATATTCTAACAAAATTATTCCATCTAAACAATCTGGATTTCGACAAGGTCATAATACAGCTTCGGCACTCTGTGATTTAACAGACAATATAACAATGGCACTTGATAACCAAAAAGCAGTAGCTCTCATACTTCTTGACTTTACTAAAGCATTTGACACCATTAATCACTCGCTTCTTGTATCTAAATGCAGTTACTATGGATTTTCTGAAAAACCTCTTTCGTTTATTCAAACCTACCTTGAAAATCGGTATCAAAAAGTTCGTCTAAATCAACAGTACTCTACGGAACAAAAAATTTGTTCTGGTGTACCACAGGGATCAGTCTTAGGACTGCTATTATTTTCATTATATATCTCAGATTTAGAAACAGAGGTAAAATCATGCAGCATACAATTTTTTACAGATGATACTCAAATTTTCTATTCATTTAGGAGTAATGACTTAGAAACCGCAAATAATAAAATTAATCAAGATCTTGCCCAAATTGAAAAGTTCAGTAGTAGTCATAATCTTCGTTTGAACCCTTTGAAGACAAATATGTTGGTATACGCAAATAGAACAAAAAAGAATACATAACATACATTTAAAAGGTAATAAATTAATTCCTGTGGATCATTCTAAAAACCTAGGTATTATAATGGATGATGACTTAAAATTTGTTGCACACGTGAACTATCTAATTACGCAGTGCTACGCTATTCTCAGAGTTTTATTTGCAAATAAGGCTATATTACATAAATCTGCGAGAAAGCAATTGTGTGAATATTTCGTATTTTCAAAGATATCGTATTGCTTAGTGGTTTACTATCCCTATTTAGATATTATAACAAGAAATCGTATTCAAAGTATTATGAATACATGTTGCAGGCTTGTAAATGATCTCAGAAAATACGATCATATATCGAATGCCATTAATGAACTCAAATGGATGAAAATTGATAAAGTGTATAAGTACCAGCTCCTAAATCTGACTCATAAGGTTCTTTATTCAAAAACACCGTCATATTTAGTAAACAAATTCATACGTAGAGGGAATATGCATCGTATTAATATTAGATATAGAGAAACTTTTTCAATTCCACGCCACAGCACGTCTCTATTTCAGAATTCATACATTTACAATGCGATCAAATCATATAATTCTTTAGACCGCAGTTTAAAAGAAACCAATCCATTATCCAAATTCAAGAAAAAAGTGAAAGTTCTTCTTGATCAGCAGCGAAATCGCTTGTAACCCATAAGTGTCCTCATATTTTCCTTATGTATTTACTTGGATTATTCGTTACTGTATACAGGTGCCTATTAATTTTCAATAAATTCTTTTTTTTTTTTTTCTTTTTTACATCTCGAATTGTTAGGGAGGTTAGATGGTAGAATAGATATATAATCTAAATCTCGCCTCCTGTAAGAATATTACAAATAAAAGACGTTAATTAATTATTATTATTATTATTATCAGTGCAACGCAATTCAAAAAGTATGCACAGCACCTCTCATTCAAACTAATAACGAATACAGCTTGATTAAAACGCCAATGATTTTAAAAAATGATCTTGCACGATCCACTAACCTGCAAATTGTCATATAGTAATTTCAACGTATGTAATTGTGGAACCTGTATAACATTACACTCAACCCCACTACGGTAGTCACTATAACAACTATCTGCACTGTCTTTTCCATCAGATCCAACCAGATGTATAATGAATGGGTTATGATTTTCAATATAAGCCTTTGGAGCTCCCGGTCTGCCAAGATGAGTTTCACTATTCGTCATTTGTTTGGGCGGTCCGTAGGACCTTTGCACATTAGTCACTGTCTAATGTATGCTACGTTAGTTGAATCTGTCCAGTCCTGATTGCCCAGAGACCAGAAAATGTCAAGGAAAAAGAGAAAGGGAAATAAAAGGAAAAAAGATAAGAGCAAAGAAAAACAGAAGTGTTTCAGTTTAAGAGGAATTTACTAAAACTTCGCGCTAATTTTTTATCACAGTGCGAGCCGTGGCCTTGAATGTTTTCGAACTTGCAGCACTATGTTGCTGTGCGATTCCGCCTGACTATAACGTCGCTGCGCCTGGAGCTTGACTTAATACCTCAAGTAGGGAATGTCAAGGTCTCTGTGTAGGGTCCCATTTGAGACATACCATGGAGCGTTGCAAATTGTTCATAAAAACCTGCTTTGCAGTACTTGTAAGACTTTGCGTGTGTGTCTTGGCAAGAAAACACCAAGCCGCACATGCGTACGTAATGGCTGGTCTAATAATCATTTTATATAGTCGAGCTTTGTTTAGCAAACTTAATTTGGAGGATCTACATAACAAAGGATATAGCTGCCGAACCGCAATTTGGAATTTTGTTTTTAGTGTGTCTGTATGTTCCAGCCAGATCATGCTTTATCAAGGGTAACACCGATATACTTGGAAGAATTTTTCCATGATATACGATTTCCGTCTACCGAAACCTCGGCCGCGACGTTTTTTGGCACAATAAATAGCCACTTAGTGCATCAACTGCTATTGAGAGATATGGTGTTTCAAGTTCTAAAGAGTATAGATGATTAACATAGTCAAAAACTGTTTATTTTATTCCTACCTGACTTGAAATGTAGTCATGATCATTAGCAGCCATTTTGCCTTTAGGGGTTTTTCGTATGCAAACGAAGATCCGTCAGAATTGTGTCACTTGTGGATATGAGGAATTTAGATAACCAGCTGTTATTCTACCGTAATGGATACTCGTGAAAAAACAGTGCTAGCACTAAAGGTGTTCTGTTTATGTTTGAGAAATATAAGAAATAGAACCTCGACAAGTGAATGCTCAATTTACATAACTTACACAATTTTTATTAAACTTACCTTAACTTTGTGTTCGAACAAGGCACTGAGTGAAGTGAAAGTCTTGGCGCAAAAACTGCATTTTGTCGATCCTTTGGTGTTGGATGAGGTAGGTTTCTTAGCCGCTGTGCTACTTGCAACCGTCTTAGGGGTTTTAACAAACGACTTACGGACCTTGAATGATAATCTGCCCTTAGGCGACTGCGTTTTCTTTACGCAGTTGAAACGCACATGAGAATCCAGAAGAAGCCTGAAATGAAACATTATGATGAATTGTTTCCACTGTTGCATGACAAGGGTTAAAACGGGAATTGTATTTTCAACTGGTTCGCGTGTATTAAGCCAGATCTGGACAATTTTTGAAAACGAGGGAGTAGGGCATTACTATTATAGTTGTAGTCACCGTTCTTGGCAGATCAGAGTAAGACTACCAGTATCTTTTTATATATCTCTATCTCCCCCATACATACAGTGGTGGTCAAAATAATAAGAGTACACATATGGAATGTCAAGGCCATTCAGTTTTATCTGGTATCGGAAATTTTGTGGACAAAAAAATAAGAGTATGTTCAATGTTTTTGCTATTATAGTCAGTAGAATATTTCTATGCTTAGTATAAACTCTTTATTGAAGGTCCTTTCTTTGTAACATGGGTCGCGGTAAACATTGTACTGCAGAAGAACGGCGTTTAGTATTACAAATGCGTAGTCAAAACAAAACCTACGCATACATTTCGAATGTACTTAAAAGATCCCCTTGTGCGATAGCTAAAGTACTAAAAGAACAAAAACCTGCTGAGAAACAACCAGAAAGAAGAGGTCGTCCAAGAAAAACAAAGCCACGTTTGGATAAAAGGAAGTGAAGTTGTTAGAGATCCATTTTCTAATTCGTTCGTTATAAAAGGTCAGTTGGGCTTATCTATCAGCACTATAACAATAAGAAGACGTTTGCAAGAAATGAATCTTCGTGCCAGAGTTGTCAGAAGAGTTCCCCTTTTATCTAAAAAGCATATACTGCAACGAATGGAGTTTGCAAGGAATAATCTAAACGACACCTACAGTTGCAATTGAAAAAATATCCTTTTCAGCGATGAAACAAAAATAAATTTGTTTGGATCTGATGGTAGGATTTACGTAAGGAGATGTCCAAACATGGAACTGAATCCGCGCTACACAATAGAAACGGTTAAGCATGGTGGAGAAAATATCAAAATACGGGGTTGCTTTTCATATTCCGGCGTTGGACCTATTTTTTTGATGAAAGAAAATATGTCCAAGGAATTTTATTTACTAATCATGCAGAATGTTATGCTTATGCTGAGGAAAATATGTCACTAAGTTGGATCTACCAACAGGATAATGATCCTAAGCTACAGCAAAGGTAGTAAAACAGTGGTTCCAGTCGAAGAAAATTGAAGTTTTGCCGTGGCCTCCACAGTCTCCCGACATGAATCCGATAGAGAATTTTTGGAAGGAATTGAAGCATCCAATATCACACAAAAAGACAACAAACCAAAAGTTACTTTGGGAAGAAGTTAAAAAAACATGGTATTTAAAACCTCCGGAAACCTGCCACAAACTTATCGACTTAATGCCAAGCAGATGTGGTGCTGTCCTGAAGAACAAGGATTACACTATCAAGTACTAAAAATACTCCCTGCTGAAGTATCTCATTATTCCCGAAACAAGAATCCGAACCGACCCTACCTTTCTCCATGGCTGTCCATTAACAAAATGTATGCTTTGTATGTAGAAGAATGTTCAAACGAAAATATTGTCCCAGTATCTATCTATCTTTACATACAGGCAAATATTTGACAATGCTTTCAATTTTGGATTTGGTTCTCCAAAGACTGATACATGTACTGTTTGCGATGAAGGATCAAATGAGGAGCATGTTGCAAAGTATACGACAAGTATGGCTCTACAATCTACGAATACATTTGATATCATCACAGCAACGTAATGGTAAAGGTTTTTTCCACTTCTGGACCGAAGACCAAGGAAATCGCGGTCCTGAATTGATTGGCAGCTCACTCATGACCTTTTTGGAAAATTTCAAGGCCCAAGACATGGCTTCCGATCATCTGATTGCATGGTGCATGGAGTGATTCGGCAGGTGGCCAAAATAAAAAAGTTTATATTGTCTGTCTAGGCATTACCAAATAAACTCTGGAGTGTTCAAGAAAACTGAATTCCCTGAAGTAGGACATACCTTCATGGACTCTGATAGAAATTTTGCAGCTGTATGACAGCACAACTAATTTATATGGCGGATCAATATATTTCAATCATGGCAGAAGTCAGGAAAAAACACCTTTTAATATTACAAGAATGGCGGACAAATTTGTTGATATTAAAGAACTTCCAAGAAAACTTGGACTGGTCAATAGAAAAAACTAGTGAGAAATTTTCATTTCACTCTTTTAAAGAAACGGAAAATTGGACTTTGTTGATATGAGAAAACAGCGAAATCTTAATAGAAGAGTAGAAAATGAACCATTATTATTGAATGTCGATAGAAGCTGACCTATTGGAGAAAAAAAGGTTTGATAGTATTCAGGAACAAATTCCTTTCTAAGCAGCAAATTTTAGAGGCTTTTATCAAAATTTAAGAATAGGAGACGATTAGTTAAAATGTGTGGATTATTTGTTATTACTTTAGTGAGTTTGTAATAAGGAAAAAGAACAATGTTTATTTTTAATGGATAACATCATTGAATTAACACCTTTCTGCTATTTTAATTTTCTGGACCAAGTAAATAACAGTTTTTTAAAAAGGTGTCAAGTCAGAATTTCAACAACCTTTGTCAAATTTCTGATAATAAAAACAATTTTTTTAACAAAACCGTCTATTCGGCATACTTTTATATGTGTCTCCAATAACCTTCAATAATAAAAGCAGACAACACTATTCAATAAAAAATGTCAGGAATTAAACTTTGACGCCAATTATCTACAAACTATAAAATCTGAGTTAACACCTTTTTGAACCAAAATTGTTTAGGACAGCAAGCATTGAATGGCGTATTTCCAATTGGAAAAAATTGTTTTAAACTTTTATTTGCTTTTGTTAACGGCTAAATAAAAACCTTTTTTATTTTGTTCTTTGATTTATCCCATACAGCATGGGAACGAAAATTGTTTGTGAACAACATAACCCATTTCATTGCACCACAGCTATGGTTGATTAATGGAATTTGTAAATGCTCACCTGGAGGTAAACGTAGCTTTACAACTGTTGCATGCAATTTTTTTATGTGTTTTCTCGTGCAAGTTCAACATTCCTTGTGTGAGGCACACCCTGGGACAATCTTTGCACTTGAATGTCTCAGGATTCTTGCTATTTTTTTGTTTAGTAGTGTCCGCTGTTTCTGTCGGTTTTGTCGCAATTACCACTGGTTTCGGAATAACTGATTTTCTTGCAGTGGCAGTAGATGGTCTGGGGACAGCAAATGAAAAGCGAGAAGCTTTCGAAGAAGACGCTAAAGCCGAGGAAACTGAAAACATAATGATTTTAAATAGTGACTGCTAGGTTTGCAAATAATAAAACACTTCTGTTTCCAACTACAAGATTAACAGAACCAGAGTGTAAAACTTTCCACTTTTTATACTCCTAGGTCATAAAATATCCTACAACAAAAACTCGCAACAATTTTGAATACATTCATTACAGTGACAAATACAGTTCACTAAGAAATTAATGCACTAACATAATGCCAACAAAAACGTTTTTTCTTTTTTTAATTTGGAGCTAAGCCTTTTTTGAAACATTCCGTTTCTTGAACTTCAGATGATGCCGAAAATATTACGAGTAAAAAATAATGTATCATGCACGTATTAAGGAGCAAACTACATACGAACGTATGTCCTAAAAACTGAGATACAGGGTGGTAGTTTTGGCATACCTACATGTATTACGAGTCAAGAGGCATTTTTTAATGTACCACATTTTTTAAATTTTCAACCAGTGGCATGTCGTCAGTCTGCCCGCTAATTTATTGCCCATTTTTCGAACATCTGCGGGATTAATAGCAACATTGATGCTGTTCATCACTACCTGCAATCCAATCGTCCCGCCGTGCTTTTCTTGGTGGAGACAGAAATGTCAGAGTCTGCACCGATTAACCATCTTAATGACGAGTACTCTTGTCGCTCGAGATCAACAAAGCTTCTGGTCCGGACTTGATTTCTGCCATTGTACTGAAGAGGTGTGCAGCGGAGTTTGCTCCAGTTCTTTCGCATCTTTTCCAGATATCTTATGAATGCTGCACCTTCCCAGAAAACTGGAAATTTGCTCATGTCCAACCCATCCCAAAAAAATGATCTAAGACCGACCCTTACAACTACAGGCCTATAGCTCTGCTTTCTGTTATAAGTAAGGTGATGGAGAGACTTTATCTCGGGCCGCAAGATATCCGTCATAATTGACGGGTTCTCCTCTTCATCCCACAACGTCAACGCGGGTGTTCCCCAGGGATCGGTATTGGCTAAGAAGTACTTTTCTCCGCATGACCTTCTCACTCTATACAAGGCCCAGATAAGGCCTAGCCTCGCGAATTGCTCGCACGTTTGGGGTGCTGCCGCTCCGACTACATTATCCATGCTCGATGCTGTCCAGAGGAGGGCGGTCCGACTGATCGATGACTCTTCTGTAACAGATAGTCTCGGGACTCTTTCGCATCGGCGGGCCGTCGGCGATCTAGCTCTTTTCTACCGCTACACCAACGGGCTTTGCTCCTCAGAGCTCTCTTATATGAAGCCGCAGCGCGATGTGCCTGTCAGACAGACCCGCCTGACTTTGGCGTCCCATCCTAACCGTGTCGAACTTCGTACATCCAGAACTGGCCGATGCGACCGCTCCTTTGTCCAGAGGGTGTCGAGATTGTGGAGCAATCTACAAGAGGAAGCTTTTTCCAGTTCGACTAACCTTAGGCAGTTCAAAAATCGTATTAACAAAATTTCTTTGGGATCATCATAGCAGCCGCGGTGATCCGGCATTTAGGCTTCTGCCTGCGCGGCTGCTTCGATATAAAAAAAATCTATAACTTGGAAAGTACTGATCCGATTTGGATAAAATTTTTACTCAATGTTACGACTATGCCAAGGACGAAAGAGCTTTGTAGTTTTTGAATATCGATCCAGTGGAAGCGGGGAAAAAGACCCAAAACAAAGAGATAAAAATCGTCCTAACTTCGTTTTTTGACTTTTCATGGTATATTTCAATTTGTTGATATCATTATATTTATACGCTCCCAATCTCGATAATTATATGCACCTATTAGCGACATTTGACTTGATACCATTTTTTCCATCTGATGCACAGTTTTCGCTTGAAATAAATAAAAACCGTTTCTTTGAATGATCATAGCAACATCGTTATATATGACAATATCACCTTGTAGAGAAATAGATTTTATGTTTTAGGAGAAAACCATGAGTCTGAATAAGACCAAATCCTCTCATAAATGAATACACATTTCAATATTTTTTATTTCAAGAAAAGTATATTTAAAAACTTTACCACCCTGTATCTCAAAGAATCAGACGTTCAAGACATACGTTTATATGAAGTTTTCTTCTTAAAATGGACAGTAAAATTAATATTCAATTCTGAAGCACCCTGTATAACATCCCACGCAAACATCGTAAATGAACTTAGTAGAAAAGCATATTTGTTGAAAAAAAATTCGAAATCGTTCAATCGGTTTCAACAGTTATACATAGCAAAGAATGAAAAATCTTACCTGGTGCTAAAGACCTCCTTATCCCACTCATTGATGGCCTGGGTATGGACCTCATTGGGTTCACAGTCAAAGTAGTAGTATTTTTCATCAAATTCTGCTTAACATGCGACTTCTTATGAACGCTTAGTGAAGCAGCACAACCAAATTTTTTCAGGCAGACGTTGCACGTCATATTCGAACCATTTCCTTTGCAGTCGTGCCGATTTAATAGAACCGAGTTCTTGAAAGACTCTTGGCAATTGTCACATTTGAACTTGTACTCAGGTCGAGGAAACTTCAGTTCTTTCTTTCTAAGACTATTTTCTAAATTGTGATGTTGGATATGTGTGCTCAGACTATTCGGTGAAGGAAAGGATTTTGAGCAATGGGGGCAGTCGAATTCTTTTTTACCTGAAGAAAAAATACAGAATGACACCCCAGTCGTACAACTTGTTAAAAAAAAATTGTCTCAGATTTTGATACATATTCGAACGTAGAGTTTTGCGTTGTTTCATTCGTTGATATCGTTGATATAAAAAACAAAAGTTGACCTTGAAATAACCTCAAAGGTATGGTTCACGATAAAATCTAACGACACGATTGAGCTCTATATCCAAAGTCAGTATTGACCTGACCTTAACATTTTTCAAAAATACCTTGCCTGGAAACATACAAGCTATTCCGTTACACGCGGTCTATGAATGAACCATTTTAAATTATTATATCAATATTCTTACCGGAATCGCTTTCGGGTTCGGATTCGGTGCGACTCTTTTTTGATGGCGAGCTGTCGTCGGAAGGAATATAGGTATTTTTTGGAGATATGCTTCTGCACCGTTTCTCTCCCTCTCCGTCACCTCCTTGGTCATTATTTGTCTGTATAGCGTCATTATTTGTCTCTACAGCGTCATTTTTATCTATATCATCGTCTGAATTAATTTCTATAACTAAATTTTCAGTATCACATCCACTTTTATTAGCTTTGTTTTTACTTTTCGACACTGTATCATCGTCAGAATCCGATAGTTCCACAACTGAAGTAATCTAAAATTTTTAAATCCCTACTATTATAAATACGAAATTTTGTATGTATGGAGAAAAGGATAGTTATGGCTAACTAATTAAGAAATGCAAATCGGATGGCCAGAAAGAAAGTTTGTTCTGTGTTCATATCAAACTTTCGTAAATATTTATTTTCTTCTTCGGGAACTGTACAAAGATATTGAAGGCGACATCCAACCACATATTTCCTTTTTGTAGATCCTATGGGCTTGACGTACCACGGCAAATAGCTATAACCGACCGCATCGTTGAGGTTAGATATCGCCTTGAAAACTCGAGGTCTTTTGACGATTGGGACCAGTGGGAAAGGTCACATTTCAAATTTGAATTACGCGGCAAGTGGGGAAAAGTACGGCGTGCGGGATAAATAGTCACAATGGAACGTTGCACCGGAGCGCAAGGTCCTTTTGCTATCGAGGCTTACTTTAAGAGTGGTGATTCATTCGCAGCTGCCCTTCGGAAATTTTGTATACGATACAACATTCGCCGACCAAGAGATGCCCCAAGTAAGAACCTACTGAAAAAGTGGATTAAGAGGTTCCGTGAAACAGGCTTTACTCTTAGTCAACCCATGCCTGGACCCACAGCTATTGCAAATACTCGGCGTTCTGAAAGGAAGCTTCCACTGCATGGCATAATGAAGAAATAAAAGGGTTTTCATCCTTATAAAATCCCATCAGTCCATGCCTTAAAGGAAAGTGATTACGTATTACGGAGATCTTGTGCGGATGTTGAATCTTTTTCCTACGCAGCACAGACTCGTGAGCGTTGTTTACAGTGACGAGGGCCATTTTCACTTAGACGGTTATGCGAACAAGCAAAATTGCAGATATTGGGCACCAAAGAACCCAAAAGAGAAACATCAACAACAGCTACATATTCCAAAGGTGACTGTTTGATGCGCCATATCCTCTAGCGGTATTATTGGGCCGTATTTCTTTGAAGATGAAAACGGTCATGCATTGACAGTCAATTCCGAGCGATACAAGGACATGATTGACACTTTTTTGTTCCTATTTTAAGAACAGAAAGTCGATTTAACAGAAACACATGGCTTCAACAGTATGGGGTCATGAGAATCGATGGACACGGTGAAATCATTTTTTCCTCAAAAAGTTATATCGAACTTTGGAGACATTCGCTCACATCCTAGATCACCCGATCTCACGCCATGCAATTATTTTTTGTGGTGTTATCTAAAGTCAAAAGTGTAATCCAATAATCCACGAACACTGGAGGAGCTTAAAGACAACATTCGACGAAAAATAAGCAACATCACTCCAGAACTCTGCAAGAGAGTGTTTCAGAATTTGCGCGTGCGATTAGAAGAGTTGTGTACGAAGGGAGGGCAAACATTTGGATGGAATGATATTTAAGAAGTAAATCCCGTCGAATTTCCGATATTTTCCTTTCATTAAGTTTGTATCTTTTTTCTTAAATCAAAAAGTGAACTTTTCCACTGGACAACCTGTACTATAATGTGTATGTTGGCTCTTGTTGTTGACGTCATGAGTTGTTTTGTTCCCTCTCTATCGTCGTTTCTGCAGGTTACACCGGTATGCGGATATATGGGCATGTGTATCTACTCTTGTAGTTGCATATGTGCATTCATTTCACGCCTGATGAAGCCATCAAGCAGAAATACGTATTGCTCGGGTAACCTTTCCTATTTTCTACTCGCATCCACTTTCCTTCTCCTGCTAGAGAATTAAAATAATGAACTATGCAGCATTTGCGCTACTGTCTTACCGGGAACTGGTTTGTATTTCTTAGCCTTTCCTCTGTGTTCTCGACAAAACCTTTTGATGACACCATAACTTCTTGCACTATAATTTCCTCATCTCTCCTATTGGCAACTGGCTTGATTTCTTGTTTTCTTGGTAACCTGAGGAACCACAATAATATATTATTATACCTAAATTATGTTAATAGAATTTATCTCAATGATAAGAACTTAATAGAAACAACTTAAAGGACATCCAGTGTACCTATTATGTCGTACAGGAGCATGTGGAATAGTCGTCTTGCTGATAAAGTGATCAAACATCATGGCCTGCATAGCCTCTTTGCTTCTAGCAAATCGCTTATCTATATGATCTGCATTAGCTGGAAGATCAATTCCAAACTTTGACTGCTTTTTCATAGTCGGAACAATACCAAATCGCGCATCGGGTTTTGCCGATTTTTCTTTTTCAGTGACTCTATAATTAAATTTTTAGAAGGTTACAATTTATTGCAAGTATGTAGTGTGAAATAGTGTGTTTATAAATATTGTCAAGATTTACACTTATCCTCTATAACCTCAACTATAGTTCTCAATTTTCTAATTACAACGTTGAACTTTCAGTTCTATAAATCAACTCAATAGTCTCCAAAACTGGCAGAGAAAGACAATAATTATACCAAAAACTTAAAGTCAACTATTACATTTTGCTCAACAGAATATTAATATAATCCAGTATTATACCTAGTCTTAAAAGTATCTCAATGATTACATTGATATTTCATTGACATTGTACATTATTCAGGTCAGGGCTGTCCAACTTAATGTGGCCCAAGGGCCACTTCAAAAAAAATGCAGTTTGGAGGGCCGCATTATAAAATCTTTCTATACAACATTATTACAGAGTTAATGTAAGAATTGTGCATATTCGGTATTTGAGAGTAATTTATACATGTGATATACATATATACATGACTCGTGAAGCGGGCCACAAGAGCATGCGGCCCGCGGGCCGTATGTTGGACAGCCCTGATTCAGGTTATGCTCAGTATGACTAAAAATTGAATATGCTTTGCAAAACAGTCTCCCTTTATTTTCTGAACAATTCAAGTTAGCAAGCTGAAATTCCGGATTTTTTATACTTGAACCCATTGCGAATACCTAAGGCCTAAACACCCATGGGGTACCATGACGCTATATGAGGATACGGGGAAAAGGGAGCACACATTCACACACATACTGGCCCCGCCTTTGGAGATCCGCCAATGGTACCTTCGCGTTCGACAGTCAAAGGCCGTCTACTACCTACACGTAATCACAATACAACATCCATAGCCTAGAGAAAAATTCTGATGCATGAACATTTTGCAACCCCTGTGTTTTATAACTGTGTATATAGTATAAATAAACAAATTGATATTAATTTGCCAAAGTTGAGCGTTTTTGTAAGTTCAGTCACTTACAGTAGCGGACAAAAGTTTGTGAACATTCTTAGTAATATTTAAGAAGTGCGCTAATTTTTTATTCTTCATTATTAAGGACTTTTTTTCTCGTATAGTTTGCTTATTCTTGAGGATACAAATGACATTTTTTGTTTGCTATGGTACTACAGACTAGCATTAAAATACATTCATATTATTATATGACCAACAATGAGACGACAAGTATGGAAACATATTTTACATTACAAAATTAAATACAATAACTCTACAAAAATATTTAAAAAATACTGTTTAGCTGATATTTTGTAGCATAGCCTTTAGCATTCAACACTGGATGACTGCTGCTCATAGAAGACACCAATTTTTACAGACATCTCTTACCATATTTTGCAAAATATTGTTTACATAATCGAGGATTTAGATCCGGGAGTTGCAAGGGCCATGTAAGAACATTAACATTTTTTAGTCTTAACCAGTCCTTTACGAATTTTGAGGTATGTTTGGGGTCATTATCTTGCTGGAATGTCCATCGTTAAGACATTTCTGCTTCAGCAAAAGTGAGCATGTGTTTACTGAGAATATCTTTGTGAAGTTTTTGATCCAGTTTTCCAACAATTTTAACAATTGGACGCGTTCCAGAACTAGAAAAACAGCCCCAAACCATGATGTTGCCTCCACCGTGCTTAACTGTTGGCAACTGATACTTTTTGTAGAATCTTTTTTGTATTGGACGTCTGACATATGCCGTACCGTCAGATCCAAACAAGTTAAATTTGCTTCCATCGCTCCATAAAACTGTCCATTGTTGTTCTTTCCAAGTTAGATGAATTTTAGCAAATTCAAGCCGGGCAATACGATTTTTTTACATGAGAGGTTTTTTGCACTGGACCCCTACCAAAAAGCCCTAAATCCACCAAGCGTCTCTGCACTGTTCTGACAGAAAGATTCTCGGCACCCTTTTCTACGATTCTTTTGAAAATCTGTGTGGCTAGCATTCGAGGATCTTCATAGAATAAACGTTTAATGTAGCGATCCAAAATATAATCGGTTTTTTTTTCGGTCCGAATTCTTGATATTTACTAATAATTTTCGAAATCGTCCCGTTGTTCATTTTCAATCTTTGGGAAATATCAACATTTCTGACACCACTTCTAAATAATTCAATCGCTTTGTCTCTTAAATCTTTTGAAAATTCTTTCACTTTTGCCATTCTCACTAATATTTACCGCACGCAATATCAGAGTATCGCAGAATGAATAAATGCGGCAAAACTGAAATGTTTCCTTACTTTTGTCGTTACAAAAGCTGTGGTATTTAAAAAAAAAAGACGCTTTTTTATTTTCAGAGAATTTGATTATTGATAAGATAAGCCTTGTATTAGTACAGGAGACAAAGGTAGACTTTAATATCTTAATTATCTGTTCCTTCACAATTTTAATTTAGGTATATGAAATATTTCATAATAATGTTAATATTTTTTTCCAAACTTTTGTCCGCTACTATATAACTCAGCAACTAATCACAACAGTACAGTACATTATCAATATCCTTCTTTTTGAAGGGAAAGTTTGTATACAACAAAATATGGAGCACTGTTTTTAAAAAATGACATTTTTAATGAAATGGTACATATTTTATTTTAAATACAGATTAGTAGAAATCCTTCCAAGAGGAGAAGTTTTATATACAATTGCGTTTTGACGATTAGCAGCTGAGTTATATGTGATTCAATGCACGAAAGATTGAGAGACTGCCAGTCCATTTTGAAAAAAAAAACTGATTCTAGAATTATAAAGTAGGTACTCATAAGGAGCTTTAAAATGAGGTATCACATCGCCACTATTATATTCTGAATGTTGCAAGACGGCGCCCTACCGTCACCTTGAAATTTCGAAATGTCAGTTTTTGTTGAAATATACTAAGTGACATATAAATCCGAACACCCAGTTTAAATGGTTTTATTTTAATAAAATTTTGTATAAGTACTTAATGAAGCATAATAAGTAAATGATAAAAATTTCAAAATGATTGCACTGCTTTAAAGCCCTTTGACCTTTAATAATGTGTGGATGCACCCTGATGTGCTACGTATTCTCCAAAGCGCCTAGGCATGCTTCTGATCAGGTGGTCAATGTCCTCCTGTGGTATCTCATTCCAGGCAACCACCAACTCCTCTCGAAGTGCTTCTAGAGTCTGAGGAGGACGTTGCAAATTGAGCTACCTACCTACCTACCCATCATATCCCACACGTGCTCAATTGGGGATAAGTCGGGAGATCTTGGTGGCCATGGTAACAATGTGACATCATTATGTTGAAAGAAGTCTATTGTGACTCTTGCAACATGTGGTCGGGCATTATCTTGTTGAAAAGTTGGATCTGCCAGGGTGTCAAGATAGGGTAAAAGATGGGGTTCTAGAACTTCGTGGATATAACGCTGCACGTTCATGTTACCTCTGATGAAGATTAAAGGTGACCTGGAACCATAAGCTGTAGCACCCCAAACACTCCAACAGTGTGATGAACATGTCTTTCAACAAAAAACTGTGGATCCCTCCTTTCACCACGTCGCCTTCTAACCCTGGCACGACCATCGTGCATGCCTAAACAAAATCGAGACTCGTCACTAAAGACAATACTGTTCCATTCCTCATCCCAGAGTACCGTTGTCTGCACCACTCAAGGCGATTACGTCGGTGTTCTCGAGTTAAAGGGAAGACCCAGTGTGGCCGGTATGAAAACAAGCCAAAACTTCTCATTCGTCGGTAAACACTTCGCATGCCAACAGGTCTTCCGTGATCTGCAAACCATTCATTTGCAATGGTCCTGGTAGTGGAGAAACGGTCCCTTAAGGCCAATAATCTTAGGCGGCGGTCTTCACGGTCTGTTGTTCTACGGCGGCGTCCAGTGCCCCTTGCTCTTTGCGTACGGCCTTCTCGAAGCCATGCCTGACAACACCTAACCACAGTGTCTACACTTCTTTGCACTCTAACTGCAATTGCCCGAAAAGAAAGTCCAGCTTCCCGAAGTCCCACTATACGGCCCCTATCAAACTCACTAAGTTGACGAAATCGTACAGGTCTCCGTACTCTAGGCATCGTAACTGATCGTAAAGGATGTCAAGAACCAAAATCCGCCAACGTTAATTCTTTACTGCGGCTGAAATATTCATTTTTAGAGCATTAGTGAATTAAAAAAAAAGCAGTATAAAAACCGGAATGTCCAACTCATAGGGCTGAAAATTTTTTCACTCGTTATTTACAGTGAGATAAATACATTCACCAACTTTTATTAAAATAAAACCATTTAAACTAGGTGTTCGGATTTATATGTCACTTAGTACATATTACTGTATCAATCGTTAAAATTCATGAATTTCAGATTTTTTAATTGATCCCTTTGAAAAATCAATAGGGGGGCTTTCTATCAAGCACTGTATATGTAATATATATTATATATATATATATATATATATATATATATATATATATATATATATATATATATATATATATATATATATTTATCTTGTCTCACCTTGAGTCAACATCACATTTGAGTAAACTTCTTGGATGTGTTGGCTTGACTCCTTGAGTTGTCATTTGGTTTGTAACATACATAGGAATCATGTTCAAATTTTCCTTCTCACTGATACAATGATACATGGGCCTAGCTTTTTTAGACTGGAGCTTATTGGGATTCAAGCAATCCTTTGCGCTATCTGTATTTGTAGACTTCATGGGTTCTTGTACTTCTATGTGGACGTTTTCTAATAATATTTCCTCTTCGCCTAAGTGATTAGGGTGATAAAAGTAAAAATGTCAAGTGACAAGAGAGGTTTTAATTTTTCATTTACCTGTGACATGTGGTCCTTCTGAATTCTCGAATGTCTCACTGTCTGATTCTGGTTCATCTTCAACAGTGTCACTGGCTTCCTGGATCTGCTGTAGCCTTTCCTGATCAGCATGGTTGCTGTTCAAGTTGTACATATTCATCTCATTACTATCCTCCACTGCATATGCTGCTTCATCCTCATGTGTAATAATGATATTTTCAATGGTATGTTCATTAGATTCTGTATTGAATCCGTCATATTCCAGTATAGTGATTCGATCGTTAGGCACATTTAATGTAGGTAAGTCGGTATCGCCTGTGTATGAATCAAGTATGTTTATTTTTTGTATAGGGTAATCAAATGAAAAAAATAATACTTTGCAGCAAGTGCAATCGTATAAAACTGTTTAAGGGATCAATAAGGTATTAGAAAACAATATTTTTTTTGACTTCCAACAGAAAATAAACCCCAGGTAAAATTGAAGCCAGGCAGCTTTTTGGATGAAAAATGACATAAGCAGATTTTTTATGGCTGATATAGCACCACACTCCAAAAATCTTCCACTCAGTGTTTATTGTAAATAGAAATACATTACTCCCTTGTAGTGGTATTAATAATCTGGCATTTCAGTGTTAGCTTCAAGTTACTAGATTATAAAAAAACCATACATAGATGATCCAAACCAAAAGTATGAAGTAAAGATATCATGGAGTATAATGCACAAGGTGTGAAATATTTTAAAATTTTCTTTATTCGTGTCAGGGCAGTCGTTGATTATCTCGTGAACTATGATAGCTACGAGGGTGGTCTGAATAGTTTCCGACCTCAACATAAAGATGGCAGCACTCGGAAATAAAAGCTATTGAATTTCGAAAACATCGCCAAAGTTCACCAAATGGTGCTAGACGACAGCCGAATTAAAGTGAGAAAGATAGCAGAGGTTATGAACATGAGAAAGAAACGTGTTTGTCACATATCAACATTTCGGCATCAGAAATCTGTCCGCACGTTGGGTGCCATGCTTTCTCACGTTAGACCAAAAACGTTTTCAAATGAACATTTCCAACGCTCTGTTGGCGCGGTTTGAGCGCAGTAAATCCGAATTTTTGCGTCAATTAATTTCTGTAGATGAGTCTTGGATACACCATTATATGCCAGAAACAAAAATGCAGTCCAAACAGTGGACTGCAAAGGGGGAACCGGCTCCACAAAACCAAAAACTGTTTTTTCGGCTGAGAAAGTGATGGCGACTGTTTATTGGGATGGTCATGAAATTATTTTAGTCGATTATCTTCAAAAAGGAGCATACTACGCATCATTACCTGACAAGCTGAAGGCAGAGCAGAAGGTTTAGTAGAGGAGATATTTTCTAGACTCCGCCTTTTAAGGAGCATTATATAAATATACAATGTATCCCTTAATAAAGACCCATTATTACTATTATTACTAAAAATCCTGTTCCACCAAGAGAACGCATCGTCTCACACCTAAGCGGTTGCCATGGTGGAAATCCACGAATTACGGATTAAACTGCTTGACCATCCGCCTTACTCACCAGATCTAGCCCCAAGCGACTTCTTTTTGCTCCCTCATCTAAAAATTGCACTTGGAGAACAGAGATTATCGTCGAATAAAGAGGCAATCACCTTCGTGAATAATTATTTTGCAGAGAAAAACACCGACTACTATTTGAACGGGTAACGGAGATGGGAGCATTGCTGGGAGAAGTATGTAGAGTTACAAGGAGACTACATTGAAAAATAAAACAAAAATGGGAAAAAATGTCTTCTATCTTTGTTAGGTCGTTAACTTTTCAGACCACCCTCGAACATTATTAAATAGAATTTTGTACTGCAATGACAAAAATCAATTCTCTCATTTGACTGACTTGCAGCCTATAGTCGTTTTCCAAAATATGGGAATTGGAATATTCGAACTGGAGATACAGCTGCCTTGTGTATCTGATATATAGAAAGCCATGGTTCACAGGATAATCTACCTCTACTCCAACATTTAAACCCAACAATGCCCAAGTTTACCATTTTTTAGCCAAATGAAATTTTAAGAAAAATGAAACAAGATGGTAGAAAAATTAACAATTTATCTCTAAAGACAAAAAAGTTACAGCCAATCAAAGTTGCGTCCCACGAGAATATTTTTATTCCATCTGAACATGACGCGTGAGGTCACACTTCACTATTCAGTTGCGACCGACCGCTGAGCCCAGGGCCGACTCAATTTCCTAAACACACGCATAGGTACACATACCGTGTGAACACGTGGTAGGCTAAACGTCTTCCGCGCCAGTTTGTTTAATTAGTTGACTGCATATACGATTGGTTTGAGAAGGTATAGATATCATTCAGAAAGAGGTATTCCAAAACTGGGAGCAGTTTGGATTGCTTCGAAATAATAGAAAGATATTCAAGTGCAATACAACAGACTTTGACAAGGTCTGAATACAAGCATTGCAACACCATCAAATATTTGGTATCTGTCATACCTGATGGGCTCATCAATTTTATTTCGGAGGGATACAGAGGAACGACAAGTGACCCGACAATATTCGAGGAAACTTCTCCAATGGTGATGAATCTAACCACATTTTAGCAGTTTCTTTTAACTGTACAAATAATGAAACAAGTATAATAATACTTCAATTAATAAAATTAATATACTTTTTTGATATAGTTTTTTACCTATATCACGACTAAGCTGCTCTTCCTCTCTGCCTTGAGCCTCATTTGCTAGTTCTTGCTTTATGGATAACCTTTGTAAATCTGTAAGAATTATAAACAGTTCTCAAAATAATGTGTACTAGAAATTTCTAGTGCCCAGTATAAATAACACATACTCATTATTTGCATTAAATGTTTTTTCTATACTCATTTTCTGCGAAAACATAGCTAAAATAAGGTTACTTCTAAAGAAATAGCCTATGCTTATAATCATAAGTTAAACAAAGTATGAGTAGATCAGCAGATGTTTTCGAATGAAATGGGGTTATTCCTGATGGTGAAAGATTAACATAAAGTGATGCAAGGCAAGCTAGGATATGCTCAAGATACACAGATCTTTCAACTCACCTGGTTTGATATCAGCTAACTCTTGTTCAATATCAAATGTCTCATCAGTTGGTTCTCCTTTCACAACAATTTGAGGTATATCTTCCAACTGCTCTACATATGTTTCATTACTACATACTTCCTTATTTCCAATTCTTGCCTCCACCTTCAGAGAGTATGATGGTTGCTCAGTAATCTCTTGATCTTGTTGGATATCATCATTAGGTAACAATGTCAAAGTTTCTGGCATAGCCTCTAACTGGCCATCCTCTGTTGTCCTGATTTTAAAAGATCATTCAATATAAAGGGTTAGTTTTTTGTGTAGGCTCAGTCAATATACTCACAGTGATAACAAAAATTGTAGCCAACAGTATACTCCTGATTTTTATCTCTCCAAAGGATGAATCATTACACACAGTGACTCAAACACATTTTACTAAATAAAACATTTTATTGCAGTTTTGAATAGGCCATTTCAAACAAAGCAATTTTATCTTCTTTAGGGTGTAATTTCAAATTGTTTAAATACTGAACGATCTATATACCTATAGAGTACAGAATTTTTCGTCAAAAAGATTTTATGATCCCATGTTTTCTCCCTATCTACATACTTTTTCAGTTTTTGGATGATTTATACACGATGGTCTAGAAAACAAAATGAACTATTGTCTAATATTTTCAATTAGAGCCCCAACTAACAATTATGTTATGTTGCAAGAACTTTTATACAGTATTCTTCACAGAGCATTGTGGGTTGTAAGAGCATTGGCAAAGCATTATGACAACATATAAAGGATTTACAGTTCAACTGTACATACAATGCTGGTATGAAAGAAATTGGAGATAACCACCAAGTGAAGTCAAGGGAAGATACATCTATGGATACATCTATTACATTTGAGACGCCAGCTTGTGATACTTTTAGGACTACTTTTAAGTCGATGTACGGTTAATGCTTAGTTTTGTGTAGTTAAAGTAATTTGAAAATAATGGCGTCAAGTAGGTTGAACTTCCCAATCATTATCAGTCCAGAAAGAATTATCAGCACAGCCTAGACCCTCAGAGAAAAAAGTGAGTTAAACAATATACAATTAGTCCATAGACATTATTTCCCTGACCTGTCAGTAGATTATCTGGAAACGTCGCCTCTCCCTGTGAGTCAGACATAGCGGCGCGGTCAGTGCATAGGAAACATTATGTTGTGACGCGGAAGACATATGTGTGATACCAGAACAACAGAACACTCAGCAGCCGCGACCGGTAGGATTTGTGAAATATGTCTAATAGTTGCATAGAAATACCAAGGTTAGGATCATATAAATGTACTAACGTGTGCGTAGAATTACCGGAGGCGTATAAAAATACTAACGTCAAAAAATTGTGATATATTCTCCCCGATCCCACGCAACCCCTAACCCTCATCTTTAACCCCAACAAAAAAAATTCCAAAAATCATCAGAAGCATCTAAAACATCAAGTAACCGAGTTTTGGGATTTTTATTTTGACGTTTGTTTCCCTTTTTCTCCGCCGCTACTAGACCGATTATCAGAAACTACAAAGCTATTGTGTCCTGGCATAGTAGTAGTGTTCTATAAAAATGTCACCAAAATCCGAGCGACACTTCTCAAGTTATAGGTGGTTATAAGACTAGCGGACAGACTGATGGAAATGAGTGATGGTTTTTTGTAATGTGCATGTAACATAAGATCCAAAAAACATCTCATTTTCGAAAATTTTCCAGTAGGCATGGAAAGTAAAAACATGGTAATAAACCAAATCAAATGATCTACCATTATTAATTGAATGCTATTATTTATTTTGAAAAGTATTGTAATTTACAAAAATGTTAGCTGTAACTCGAAAACCAGTCATACAAACCCCCATAAACCTCATTCTGAAAAAGTTAGCGAAAAGGAGAATCAACAAGTGTAAAAAAAAAAATGAAAAAATAGGTGGATAGGATGAAACTAAGGCCCATATCTTCTGTCATCCCTACAATTGTAGGGCACCTTTATGGCCTCCTTGATTGTCATAGTTTTATACTTCTCCGTGACACCACTCTATTTTGAAGTTATGTCACAAACATCTATCTGCATCAAATTGTGCTTGCTTTTGAGTTATATCATGTTATATCAGCCTGAAATTTCCTACAATTTAAAAAGAAAACATATCTTCACAATAGGAGAACGCTAACGCTGACATGGGACAAGTGTAATCTAGAAATTTTTGAAGGAGAGAAAGGAGTATGACAATCAAGGAGGCCATAAACACGCCCTACAATTGTAGGGATGACTGATGATATGGGGGCCTAAGGAACGATAAATTTTTCTGGCATAAAATTCAGTACTCTAGTTATATAGTTGAAGAGGTGCAAGTTGTCAAAGTTGAGTGTTTTTTTTATAGATAGTCCAATATTTCAACAATTCAAATCTATCATAAAATGTAAGGCTTTCCATTCAAGAATTTGTTAAAATGTTTTAAAAGAAAAAATTTGGGATACTATTGTATGAAGGAATGTTAATCAAAAAGCTTTAACACAAAACTATCTGGAGAATCAAGCCAGGATCATTTTACCTGTATTGGAACTGATATTTCTGCAAGTTACCCTCTTCATCTTCAGCTAGTTGGAGACCAAACAACTCATCAGATCCTTCAACATTGAAAATAATAACTTGATTACCCTCATTTTGTACTTGGTCAGTCTCATTATTTGTATTATTTTCTAATGTACTCTCCTCAATATGTTCTTCATTAAGACCAGCACTTTCTGCTACTTCAAAGGTACCATCATCTGCACCAATCACAGATAAATACTGTGTATCGTCGCCTGCATCTATAGCCGTCATGTAGCTTTCTTCATTGTTGATAGTTATGTCTGATATGTTTGAAAAGTTCAGAGATTGACGCAACATCTGCTTATTCCAATGTGCTCCATCCTGGGCACTCAAAGATAATCTCTCAGACATAATTGAAGCTAAATTCACATATTCAGAAGTGAACCAATGAAAGATAATACTGAAAATTACTTACATCAGGTTTTTTTAAAAGGCCCAAGTTATAAAATGTTAGGTTACCTTGTTAAAGATCCCGGCAAACACACTCGGAAAGTTGATTGAGTTACTCCAAGTTCTAGGACTGTGTTATCACTATTATTAGACGCATCTCTTCTTTTTGCGTAATGTTTTTTTGGGTAAATAGAAAAACCGTTTTTATGTTATGTCCTGGATGTCCGTTGGAAATTGTTTGTTCATTTCACAGAACACATAACACAGTTCATTTGTTGAATTCTTGACATTGACATTGAATCCAACATTTTAATCAAATCCAAGCGAATAACCAAAATTTCTGTGTTATGTGCCGCGGTTATAATATGGTTCAAGATGACACACGGGTTGATGACGTCAGTTACACGAATCGCTTGAACGCGTTGGTTTTAACCGCGGTTTTGTTGCAAGTTGTTTATTTTAGAAAAGCGCGTATATAATCTCTGATTATTTTTATTATCACTTAATAATCGGTGCTTTTTCGTCTACAACTGTATATGGAAAGTTTAAATAAGAAACCTTTCATAATATTCATGGGAGAAATGTTTTTTCAGATTTTTTTTTTAATGATGGAACCATGGCTTTGTAGCTATGATAACTTTCAATTCTCTAAATTTTTCCGCATGTCAAAGAAAACATTTATTGATTCAGCAGAAATGATGAAAAAAGAAATTAGCAAAACCGTATACAGGTGGATATCATTTAGTGAGTTTATATGGCCATATTTTAATATTCTTGTGGTATATGGCTACACAGGATACGTTGTTAAGCATATGAACTACATTTAAAGTGTCCCCAACAACCGTAATGAGTATAACTAATAAGGTGCTCCACTTTATGGTAAAACTGAAGTCAGCCTGTATCATTTTTCTCAAAAATGAAGCTGAAGTACAATAACAATATCCAATACCCGGCAAAATTCTAACTTGTCACATTTCAAATAATAACCAGAAATATAAAACTACTCTTGAGTTGGGTAAATACCACAGTTTTGCGGTGATAACTATGACATATAACAGCTGATTCGTGACGTCACGGATCTTATAACCAAATTGATAACTACACTCGCTTGAACGGATTGGTAAATACCAACCCAAAATGGTAAATACCATTTCCATTTGGTTATCCGCTTGAATTTGATTAGTGACAATCTTGCGAGTTCTGTGACATATCGAATCTTTAATTTGTTCGATAGCTTCCATGCTAATGGTTTTGTTTGGAAAGTATTTTTCAAAATAGAATGAAATTTGGTGTAATGTGAAGCTAGCCGGAAAACGTGGCTTTCCCATTTCAACTATGCTTCTATTTTAATAATAAAACCTTTAACTTATTTGCAATTTCGGTTGTGGAGCCACTTCCGAATCTAGGTTGTACTTTCTTGTTCCATGCCTACTTGTTGACGCGGTTGACAGAAAAGCGAATAGGTAGACAAGAAGGATAGTAAAAACAAAATCCGCAAAAGGAAAGAGGAAGAGGAGACGAGCAAAGCAGTTGAAGAAAACAGTAAAGACACAAGACAGCTGATTTTATTTTCAATTCTTATTTTTGGAAAGAAGAGTTGAAACTGTGATAATGTGTAGAGCTACACTGTGGATAATAGTGTCGATACTATCATACGGATTATGATGAGCTAATTTGCAACAGCTTAAAACAAAATCTGTTACATAAAGTTTGACGTTTCAGCTGGATGAAATGCCTCAACAGTTCATCAAAGTAAAGGAAAGTACACCTACCGTTTCCAATACAGCATTCACAGATACTAAAAAGGGTCAGGACTGGGACAGTTCGTCGAATGTATCGAACTCAACTGGTGATATATGTAGAATATGTCATTGTGAAGCTGATGCTGAAAATCCCTTGCTTTCACCATGTTACTGTTCCGGAAGCTTAAAATACGTCCACCAAACTTGCTTGAGACAGTGGCTTGCAGCCTCTGACACACGCTCTTGTGAACTATGTAAATTCAATTTTATCTTGCACACAAAGATCAAACCATTCTCAGAAGTAAGTAGATTTGATATCCTTAATTCTAGTGGAAATAATGATTATCCTTCTTTAGTGGCGTATCCTGGAAATGAGCAGTGTAGAAAGACGGCGGTTACTGTGTGCCATATTGTTTCATTTTGTTGCAGCAGTTTGTGTTATTTGGTCGCTATTTGTACTTATAGATAGGGCAGCTGAAGAAGTTCGGAAAGGCTTGATTGGTAAGTTCATGTGTCATACATAATTATCTAAAAGTAGACACCTAAATTACTGTGCAAATAGCAACAAGGTTTCAAAAATAACTTTGGTATGTTAGGTATGACCTTAGTTTTTATATTTTACATTGGAAAAAATGGAAAAGTATATTGGAAGTACAATGAAAATATGTTTAAATGTGTTTTATTCATAGAGCTTTGGATTTATTTTGACAATCATTAATAGTACTATCTGTGCTTCAATGAACCTTAAAAAAGGAAGCATAAAATTGATCAACAAAAGAGCTTGTTATTTTGGCAACCAAATACTTATTTGAGTCATCTTTTTCCTCCTCTAATTATTACAACAAGTCTGCTGATAAACTATGTCCACTCTCTCTGAAACATAGTTTCCCACATCTAGCTGGGGAAATGGAAAAACAAACACAAGAGTATTGTACTGGTAGCATGTTTTTCTTGCTCTCCAAAAGATTGCAAGTTTCTACTGCTTCCTCCAGAAGATAGGCTACTCCTCTAACTCCATTCTTCTTGCTTGTAAATGCAAATTCAATGTATTATTACATGCTTTTGTAATATTTTCTGTTTATATATTGCTTATATCACATGAAGGGTTATTTCCTTAAATTTTAAATTTAAATTTTATTATTTTTTCAACATTCATTTCAAAAGGCACTACCTACCTATATAAATCAAAGCTGTTATCTTTGCTTCTCTGCTCATTAAACTACTTCATAATTAGTTTCTTTGTAGTTACCTCACAATTGTGTAGTTGTCAGTTACCCTTGAAAATTAGATTAATATTATTTTATACCTCCCAGTCATTTGTGCACTACCCTGAAATAGTTTTCCACAATCAACCAAAAAGTACCAGCCTAAACAACTAAATATTCGGACACCTTTATATTTTGTCAAAATTGTCCTATAAAATAACTGAACAGGATAGTAAACTTGTACCGAAAACTTTTATTGGTAGTATATACAGATTGTGGCATATTTTTAATAGTATCATCTGTTTTGCTTATAATTAATTTTAATTAAAAAAAAACAAAGGAAACTTTACAAAAATATATGGCATCTAAATATTCGAACACTACAAAATTTAACTTAACTGATAACTTTTTACGTCGCCATTCGCTTTAATTACTGCCTGAATTCTTGCCGGCATGGTCTTAACAGTTTTCCTGTGTATGTGTTCTAAATTTCTTGTAATTTCACACGCAGTTCAGGAATTGTTCTCTGAGGATGGTTTCTCAAATGTTTCATTTTATGCCAGACCGTCTGTATCACATTTAAATGGGGGCTACTAGCAGGCTAAGAGAGGACATGTATGTTATGGTCCCCAAAGCATTTTTTTGTGCTTTTAGCAGTGTGGCATGATGCGGCGGCCTGCTGATAAACACATTCTCCATCAGGATGCAAGTCTAGTATGGTAGGTAATAATGTATTCTCAAGGATTTCTTGGTATACCTTTGGTAAATTTTACTATATGTTCAATACAGTCTTTGTGAAAGGTTTCAGTTCTGCTTTGATAGCCCTTTTTCGCATACATCGAATTTGGCTGCGTCACTGAATATGACCTTGCTCCACTGCTCGTACGTCCAAGCGTCTTTGTTTTCGGACTTCAGTTAGAAACGGTTTTTCTTTACCCTAATTAAGGAAAAACATTTTTTCATTGCTTTGGAATAATATTATAATGCATACCTTATAAAATTTGAGTCCAGATTTATGAATATGTTAAAAAGCTGCATCTCACACTTTGTGTTCCCCTGAGTGGTAATTTCCCTTAATGTTGTGTTTCGCCTACCAATGTCCGAAACTGCTGAATAATAATTTGCCTCGCATTCTGATTAGTGGCTACAACTCGTACCATTTTTGCATAAATGTAACTTAGCAATAAGAAAACATAATTTTCAAATACCTACAATATCCAACGATGTTGCTAGTCTGCTTATCTCTAATAATATGTTTCTTGACATGTCCGAAGATTTAGTTGTCATCATATTTCGAGATATTTCAGTGATTCTGTTTGTTTTAAAGTGATACATTTGAAAACAGAGGTGCCGCTATTGAAAATAGATCTTTATTATCTATCATTATATATTTTTGCCATACAATTTAAAAAAGCAGCAGTTAATTTATCGATCCATTTATACAAAATGTAAAGGTGTCCTAATATTTACTTGTTTTGGCTCGTATTATACACTGTGCACGCCAGGTTAAGGACTTATGAAATTACACCTGGGATGATTGATAGGATTTATTTACATTTAATGATTTACTTCCTGTTTCTCCTAGTTGGAGTACAAAAATTTGATAACTGTGGTTATAAGATTAGATAATATGGGCACTGTCTCTGAAATATTCATAATTCTATTACCTGTTCGGAATGTGGAAGGTTGACAATCGCAGCTGTAGGATTCCTATGCACCTACATCAACATCTATCTTGCGCAAAAACTGTTTAGGGTATTCGATTATTTAGAAGGTCATAATGTATGGATGGACACTTTATCTACCCTAATTTTATTGTTAAATATGCTGTAATACTGTTGACAACAGACAAAATTGCGGTTAAGCTGATTGCTGTACTTACATTAACTGGACTAAATTTTCACCACTGATAGATTTTCTTCTTTGATACATCATTTGGGAGCATATCCTGTAAACTTGATTGCGAAATAACAAGAAATAACTTCAGAATAATGTAATACTGACTCAAAAAAGCGATTTTCTACGTGTTGTTTTTCTGATTGGAAATGAGCTCCACTATCAGCCGCTTTTGTTTAATCCAAGATTTTTTGCACAGCCTGTATAGTAAACAGAGGAACAACTGTGTCAAATTCTCATAGATGACTCCACAGCATCCCATTTTATCTCAGATATTTTTTTGGACGTGGAAATCAGGAAACAGTCTACAATATTGCAGTCTACTAAAAGAGCTTTCATGTGTATATCTGACCATAGTAATATCCTTTGCTTTACTACAACCATCAATACATAATAGATTAGTAATCTTACATTAATGTTGTAAAACCTCTTATCTTCATCTACTCACATAAAATTACATTACACATATCATCCACAAATGTATCATCGATATTTAAGTTTAATTCCGGTCGTAAAACACGATTCATGATTGATTACTTGGAAAATTAAAAACAAGTCTAATAGGCTTATTTTCGCCTAGTTAATAAACTATGCATCAGTTGATGTTTTATGGCCTAGAATTAGTCATATCCTATAAAGCGTGATATACAAATTGCTCAATAAATGTCCATTAATTGCTGATTGAACAAGGTCGGACATCAAATGGTAATGAATCGATATTATTTGGCGAATGATGCCCAGAAAGCAGACACACAAAAGTTCATGTAAGAACTTGCTTTCCGCCAGAAGTTTTACTTTGATATTTAGTCATTAAAATCCATGTCGCTCATTTAAGCAGATCCATCTGTTTCCCGTTTAAGTGTAATATCAGTAAGAATTCCGTCGACGTTGATGTTTTTTGAAAAGCACAACAGGTGTGACAACTTATTGTATTTTTCAAAGTCGATCTATTGGCGTTATTAGCTGAAAACAAAAACCGTACCAAAGCATGACCATCCATGCTTCGGAATGATCTTTTCTTTGACTTCCTATACTCTGACTGCCCGTACACACGGGCGACAAGTTGTCACTACGCAAACAAACGAGTTTTCAACATTAAATTGATGTATATATGTACAGACCATCGACGCGCGATCAATACTTGCGATACATGAAGTATCTTTGTAAGATCCTGTAGCTGGCCATGTGAATGTTTTGAAGAAGTGTTCGGTCATATGGCGTAATAAATTTTCACAAGTCGGTATCAATGTTGTGTCAGAAACTGGTCTGGCTTTTTTTATATGACAAGTGTGAGAGCACTGTATACTTGTTTTATATGTAAGGAGTAAGCTGGACTATTGAGCAATTATTTGGTCTCCATTCTATCAGAATGATAATTCCTGCGTTGAATCGGTCCAGCGTAAAAGCTTGAAATATATGCAAAGTTTATGGTTTTTATCCTGAAAGAGGTTTTCCTCATGCAATGCTTGTTGACAGGTTAAATTTTGCCACTCTGACTTAGCGTCGCCATACTAAGGATATTATAACTAATATAGTCCATACTGGATTAGATGGTCTGGACTTACTAGTCAAAATTGCAGTGGATTCAAAAATGACACGCTTCAACTCGAATTTTAAACTCTAAATGGTAGAGCAAATATGGCATACCAGTCTCCAATAAATAGAGTGGTAATAGTTTTGATGAATATTGCCAAGGGTGTGACATTGATGATTTGATACTTTACAGATTGTCTTAGGCAGTTGTAAAAGTAATTACACTATAATGAACAGAATGTAAATTATCTTCAACCTTTTTATTGCATTTTTTTATCTCACTGGGCATTGGCGCCCATTGGGGGAAGCAAGGGGGCATATGCCCCCCTGGCTTCTGCTTTAAAGTGAAATATGTTTAATAAGATACCCAATCCTTTGGTAAGAAGTGAGTTTTTTGTTCTTCAAAACATCCCAGCATATTATTTCTGCTACCATTTTGAGTAGTTGGCAACTGCGCTTCCCCCTATGGTATAAATAAGACTCATCCTGCAACGTAGAACATAGCGTTATGGTACGTGTACACTGTAGAGAAAATCTACCCAGATTTTAGATTTAGATACGTTCTCTAGGTGAGACTTGTCTATGTTCTGTGTACACTATAACATATTTTGGCCCTCGCTAGACCTTCGTAGATATTTCCTAGATTAAATCTATACCAATATCTCTATGTGGTGTGTACATAACATGCTAGATTTGTACTCGTAAAAACGTATAGGCATTATTGCACCACCGTAGTTTGTTGGAAGTAGTTGGAAATGTCGCGAATTAAGAAAATTGCAGCTGCCTCTGTTATTTTAATAACGAAGAAGAGAAAAAATGTTGAGCTAAAAAACAAGAAGAGAAGGATGTAGGTTAGGAGCTGGGTTTCAAGAAGACAGGATAGTGGTTTTTTTGCTCAATTGGTGAAAGAATTACACAGCGAAGACATGAATTCATACGCTAACTTTTTACGCATGAGTAATAAGGACTATGAATACTTGTTTCAAAAAGTTGAACCATTGATTAGAAAACAAGATACTCATCTTAGGCTAGCTAGTTCACCTTTAGAACGGCTCATGCTTACTTTACGGTTTTTAGCAACAGGTGAGTATTGAAAGACATGAGTTTATTTTCTAGGATGTATTTAACTTAAAAAGCAAACAAAAACATTCCCTGCAATACCTTTTTCGGATTCCAGTCACGACCATTTCAAGGATTATACCTGAAGTTTGTAAAGCGATATTTACTGTGCTAAAAAAACGGACTGATCTCGGCTCGATTTCGTGTTCTTAGACGACCAATAGACCTACCTCCAGAGAAGGTTAAAAAAGTTGTACTTGCAATATGTTCTTTGCATAATTTCTTACTGACCCAAATGGAATATTTGATACTGAAAATGATGGGAACGTTATCAATGGGAGTTGGAGAAATGGAGGAAATCCTATAGCTAATATGGTTCCTTTACAGACTACAAATGTTAGAAACCCATCGAAAGAAGTACGAGAACAATTTAAAAATTATTTTGTATCCAAACATGGTGAAGTCGCCTGGCAGTATAAATATATATAAACATAATACCATTTTATCTGCTTAATGTAATATATGTTTCTAATGCTGAAAAAATGTTTACTCACCGTATCCCTAATGTTTGCAGTGCTTTTGGTGCTCCCAGAGCAACCCATCATGAACTGTAACGCATCATAAAACTCCCACTTACTTTTCCACAGTCTTTTTAATTTTCCTTATCTCCAAATTCATTTGACACCTTAAATTATGCCATTTTCTTCCAACTTCGGCTTCAGTGGTTTTTAACTGATCTGCTATATTTTTTATAGCTTCAGCCTTTTTATCCCGATCTCTGTACTCCTTCAATATGCAATTCCAAAGTTCTGGATGTGCCTCGTACATCTCAATTAGCTTGAGAGTACTTTCTTTGTCCCATTTCATAGCTTTTTGCTCATTTACACTTGGTGGGGAAGCCATGCTTTCAACTAATCTATTTAACTCATCGAATAGAGCGAAACAATGCGAGAGTGATCTAGAGAACTAGTCTCAGTACTGTGTCCACTACAACCCTACCTAGACTAACGTCGCGCTACCGAGAGTATTACGCCACACTCGCTAGAGCAGTCTCAGTAATATGTACACTATAGACTTAGTCTAAAGCGACTCTAGCTAGCGCAAATCTCGGGGAAAAATCTATAGTGTACACGTACCATTAGGATGGCGGCCAGACAGCGGTGTTAAAGGGATGATGCGCACGAATCAATTTTGCGTTTTTTATTTGATTGCTGATTGTTGCGTTGTTAGAAAAAATCTTGCTTAAAGCGACTTGTTGTTGTAGTAGACTTGAAAAACTGGTACGTAAAATTAAATAGTCGACGTTATTATATGTACCACTCAAAAATGCATATTGAATGAGATTTAAAAGAATACGCTTATAAATATTTGGTATTGTTTTCGATTGCGTTTCCAAAAAACAAATTTATTGGTGGTGGTATTACAAATTGAAATTAATGTACTTGCACAAGTCGAAGAAATTATATTAATTTGGATTTACCGTTTTTGAGCCTTGGCTTCCGTTCTACAGAAAAACAACCAATTATAACCGTTTTGTATCGCACAAATTCCGATCATATCAATTCTTCCTAAACGTGCAGTTTATCCAATAAACAGGAGCATATTGCTATATTTTGGGTAGGCCGAATCACCCCCCCCCCCCCTCGACAAATCAATCTAGTCATGCTCGCTGTCAAAGCCACACCCCCTCCCCGCCTTTTTCAATTGTCACCAACGGGTTGACCAGTTCTCAGCATTTTTGATCCTGCACAACCTGTAAACCAAACATGCCCCCCTGGGTTTTGCTTTACGGGCCCCCATGTCACTGGGATATCTTATAAGTCTATTTTAATTATGCTTTTTATTTGTGTTCTTGTTTTATTTATCACTCTTACTTTGATATAGTGTGCAACTATTTGTTGTTGGTGTACTATTTATTCATGTGATTGGGTACAAGCTTGTCGAAATAAATATTATATTATTATTATCAATGATTAGTAAATTATCTTTGCTTGTGGCCAACAGATCAAATTAGTTTTTTTTTATAATACAAAGTAATTAAAACACTTTTAAGGTTTTTTTTATTGAAGACTTAGTGTGTAAAAGTGCACAATGCCTTTCACTATTTAGTGGGTTATTCTACATTTTCTTTTTTTACGACGTTTTTCTTTTAAATATGTATATGTTAAGTAAGAGAATATAACTGCTTCAATAGTATTGATTTCAAATTTCAGCAACACGTAGTCATGCAGTGAACGCCAGTTTGTTTTGTACTGCAAATATGCTCCTTAGTTTTATTAACTTCAGTTTCTACTCTTCTTGTCAGTGGTATTTACATAGCGGGATTAAAGAAAGGTTTATTACATGAAACCGTTCACCTAAATCTCTTTTTAATACTAATGCAATCAGACATAATCGTCTTAGACACATATTTCATTGAAAAAGAATTTAAAAATGTTTAAGGTGAAACTAAAAAATCACTATGAAAACCTAAAATTCATAGTGTTGAAATTTTACTAGACAAGAATGTAAAATTACAGAAAATTGATTCAAATAATGTGTATGAGCCGTTTTACACACAAGAGAATTACTCCGAAAATTATGGTCATAATTATGCCGAAAATTTGTATGGAAAAAATATGAAGATTTTCTCTACAACCTGTATGACACAAGCAAACAAAATTTCCGAGTAATTCATATGATACGCCTGCGCATTAGAGTAATATTTTCGAATGGACATAACCTTAACGGGTATGACGTCCAATATAATCGGAAAGACAACAGACGTCGTTGATTTAAATTTATTTTTGAAATCGAGATCTTGGTTAATATTATAAAACTTCTCAATGCTTGGACTATCGCATCCAGCACCTGACGCCGCAAATTTCTGTTTTTGAAATTGGGTGACTTCACCTTGAACAGGTTTGCCCATTTTTGGTACTCCTACAACAACAGTGTAACTTCTTCCTGATTCCACGACATTATGAATAAACAATAACAATAAACGCTTCTTCGTAGTACGACTCGAACAGGACCATACCCACAAATGTTAAGTGGGGTTATGTTGTTGACGTTGACATTTGATAATGACATGCACGGAAATAATCCTCTGCGCCGATTCTCGCGCATATTATATAGAACGGGTTTTATATTTTTACCATGAAAATTTTCACAAGAATTCTTTTAGGTGTAATACGACAGCAATAATTTTCGGCATAATTATAATCATAATTTTCGGAGTAATTCTCTTGTGTGTAAAATGGCTCTATAACAACAAAAACAATTTGTTTTATTTTATATATGTATGTATACAAGAGAGTAAAGAGAAAATTTGGGAACTGATATGGTGTCGGGTGGCAATTTGTATTTTCGAAAACTGGTACAGGTTGACTCTGTACTTCCCACGAAACGCTGTCATGAGCTCGTAAAAGATTATGTTTGTTAGCCCTTCTTAAAAAAGTTAGCTATGAACACGTATAACAAAAAATTAAATTGATCAACACAGTCAATCAGGCTCATACAATTAAAATTTGCAAATTTAACATGCTCTTGCGTACAATTTTGTGGTGTTCCGTACTGGCCTATCCCCGTGAGAAAATATACTACCCCCGCTTTTCAAAACGTTGTGCAGTCAGGTTCGCAGTCCAACAAAGTTATCGCTTGTCGATGAATGACCCTCCCTCTTTCCCCTGAGGGGAATTCCTGCGGACGTACATGATCGTTGCTATGGCTAATCCCGAGTGGATGTCAATATTGACTTCTAAGTTACACACACTCGCCAGCAGTACGGAACCGACTGTCGACTGCGACGCACGATGTGCTACCATCGGCCGGACCGCGGTGCACATATCCACACGCGTCAGTTCAAGTTTGAAGAGTAAATGTACGGGAAAATGATATGCTTATTCGTACAGTGGACTATGTCTGGGGTCCGGCCGTATGAATTCCGTAGCAGAATGATCGAAATTTGTGTGGCGGGATCACTGGTAGGCTGGAGACAGCTGTACAAACAGAGCTGATGAGTGAAATATGTCTAATAGGTGCGTATAGAACTACCGGGGTTGTAGGCGTATAAATATACTAACGTCAAAAAATTGAGATATACTCTCCCCCATCCCATGTAACCACTAACCCCCCAATTTTTAACCTCCACAAAAAAAAATCCAAAAATGATCAGGAGCATCTAAAATCTAAAACATCAAATACCTGAGATTGGCGTATTCAGCTATTTTTGCCGCTATTTCGAGCAATCCTATTTTTTAAATTCATCTATGCATAAATGCAATAATAAGAACACTCTTTGGTAGCTGAAAGGGAAATCAAAATCGGCTCACCAGTTTCAGGAGCTACGATACTACACCGACACTCTCACACACAGACAAAACGTGATTTTCTGATGCTTCTTCCATAATATATGAGAAATATTTTGTTATTGATCTTATTAATGTCCTATTGCTTAAAGTAATAAAAAAAATTGTTTCAGCTTGGCCTTTTTGGACGAAACTAGTGGTTGTGTCTGTGGGCTCTACAGGTGGTGTTGTTTTTATGTACATTCAATGTAGGCAGTACTTACATCTTTTCTCTAGATGGAAAGCACATAACAGGTAATTTAATCTAAGTATCATGGAACATAGTCACACAATATATTGCGTATAAATTAAATCGTCTTTAACATTTTATTTTGAAGAGTACACAGAATGTTTAAAACTGAAATTGAGGTGGTATTTTCTATTATACAACTTTCATCCATACAAATATTCTCAAAATTGTACACAAACAAAATCGTGCTAAGTATGAAAATTTTAATGTCCATCCCAGTGACCACACGTACCCACCGCTGCTGGCGCCCATGATAAGATGTACTGTCGGCCTATTTTGTTTATGATGATACTGCATAAATATTTTCATTTACAACTGGGCAGTGAATTGCGCGTTATGGATAGATTTTCTGCACTTAGTCACATTTTTCGATAAACTTTTTTTTTACATCTTAGGAAAGAAAAATAACCCTCTATATATTGAATTAAATGTTGGATACCCCCCCCCTCCGCACTTAAATTTTTCCCAACGGCAATGGATGCATAGCTTACTTAAGACAACCCTGCATGTCTGTTTCAATATAGTTCTAATACGAGCTTCAAAGTTTCATCAGCCTCATAGGAACATTGTTTATCTTTATAGCTTGAAAGCAATCTTAACAATAAATGTTTATTACCCAGCCATCTCGTTTTCCCATTTTTTTCTATCCTATTCACAGTAACACAATAAATTCCACTTCTAGCATACGGAAACTTGATGCTTTTAAATTTTATTTCAATTAACGCTATGTTAACAACAGACGTAATTCTCTATTTCAACAGAATAGATCTGAACTGTACGGTCCGGCGATAAATTGACCCCCTCTAATTTTGTTGTATTACCTTCCAAAACTAAAAGTTTTATATAAAAGTTATAGGAGTCTAATCTGAGGTTTTTCATGTAATATTTTTTGTATACCGGGTGTGCTATCGAATATAGTTGTATTTTTTTAAATGGAATATCCTATATATTCTTTAGGAAAATGATGGTCCATTTTTTCTGAATCGAAATATATATGGTTTATCATATTTATTTTCATTAGTTTAGCCAAAAACTCAAAGGTTGTATGTCATTTACTCATGTGTATTAGATTTAGTTTGTATTTAGCCGCCTGTAGAATCTGGTGTAGGGCCTGAATACATATGATTAAATGACATATAACGTACAAACTTCAAGTTTTACACTGAAGTAATAAAAATAAGTTTAACAAATAATATATGTTTGGAATCCGACAACTAACATTTTCACTGAAAATATACCGGGTTGTTCTATTTAACAGTTACAACTTTATTCGGTAGAACTTTTATGAGACACCCGGTATACAAAAAAATATTACATGATAAACCCGATATTAGACTATAATTTTTACACGCAACATTTAAGTTTTTGGCCAAACTAATAAAAATAAATATGATAAACCATATATGTATATTTTGATTCAGAAAAAATGGACTATAATTTTCTATAAAAATACTCAGGCGCTTCACAAGTCGTGACCAAAAATGAAACATAATACACAGGACCGCATGTAACATTTTTTCCTCAAGGGCTTCATTAAAAAGATACGGTATGTTGAGGTTTAAAAATAAAAAACCGTATTTTCGCAAAATTTGTTGTGGCTTGAATTTGATAAAACGCATTATCTCTTTCTTGTAACTGACCAACAGTATTAATTTGTTCAGCATACACTATTTGTTTAAAAGCGCCCTACAAAAAGAAATAAAGGGGGTTCAAAGCAGGAGACTTCGCAGGCCAATGTACGGGTCCGTTTATGCTAATCCATCGTTGTCTAAAATGATTATTTCACCACTCGGTTATATCACGAGGAACATGCGGTGGGGCACCGTCGTGCTGATACCACATTCGTACTCCGGTGCTAATGGAACATCATTTAACACACTTTCTATGCAATTATCGAGAAAAGCTAATTATGAGTTTGCATTTAAACGTTGTGGCAATACGTGCATAAACAGTTGGCGATTGAAAATGCTGCACCAGACATTTCTAGAAAATCTGTGTTGGAACGAGTGGATTCTTACAAAACCGAGATTTTCTAACGACCAATGTTCATTATGAGAATTAAAGGTTCCACTGCTCGTAAAAAGCGGTTCATCTGATCACAAAACGAAATCAACAAAATCTGCATTTTGATTATGCAGTTACAGTAACCATTCACAAAAATTTCGAAGTTGCACTACGCAGTCGGGCTGCACATTGCCCATTTCGCCGATGTTTTTTCTTTATTTTTACGAAAACAGTGCACTCTGGGAAAAAACGCAAGAGTAATTATTTGTAACAAATTGAAGGTTAAATTCGAAAAAAAAACACTGTCGTACTATTTTTATTTGGAAATATAATGCCACTAATTCCCTGTATCGCCGCCACTGGTGCACGTTAATTTTAAGTAAAGACTTTTGAATGTGGACAATACTTGGGAAAATCCACATACCAAATTTTAGTTCATTCCAGTTTACAGTTTTGAGGATATTAATTTTTTTTTATTTTAAACTTCAACACCCCGTATGTTTTTAATGAAGCCTTCAAGGAAAAAAATGTTACATAAAAGACTCCTTAAAATGCAGTCCTGTGTATGATGTTTCATTTTTAGTTACGACTTGTAAATCACCCTGTATAGGATGTTCCATTTAAAAAATACAACTTTATTCAGTATTCGGAGTCAATTTATAGCGGGGCATGCACAGAAAAATAATTCGGAATGTTCTGAACTAATTCGGAACTGCTTGTTGGTACAAACCTTTAGAATCATAAATAAAGAAGTTCGGTTCAGTACACACTTCGACGTTTCTTTCTTAAACGTCAAACGTGCACACTGACAGAAACATCATTACAAGATTACAACATAACCTAAAACTTATCAGCCGTAAACTAATTTGAATTATTAAGGATGTCGGACGAAGTTGCAGCGCTTGCTAACAGATGCTTACCCAAACATATACTTTCTACTTCAACTACTCCAGATCAAGCTTTAAATTATATAAAAGGAATATTGCGTAAGGACTTGCCACCAACAGATAGCAGAGACATAGAAGGAGCCCTAAAATGGACATTTCTCTTGAGAAGATTTCACACCAATCGAGCCAAAGCGAAGATTAAACGAAAAACATTTCTCACCAGAAAACAAAAGTTGAAAATGAATCTACTCAAATTGCCAAGAACAGGTTGGGATTATGCATCGCTGGAGCAGCTGAATAGAATGTGGATGGAATACATGATGGCAAATCTGGAAGGTGTTACAAGAGCACCAAGTTGTACAGACCCAAATTGGGCTAGTTTCAGTTCTATATTAGCAAAATCTGAATTAGTGGGAGCAGAAATCACTATTGTTCAGTCTACCAATGCTAATCAAGTAGGAATATCTGGTATAGTAGTTCTAGAATCAAAAATGACATTCCAGATTGTAACTAAAGAGTCGCAGTTGAAGATCATTGCAAAGACAAACTCTGTTTTCCAAATGCATTTAGGGGAAATGAAATTCACCATTTTTGGGAAATACTTGACTGTGAAGCCCAATGAAAGAAGTTCTAAAAAAATCAAAGGGCCAATGATACCAGAACTGTAAAATTATTTACTTGTGATAAAACAAAGTTTTTTAATTATATTTTCAAACAGTACACATTTTGTTTTAGTTGGCAAGTTGCTAGTAAATAAATCCTATTCTTTAGTGTATTGCTGCAGATATAATGATAATAATAAAACGACTTTATTGGACAAAGTTTAGCATAATAATGATATTTAGCATAATATGAATTATTATATTCTAGTAATCATATTTATTTTAATGACTTGTTCATATACTTGATATGTTATCATTGACATTCACATATATTATTTAATTAGAAGGATTTTATAAAAAGATTTTCATATTCTTATTTGTAGCCAAGCAGTTTTCAAAAAGAAATGTTGTTACAAGAGTGCTGAGAGTACTTGGAAAAATCCTCTGGAACTTGAACATTAGCTCATTCGTTTTGATGTGTTGAGTAGGAATTGTATATTTTGTATGATATTTTTAAAATGTAGAGCATGAAGGCATAATCCAAAGACAGTATTTATGAAGTTTTACTCTAGAATATATTTATGTCTAGGCTGGATGGATTATTAAGTCAAACTTTAGATAATAACATGTGAACTGCTAGTAGCAATACAAGCCATGAGCTTACATGTGTAACGTATGTCCTGAAAGTTTTGGAACAAAATATTTATCGGATTTTTTTTTAATGAAATTCATTTAAACACAAACTAGTTATAAATTACAACTCAACTAAACTATACTATCGAATTATGTCGAGTGGCCCATTCTGCTCTACCAAACGCAAATTGCTTCGAATCACTCTCATGGCATCCTGGACAGAATTCACATCAATTTCTCTCAGCTTTTCGTAAATTCGCCGTCTTAATTGTTCTTCATCTTGGGCTTCCTAACCTCCATGATAAACCTTCCTAGACAGTAAAGCCCAAAATCCTCTGTGGCAAGTGTGGACGATTATCGTTTTTGGGAACAAAAGGTATGTTGTGTGTCGAAGCCAATTTGGTATCTCTTGAGTAATGGCATGATGCTAGGTCTGGCCAAATTATATGGTCATTAGTATGATGTTCGTGGATAAACTGAAGCAATTTGGTAGGGCAGTTATCAATATAGCTCTGACTATTCAAAGCTTCACCCCTCACTCTTCCCACAAAAGGTTGGGATACACTGCTGTTAGAAATTACTCAAAGTGAAATACTTTTCATCATATAAAATAATGATTTTTCCATTGGCAAAGTGTACCCGCCTTGGTTTACGACAGCATCTTGTTATATGAAGAGTTGATAGTATTTGGGGCTCTTAAGTCTCTTTCGATATTAAGATCATTCCTCCTCAATTCCAACGATATCGTACTCTCAGAAGGATCTGTATGGACAAGCCAGTCTCCTTGTTGCAATGCACTAAAGGCACGTGGTCTTCCACTTTTTTGGAGATTCGGACATGGTCTTCCCTGCTGCTCGCACTCCGCTATTGTCCGATAAATGATTCAAAATAAATACTGACAGTAAAGTAAGTAAACAAACTTTTGTTTCCAAATGCAACTTGATATTATTGTGTTTTTTAAAATTAAAGCCAATGAATCTTGTGCCAAAACTTTTAAGACATATGGGATGTGAAAAGTTCAATCTTTCTTTAGGATCTTTTCCCAGATAGATAGTTATTTTTCAGACATTTTTACGACGATGTCTTATCGCTGTCGTACTTTTCCAGAATAATTCTCGTCCAAAATGCACCAGAGAAGCCCGCTTTACCCCCTCCCTCACCATATTTTCAACGCGAAGGTCGGCCGCATGTACTTACACAGGTTGTCACTGTTGCTGAATACAATCAACCATCCTCACTTACCAACACAAACTCGCAAAATGATATGCAGCTGTGTTATGTATTTCAAAATGAAAATAAGGTAATTAAATTTTTTTATGTTCCTGAAAAGAAATTCTGGTCAGTGGCTGGAATCGAACACATTATTTGCTGGACAGACACTATCATATCAACAGAGTTCTTCAGGCATGTCTCTCTCATTTGTTTCAAACCATCAAACGCCGACGTCAAGTGGCCAGGTTTCAAGCTCCTAAATTAGTTAAAAGTCAGTGATTTTTCTTCCAATTTTGAAATTTCGCTCACTGTTCGTATCTAGAGATATTTCCAGTATAGGCTTTTTTGACAATGTTTAAGAATCCGGACGTCTTTTAGACCAATTGCACAGGAACTGGTTAAATAGTACTCCATGTTTGTCTAGTCAAATGTAAACACATGCAGTAATGGACAAAAGTATATAGACAAATTAATATTGTGCTATTTCTTTTTTAACTTGTTTTATTAATACACCAACCTTTATACATAATTCGTAATTAGACTCCCTTCAGTAAAAAATAATTGAAAAAACTGGAACTATGGACAAAAATATATAGACAAAGCAAAACAATTATAGAAAAAAGATGCAAAGTTGATTGAATTATAGAAAACTAACCATGTTTGTGTTAATATTTTGTAGCATAACCATTATTATCAATCACCGCCTGGCATCGTCTCGGCATAGATTGTAGAAGTTTCTTGATATAAGATTCATCAGTCTGTCTCCACTTTTGCTCTAAAGCGGTAAAAAGTTCATCCTTGTTTGAATAATTTTTATCTCGTATTTGCTTATCTAAGTATTCCCATAGATTTTCAATGGAGTTCATATGGGGAGACTGTGAAGGCCATTTGAGAACTGCTATTTTTTCATCTAGAAAGAATTTCTTTGCGAGATGTGAAGTGTGCTTCGGGTCATTATCTTGCTGGAAGATTGATCTTAAGGGCATATTGTCTTCAATATAGGGTAGCATGACATGCTTTACCCATAATGCCCAATCTATTCTATGTAAAGGTCCCATCCCAAACCCCGAAAAGCAATTCCCAAACCATAACAGACCCGCCTCCATGTTTGACAGTGGGCAAAGTGTACTTGGGGTTCAACTTTTGTCCACTAGGACGTCTAACGTAATGAACACCATCTGATCCAAACATATTGAACTTGGATTCGTCACTGCAACATACCCTCTTCCAGTCACAGATGCTAAAATCAAGATGCAACCGTGCAAATTGTAATCGGTCCTTACGGTTTTTCCTCGAGATTAGCGGTTTCTTACTCGGGCGACGTGCAAATAACTTCGAATCATTTAATCTTCTATTTATAGTTTTCGTAGAAACACTGACAATTCCTTTTGTCTCGATTTCGGCTTTTATTTGTTTTGGGGTTTTAAACGGATCTTTTGGACGAAATTACTTTTATTAATCTAACTGATCTAGCATTTAGTTTTCTAGGCCGATCACTTCTCTTAAAGGCTTCCAAGAATGCCTTTTTGTTTATATTTGTTCAATATTGCCCAAACTGCTTTACACTTCAGCTTCAAATTTTTGGCAATGTCGACTTGACGTTGACCATCTTTGTATAACTCAATGATCTTAGTTTTCACATCCAAAGAAATTTCTGTACCACTGAATCACTCAACTTATTCCACAATACTTGATGAACACAAACTAATCCTCTTCTGACACGAAACTGTACTAAACTAATGTTGAAAAGAATTTGTCTACATATTTTTGTCCCTCATAAAAAAGTGCTTATATTCAGACTTGTATTGCGTTCATTACAGATAATGTAAAAACAAGGTATTTAGTTTTTCTACTAATAACGCATTTCTTTATGGAGCAATGAAGTATGAATTCGTTTTCAAAAAATATTTAGGTAAATATTCATATTTGTCTATATATAATTTTGTCCATTACTGTATATGTTTAAATAACTTTCTACTAATGTTCCAGCTATCACGGTGGCCATTTCAATAATATTTATTTGTCTTCAAGGTGAAGTTGGTTTGTTTTTTTTGTTTTCGCTACTATACAGTGTATGTCATCAACAGCCGTAACAGTACTGTAGCACGCCGAGATCGCACGAAATCATCAGTGACATCTTGAAATTGTTTTCCATTTCGATATAGGGGTTTAACAATGCTCTCAGGTCTCATCAAATCTGAGAAGTGTATTTTTTCCGGACATTGAATGTTCGGAGCAGAATTTCGAAAAGCCAAACATTTTCTTTGACGAGAAACTCGACAAAAATGTCACATTACTTGCTAATTCATAAGACTCCCTTGATGTCAATGAGTAACTTGCCTGCTTGACTGAATTGATACTGGTAAACTGATATGCAGTTCAAGTAACGATTAATTTGATATTATTTCATGTGCTACTCTGACTTGGTATACCACAAAGCATACTGCAGATGATTTTTTATTTATAATAAACATTTTTAGGTAAAATGTTGCAGCAGCGCATCATCAGTACAAAAAGCTGATGTGCATGTGGAGAACCTTTGTGATACACCCCATAGCGAAGAAAATAGCGCTACAAATATGTCGAGGAATAATATTTTAGCTTTAGATATCGAGTGTCCTTCAAATAGCAAAAAGAAATATTCACTAGAAGGTTCCCAGAAGACTGAAATAGCGAGGAACTATAGCTGCGTTTTTAAATCTTTGCCTAATTTAAATACCAGTAGCGAAAATTTGCTGTTGTAAATAGCTAAGTGATATTTTATTATCATTAATTGTACATAATAAATTATTATTTATATTAGTGTTGGCGAATTACCGAGTTATTTCTTTTCAAATACCTGTTTGTTTAATATAGAAATGCATCAAAAACTAAAAGAGTGTTTTTTAACTGGTTGACGTCAGAGGTTTTCAAACTTATTTTGTCTACTGCCCACTTGAGTATTAATTATTTTTTAGCACCCCTAAAAATTGTTCAAGAAGGTCAAGAGCAGGGGGTATGACAGTGTCCTTTAGACTACACTGCCCCCATAGTAATAATAATAATCTTCCCAGGAAAAATTTGCATCTTCCTGTTCTTCATTGTTTATAATGCTCTGGGAAAATGTTTTCATATGCTTCGTGAAGTTAACTTAATTTAGTATGAGAAATGGTCAATAGGAAAATGCAAGGGCCTAACAATAAAAAAACAGCATATACTAATGTGTTATTCTAGTAACTACAGCCAGATTTATGTATTATAATATGCAACTAACTCTTCCTCCTGTGGTTTGAGTATCACTTTGTCTTTTAAATTTACAACCCATCCTGGATGCAAACCATAAAATATTTGTCTTGGATCCTTTCTCTCAGTAAGCATCTGATAATCTGGATCCTCCTCAATCTTGGGAAGAGTATAGCCATATTTTTGTGCTAGAACTAATCTTTCCTTAGATACTTCTGCAGGATCTGCTAAATAGCCTCTTTTTGCTGGATCTGTATAGTACATTATAGCATCTGGTGGTGGCATCATTCTACGAGGTATTGGAACACCTAAAATGATAGTTGTGTGCAATGTTGGAATCACAAAACAATTCAATGCAAGCCAATAATATTTTCCAGGAAACTAGTGCATTTAAGTGAATGTGAATATCATTATGTTTCCTGAGCCAATAAACATTGATAATACTATTCACAATTATATTTAACACAGTGTCTATTATAACTTTCAAACTGAAGCTAGAAGATGACCTTAAGGTGAATTATACTTCTAGCTGTTTGCTACTTTTACAGTTATAAAAACTTGATTTATTAATCAGGTGTAAAGCAAATTTCTATTTCACCTCTTTCAAAAAATTTTTGAGCGTTTAACATGGATTGTAGACTAGGCATATCATAATAAGCTGTTGTTATAACACCACCAGCTTTTTCAATAGCAGCAATTACAAGATCAGTCGCCCATTGCACTTCCAAGTTTATCTTTGCACAAAATATGTCTGCACCTTCATCTGTTAGTTGAACACCAAATTGATGTTGATCTGGAGCTAACCTAAAATAGTACTTTATAAGAATAAAATTCAAAGTACTATATTTAAATGTGCTCACTTATATAAGCCTGTGTTTAATATAGCCACCAGATCAATAGGCTTAGAGGCATCTAATCTGTTGGTATCAAGCAGCTTTTGTAGGACTAACATAGACAAAGGTGGGTATTGCCTTTTAAGACTGAAAAAAAACATTGTTGATATATGCGATAAAAAACAGTCAATATTAAATATATATACATAAAGCCAATGAAATACAAATGTTTAAGTGATAAAAAATGGTTTTGAGAATGTCTAAGATCCATCACTAACATCTTATGAACATCAGTTACCAAAAATTCTTAGTTTTTTGGGGATATAATTGTTTTGATGATTCAATATTGGCAAAAATATGTGATCACATTAAAATTACTGATACAATTTGTATATATCAAATTGTCAAAACATCTTACTGGTGGCCTTTGTAATAGGGCTCTCGTGGGAACCGTAGGTGGAAAGGATTGTTTCCAGTCTCATAACCCAATCTCATGAAGTTTTGTCTCTGTCCTGAACCTTTGTTACCATCGCCATGTTTGTCTCCTCCATGTTGTGCCCGGCCCCTTCTGGGTTTCTAAAATGCATGTCATTCATTGAACTCATTTTAAAACCATAGATGTAGAGGATTTCGATTACCTTGTGGGCCCCTGGATTGTTTCGAATATTTGCGAGACATACTCTTGGTAGATAGCGAAGTAAGCTCAGTGCTTTATCAGCTGTATTGGACATACTAGAATCGGTAAATCAAATGAGTAGCATGAAAAAAGGATTCCTTTCACCAAAAGGATAAAAGCAAAAACAAGGGTTTGAAAAAATTGGTTATCATCTAATGTCAATTCCATATGTCAAACGTCATCGATGGAAAATGTCATCCTTGACAGGTGTGTAGTAGAGATGTGCGTTGTTTTGGTAGAGCGTGAGTTTGCATAACAACTGTTATTTAAGGGCCGTATCGTCAGTCGTTCATACAATAATTGTAGGACACATTTATGGGCTCTTTGATTTTCATAGTCTTTCGTCTCCTTCAGAAAGGCTGGGATATTATTAGATTTCTACTGTTCTGCGTTAGCGCTCCTACTGTCAGGCTGTTTTCTTCTTGAATTGTAGGAAATTTCAGGCTATATAACAAATGATATAAATCAAAAGTATGAACAATTTGATACTGTAACATAACCTCAAAATAGAGCGCTGACACGGAAGAGTAGAAAACTATCGAAATCAAGGACGCTATAAAGGTTCAAAGATCCAATTATATCTTCAAAGGTCCAACGAGAGACAAGGAACCAACATAAATAATACTACTGCGCATATCAGCTAAAATACATCCATATCCTTGAGGGGTAAAAAGTTGCATGTACGGCGATTTTTTACCAGTATCATTAACATGGATACTTTTTATTTTATCCAATGGGAATCTGAGTGCTGTGAAAATATATGCGTTGTACTCCCGGGTTACGCTCGATGTGTAATATGAACACACCCCAGAGCTGTCTAGAAAAACAGGCTGTAGGAGATGTGCCTTGCCCATCTCTGTCTAGATGGGAGAAGTTTGCTGACTTAAGGATGGGAGGTTATTGATAGGAAAACCGGGTATAGGTTAACCAGTTAGAAATAACAGTATTAACAATTTAAGCTGTTATCAGAGTACTTACGTGAGTTGCAATGTTTTCTTTTGGTAAAAGTTGTGCAGGTTCCGTGTCTCGAAACTCACTGCTTTAGTTTATCCTAAATTTTGCTTCTAAAAGAACTTATCGGTCACTTCGTGTCTGAAACTAAATTTGTTATTGAAATTCCTTTTATTTCGTTAAACTATCCCGCGCTGTTATGGTAAATCTTCGGAAAAAGAGGAAAGCACTAGGAGAACGGATATAAAAAATGGTGGCATGCAAAGGTACAAGCAAAACCTATAAAATGTGTTACTGTTGACAATTGACAAAACTAGCAGAAGCTTCTCCAGGTGGCGCGAAACTCATACATTGAGTGCAACTAAGTAGTTTAAAGGACGAATCAAAGGAACATGAAAATATCCACTGGTTTGGTCAAAAGAAAACGCTATTACCTACATTGAAGAATTTTAATGCAACAAAATAGCGAATCGGTATCACCTGTTTATAAGTTGTTTTTGACAGCGCTGTTAAATAACGATGTTAGGAAAAATGCTTTTATAATCACTAGGACCGTATCGTCAGTCGTTCCTACAATTGTAGGACGCCTTTATAGCCTACTTGATTTTCATGATTTTCTACTGTTCCGTGTCAGCGCTCTATTTTGAGGTTATGTTACAAATATACATTTGCATCAAATTGTTCAAGATTTTGATTTATATCATTTGTTATACAGCCTGAAATTTCCTTCGGTTCAAAACGACAACATAGCCTCACAATAAGAGAGCGGTAACGCTGACACGGAATAGTAGAACTCTAGAAATATCCCAACCTTTCTGAAGGATAGAAAAGAAAATCAAGTAGTTGTAGGGCGCGTTTATGGCCTCCTTGATTGTCATACGCCTTTCTCTCCCTCAAAAATTTCTAAATTACACTTGTCCCGTGTCAGCGTCAGCGCTCTAAAATTGTGAAGATATGTTTTCTTTTTAAATTGTAGGAAATTTCAGGCTGATAAAACATGATATAACTCAAAAGCAAGCACAATTTGATGCAAATAGATGTTTGTGACATAACCTCAAAATAGTGTTCTGACACGGAGAAGTAGAAAACTATGACAATCAAGGAGGCCATAAAGGCGCCCTACAATTGTAGGGACGACTGACGATACGGGCCTAAAGTAAACGTTGGTAATTTGCCAGAGGTTACCGACAATCATGACAGGTTCCTTTCCTTTAATTAGGACTCGAAGCTAACCCAAACATTTTAGAATCTTGTCAAATTTTGTCGCTGATTAGTTTTGGTATTTATTTTATGGTTGCTATAAACCGTTCAAGAAATAGGCTCAGAATCACAGAACTTCTATTGCATATAATTGCAAAAATCAGAACAATTTAATCCATTTAGGACACACTGCCTGCTTCTTGAATTTATTTTCCTCTGTGATTTAAAATTGATATTTATATTAGATCTTCAACAATATCTCTTTATATCCTTATATGTATTTAATTAAAATTTTTTAGCTTTACGAATTCTGGCAACACCACTGAATAAGGGAAAATATCCTTACGACATAAGCTATCCCTTATTCTCTGAAACTAATGGTGCTTCTTATTTCGATAAAGGAGAACTGAGGATTATCTCGCTGCTGCTCAAGAGCTCAAGCAAGATCATAAACGTGATCAGCAACGAGAGCGCTAAAACTCTTTGATGTCGTACATCATACACATAGGTACATGAAAATAAAACAAATAAATTTTTTACGGAGCTGGCAAGTCTGCTATGTTTCCGAACAACAAAGTCATGTTACTCAGAAAACCCATATTCATGGTGATTTTTGAAGTTAAAAAACAAAAATAACCTTGTCCGGTTCGTCGAACTTTTTGATCTGATAACCGGTTAACCATACATTTTAAAATAACCTGTTAAAACCCGTAAATCCAATTTATAAAACAGTTATTCAATTAACCGGTTCTTTTGCCCATCTCTATTGCCGACATAGGTTTTTTAAATATTCTTATTTGGTTATGTTTTTATGCATTTTTTCCGTTAAACTCGATATTTTGCTTACAAATGCAAGATTTTCATACACTGCAATGATAGATTTCGAAGAAATTATGAGTTCATATGAAATCCGGTAATTATAAAGGAAGAGTACAATGTTCAAAACTACAGCTAGTCAAAGTTCTTCGCAAGATAACATCGAAAATTACAATGAAAGAACAGAGGGTAAGGGGTTGGCGGCCTGGCTAATTGAACAATCAGTTATTATAAGTACCATAGTTACAGCGAATTTTAAGTCTTACGTAGCAATATATTCTTATGAGTAGAAAGCTGAAAAAATTGTTTTTGTGATGTTTCAGAACTATATAGACCTTTCTTCATTCATCCCACAACATGTGTAATACTGGCAGAACATATACTAACATTGATGCCTCCAGAAAGAAATGTCATACTAGCTATGAACGAATATGCCATCAGAGACATCAACCCAACTCATCCAGACTCCCCTGACTCGCCAACTCATGTCATTGTATTCTGCATCCGGCTCATTACAGGTTTGTTGTTGGAAAATGTAAAAAAATCACTTCATACATTCATGAGCTGAAAATCACTATTAGGGTATACTTCAGCTGCTTTGCTAAATGTTATATAGACTGACAATCAACATAGCCTGCTTCAGTTGCTGACTGCTAGGGGCATATCCAATAATTGTATACTTCAAGACTGCTCAATTCCACACCTGCAGTCAATTAGTTTGACCTAGAGATAAATTTTCAATGGCCAATGCATGCAAGTAATAAAATAATTGACAGAAAACCCTTATATTGCTACTGTCAATTGTTCTAAAAGCGAATCTGAAATTAAATGCTTATTACAGTCATTTAAGAACTGATTTCAGGACCTTGATAGTGGAAGCAAAATATACAAATTTTTATGCATCTTTCATAATCAGTTTGACTGAAATAATTTGTTATACTGCCAATATTCAGTTGGAACTTACTAAACTGCAAAATTGTTATGTGCTGAAACATCTTTACCAAAGAGGTGTCTTCTAAGCCACAAAATTCTGTAGATAATTTAGTAGATTTGTGGAAATTGTTACCAAAAGAAGAATTTCTGGAAATAGCTGACCTAGCATTACAGTACTCAAGTGGGTTTAGATCAACATAAATGTTTGCGAAAAGGTTTTTCAAACTTTCAACTATGTTTAAAATAAATAGCACAACAGATTTGATGCCAACACAAAAACAGGACAGAAACAATGTTCTATTAATTATCTACCTTTGATTTGGACTTGGGATCTTTTCTTTCAAGTTTTGTTTCTTTATTTAGCATAAGATGCTGTTTCTTTCATTATTGTACATAACAATAATTGAATAATTGGATTTTTTACTGTACAAGTTCTAAGAGTAACTAAAATAGAAATTGTCAGTGGCTCACTGAAAATGTCTGAACCTACCACCTAGTCTGACTGTTAAAAAAATTGAGCAGCCTTTGTTTACTTTATTTGACTAGGTAGTAGTTAAAATAATGAATTCTATCAATGATTAATAATTTGTTTTGATAATTCACCATTTTATTATATGCAGATGAAATTAATATCAGTAACATATCTTATTTCAGCTGATGTTTGCCAACCAATTGGAGGCTTACTTATCTATAGAGATGAAGACCAAAGTTATTTATTGGCAGAATGTCTGAAAGCCTATATTAATGATCTTTGGAAACTTGGTCTTTTTGTTATGGCAACAGTATCTCCTCCATTTGAAACTTTCAAAAAAATGTTTAGCCACATAGTGCCAGTAAGTACTTAAAATTGACAAAACAAAAAACGTCAATATATGAAGCAGCAATTTATAGAGGGTTGGGTGTTTCTCTAGGATGAGATTCAAATATATATTCTTTCAAGCATATTTTACTGGGCGAATCATTATGATAAATTTAATCCTATCGGTTTCAGTAAAATAAAGATAAAGAATTGCTTATGTAAGTGCATTGCCTACCAATAATGATAGAAAATCAGTTATATACAACAACATGTTAGCTGTGACTACTGTTATTGTTGATTATTTTATTCATAACAGCTCAAGTGTATTTTGGTGTATATCTAACAGAGCTGATGAATTATTGTGGATGTTTTCACCATAACTGACAGCTAAATGTAAAATGTAATTAACTCATATTTATTTAGTCTGTTTTAGTTGCTATATTTTTTAAAAGTTAGAAATATCATGCAGGGTTTGTCCGGAAAGTAATAGGACTCATTTTCTTCCGCCATGACTGTACTTCGGAGCTTGCGCGCACCGACTGGATTCGGTAGAGGGCGTACCTAGCTAACGAATGAGCGGCTGGTCAGTTGTCTCCGTGCACTTGCAGAGACAGGACAGGCATTTTTACGCGACGTGTTTCTGTGAGTGGTGCAAGCCGAAAATGCAGCGTTCGTTAGAGCAGTGGTACGCGATTAAATTCTGTGTGAAACTCGGTAAATCTGCGACAGAGACGTTTGATATGATCAAGCAGGCTTACCCAGTTGTTGCTTTAGCAAGAAGTGGTGTGTTTCGGTAGCACCGGCCTTTTTGGAGCGCCGGGAAGAGGACGCTGATGAAGACCATGCTGGAAGACCTTCGACTTCGACAAACACCAATAATGTGACTCGTGTGCGCAAAGTTTTGAACTTAGACCGTCGACTAAGTATTCGTTTAATTGCCCAGATGTTAAATTTACCAAAATCTGTGGTTCATGACATTGTGACACTGCATTTGAACATGCGCAAGGTGTGCGCGAAGATGGTCCCAATAGTGCTCACTGTCGACCAGAAATTGCGGCGAGTGGAAGTGTGCCAAGAAAATTTGAACATGTGTGAAAGTGACCACCAATTTTTGAATAACGTAATCACAGGTGACGAGTCGTGGATCTTTGAGTATGATCCCGAGACAAAGAGGCAATCTTCCGCGTGGCACACGACGGCGTCTCCTCGCCCAAAAAAGGGAAGAATGAGCAAATCCAAAGTGAAAATGATGCTCATTGTCTTTTTTGACATCAAAGGCATCGTCCACCATGAATTTGTTCCTCCTGGACAAACCGTCAACGCCAAGTTTTACGTGAAAGTGCTCAGGAGACTCAAACGATGGGTCAGTCGGGTCAGACACGACATCGCAGCCGACTGGAAGTTGCACCACGACAATGCTCACACCGCCTTTCTTGTGAACAGCTAACTGACCAAGGCCGGCATCCCAACGCTTCCGTAGCCGCCCTACAGCCCAGATGTGGCCCCCCGGCCTTTTTTTTTGTTCCCTCGCCTGAAAAGGCTGATGAAAAGCAAGCATTTTGAGACGACAGAGGGGATCCAAGCAGCATGCACCGCGGCTCTCAAGGCTATTCCAGAGAATGCCTTCCGTGACGCCTTCAATGCTTGGAAATCGCGCTGGCAGCGCTGCATCGACGCAGAAGGAGCCTATCTTGAATGTTTTTAAAGAATTGTAACGATTGGCTCAATAAATTTTTTTAAATCGACTCAGTCCTATTACTTTCCGGACTTCCCTGTATATGTTGCATTATGTAACTGGTCTTGACTGGTATCTAGAGGCAATTCAATGAGCTTTTGATGACTAAATTGTGTTAATATCACATATGCTTAATTTATTTTTGAAGTCTGCTTTATTGGATTCAGTCATTAGCAGTCATTGATGTTAATTAAGCTCAATTTGATCACCACTTCAAAATATATACAGTATCAGGTGGATACCATGATAGTTAAGCATCATCAACATATTTAATCTCAGACTTGTGTAAAATTCCTTTTATTACTGGATATAGTACACAAAGTCTACAGATGGCATAACATTTTTTTTGTTATGAAAATCTTGTCTTATTATTCAATGCATAAGTATGTAAACATGTGGTTGACTTGATTACTAACTGCATTCTTAAAAATCAATTTTTATTTGTGTTGCTTTTACTATAATCATAATTGTTTCCATAGGTGGACTGCTCGGCAACAGACTCTGGCCCTCTGTCTTATTCTGTTGCCCCAATTAAAGAAATAGTTCATATCTATGATATCCAGTTCCTCCTCATCAAGTTGCAAAACCTTTTAAGAGAAGGAGATATCAGGTTTGAGGAGAAATGTCTGGATGACAGAAGGGTTTACAGAGCTTCTTGGTCAGATGTCCGTGTGTTATCCAGTTATTCAGTAGAATATAGAATGCTTGATGAGATTATGAAGCAAACAAGGGAAGTGTCCAGACGTGTACATGTTTTTACACATCCAATCTATCAGCAATTGACTGAGGCTGAAGCAAAAGGTAAATGATAGGCAAGAAGCAAATTTATTAATCGATGAATAGCAAAATAGTGTTGAAAAACCATGAATGAAAGGCACTGCATTGTTCAACAAGCATTTTATAGTTACCAGAATGTGATGTAGAATTTTTGCTCAAGTGCCGGAATGTAACAAGCTAAGGGTGCTGAAGGTGATCCTTTACACGTTCGTCCAAGGGTTGCATCTGCAAGTAAGGAAACCCAGAATTTGTTTCACCTTTTATTGAAAACCCTCTTAAGGAAAATACAAAGACATTAACTCGAATGTTACAATACACGTGAAGCATGCATTTAATATCCTCTATCTAAGCCGAAACTTAACTTTTGGTTCCGCTCTGGAACATCAGAAAAGGAGATGAGGGTGGCCACAACCGTTCAGCAGTTACGGCACCCCGTGACGCCCCCGCGGGGTCATGTGACTTAAGCTGCACGCCCAAACGGCCTTTCGTGATCGTTTAGCTCTCTGTTCTGGCAATATCTCCGTAAAATGGCGGACCTTGCCGCCCGAGCCAGTCAGGGAGGTTCGGGTTGGCAATGCATAGATTTGTAGAAGCTTCGGCTGGAAAAACCAGATCCAAATTAGGATTGCCTCAAGCACAATGTATTTGTAGCATATTTCCGAAAGTACAGATCCTCGTTTAACACCCTGCTATATGTCGGCTTCAGGATTACCATGAGCAGTTCCCCGCTGCTTCGTACGGACAGAAATGGTACTCGATGACCATTCCCATACTTGAGCTAAATCTCTTAATCCCACCATACGGATTCGCCAATCGGCGACGGGCTGTCTGGTGTCGCTCTTGCGCTACCAAAAATTCATAGTACAGTCGGACTCAATGTAAAAATTTTGCTGTCGCATAGCCACTAATAATTCATAAGTGAATAAGACACGGCAGGGAATTAATTCGATTATAAATCCCGGAACATCGACGAACAATCAATGAAGTACAACTTACGACACAAAAAAAAAACATACAAAAAAGATAAATAAATGTTGTATGCTTAGTGAAACTTTTTTTTGGGGACAAAGAATGTCAACGTCAGCGTGTTCATGGAAAAAGTTAGTATAAAAGTAAAGTATATTACAGTCCTATTGAGTGTTGTAGGACTTGAAATCTCTTACAAGTTTCATCAAATGGGCGAGGTAGGTGGTCAAATTTTTCTTAATTGAAAAAAAAAACAAGAATCAATACAAGTACTATGTGATATGGCTGTTATTTAGAGAGAAAGAAAATTAGAAAAAAATTGGGTAAATGTGATCTTGGGGCGATTTGTTACAGTAGACGAAAAGAATTTCTTTGAGAAGTAAAGTCAGAAAGTGTGAAACCGGATGATTAAAATTTAAGATCATTACTTCTTCTTAAAGTGCAACCAAAATGCTTGACAAAAGGTAAAAACATGAACAGATTTTGAGCTCGGGCCGTGGGTAAGTTGAAAAACGATTTCTAACGAATCTACGCCATTTTATACCTCGTATAATTGAATCCGAAATATAATTTTTATTACTTGAAATGTAAATTTCTTTAATTCGCGAATCAGCATGTATGGTTACGGTTACATTCAATGCAAAAAGATATTCTAGCCAACTACGAAACCACTGAGATGGACACGTGAATATTAAGCCCACAATTAAAAGAGTTGATTGTTTATTGATGATTGGCAAATGGTTATCTTTTAATCACAAGTGAGAGGTCTGCTACCATTCACTGGGCAATCCTTCAAAATGAAAGCAAAAACGAAAAAATTGAGTATTATTTAATACAATTCATTGTTTTTGATATGAAGCATTACACACAAAATGAATATGCAAATTAGGTATGGTACTTTCCTTCACTCTGATGATTGATAAGTGTTTCAGTTTTGCAGTATCCTGTGAGAATACCCACTATTTGAAGTAAATTTCGAAAATATTTAGTTTAATACATCTCTGTCTCTCTCTATTAATTTTATTTTCGTTGTGTAAGTTCAAAGTTAGTTCACTTAACACAATCTTTAATTTCAGGCTTACTTTCAACAGAAGCTACTGGAACTGTAGTTTTACTGAATTGTGTAAGATCGTTTACTAGGATTATCGAAATGGATGTTGTAGATGTGGGAAATTTCCTAAAAACAAACGATTGGGATGGACTGATAGATATTTTGCACACAATGACTTTCCAAAACTCTAAAACGCGAACTTGTACCAAAGAAAAGAAAGCTTTTTCAAGGATTGTCGAGTGTGACTCGGATGCAAAGCGTAGACTGGATTTTTCAGGTAGGAAGTGTTGATAATCCTCCATGTTTGTTTGGCTGCTAGAAGTGTTGCTTCATATTGCTAGGGCCGGCTTTCCAGTTGCAGTTTAACTGTAACCACAGACTGGAACTGTCAGACGTGATTTTCATTGTCAAGGTAGACTATAACGGTTAACTTTAATTCAATGACGATTCATGGGCTAAATAGAAAATTGAAGCATTGATTAACAAATTCTACTTGAAGATAGCCAACCAGATGCTGTATACTGCCATCCAAAAAATTATCTAAGATAAGATAAGACGTCGTCGTCCATGATAATTTGTCGCAGCTATGTTTCTCATCATGTATGCTCGTATAGTTGTCTGTAGGATCTATGAGACACTAACCTAACCTTTTCAAAGTATATTTCAAATTATAGCAAAGAGGAGAAATATCCCAACCAGCAAATTAATATATTTCATTATTCTGGTCTGTCCGTGCAATTTGATAATTGCTTTAATACCGCTCTTAAAATACAATTTTATTTTAATATAATTGACAGTAAAACATTGAAGCTTTCAAGAAGTATTTTACTTTTACTAAGAATGTTCTTAGAGCAAAAATACAAAACAGTTTTAGGACAAATTTTAAAACTGTTGCTCAAAAAATAACAATGAAGGTTAATAGGAACAATCTTGGTGATGTTATACAGAAAAGGGTATTCAGGTCAGAAAATAAACAATTTTTTTAACTAGCCTCAGATCTGTAAACTGAAAAAAAAAATACTTCAAATTCCTCAGAATGATGTAAACAAACAATGGACTTATTTTAGTAGTATATTTCAATCTATTTTTGATCAATCGTTTCCCATGAAAACAATAAAGTGACAAAAACGCTCCCTAACCCAAATCATTCTCAGGAAACGGATAATAATATTAAGGAATGTAGGGACCGACTGGATGTTCTATATGTTATAAGCAACAGTGACAATTCCTATAAACCATGCTATAACAAAGTCAGAAGAGAGTACAATCTATTGTTAACTAATGCCCGATATAAGTCATATCAAAGATGTATACAAGAGTCAGATAATAAATCAAAATGTGTGTGGAGTATAGTAAAGGAAATAAAAGGTCAAAATAGAGATGACTGTGTTATTCCAGGTTATCCTGATCCTGAATACTGTATTAATGAAGTAATTAAAATATTACCACAGGCACCAATACATAACTCTTCTGACTTTTTAGACCATGTGCAAGAGTGTATGCCACTAGAATATGTTATTGCTCTAGAACTAGCAGAACTTGACAAAAAACTTAAAAATAAAATGAGTATTAGTGATGATGGCATTCCAGCTAGTATTTTGAAATATTGCTTAGTAGTAATTCTGGAACCTTTGGTTCACATAATAAACAATTCACTTAAGTACGCTATTTTCCCTGAAAAACTTAAATTAGCTATAATTATACCTATATATAAAAAAGGAGATCCTAGTGACTTGCTAAATTAAAGCTTTTTGAGTTAGTGATATATTCAAGAATTATGAATCATATGATATGTAACAACGTAATTGCAGAGTCACAACATGGATTTGTAAAAGGGAAATCCATCAACACGGTGATCTTTTCTTTCAGCCACAACATCATAGAATGCCTTGAAAATAATATGATATCTCTGGGTCTGTTTTTTGATCTCTCCAACGCTTATGATTGTGTGGATCATTCTCTACTATTGAATAAACTAGAGGGGAAGTGCTTGCAACTGGATTAAGTCTTATCTGACAGATTGTAAGCAAAGAGTTTTCATTACAAATAATGAAATATCAGCCGTTTCATCACAGTTAACGGTGGAAAGATGTATTCCACAAGGTAGCATCTTAGGACCTCTGCTCTTTTTGATTTTTGTGAATGACCTATGTGCTAGTATTACAAGCCCAAATAATGTATGCACGATCCAATACGCTGATGACACTAGTGTACTAGCTGCTGGCCAAGATTTCAACCATTTAGCTGATAGTACTTTGAGCCTCTGCGAGAAAGCATTTTTGTGGTTTGCTCGTAATGGATTATCTCTGAATACCTCAAAAACAAATGCGATTGTTTTTAAGTTAAGAAAAAAAATCGGAGCTACAAACATCACCTTGGCAGAAAGAATAGAAGTCCCTCTGACAGACTGTGGAAAATTCTTGGGAGTTCATAGTGACCAAGCACTTTCCTGAGCTAAACATACAGAACATCTAGAAACAAGGTTAAACAATGCATGTTATACTATTAGAGTACTAAGCAAGTACCTAGACCTCAAGACTACAAATGGTATATTACGCGAATTTCGAATCCATTGTACGTTTTGGAATAATTTTTTCCGGACATAGAAGCCATACCAATAGGATCTTTCTAGTGCAAAAGCGAGTGCTGAAGTGCATCCTAAAAATATCATCTAGAGAGACTTGCAGAGTAATACAATTTTAACTGTAGCCGCAATATATATTCAAGAGATTCTAATTTTTACATTTAAAAATATTAACAATTTTTTCGGTAACTCACTAAGTGACTATAGCACAAGAAATAGAAATATAAATCTTCTGTATCCAGTCCATCATCTCACGGTTACCGAAAAAAATGTCCATTACAGCTGCACTAAAATATATAATAAGTTACCACAAGAAATTAAAAGGTTGGCAGATATAAAAGAACATAAAAAGACTATTTATCAATTGTTAATGCACTTAGAACCATATGACCTTCAAGAATATTTTGAAGTGTAATATCTCTATTATGTTATTTGTTTTGCCTCTTTGTTTTTTCTGTCTTGATGACACTGTGACGTATATTTCACCTAACAGTGTGTAATATATTCATAATCATGCACTGTTATTTTGAAATAAAGATTTATTATTATTATTATAATAATAAACGTTTACACAACGTTTATACGACATTTAAGCATACTTTTTTCATAATAGATTTACTGGTACGAGTTTATTCGTTTACGAACATCAATAAAATGTTTAATTAGCGCTCTGTGAAACAATTATAAAATTGATTTGTTAATATTTTCGGTCTGATATTGTCGCTCTCTAAAGCATGTTGCACTCTCGACTTCGCAACTAGGAAAGATATTTTATAATTTTCAACTGTCCGAGGTCGGTTAAATTAAGGCAAGAATGTGGATTTCAATGCTTAACCTTACCCCGTTTTGAAATTAAACAAATCTCCAAAAAGACGTTCCAGTATTATCGGGAAAAATTAATGCCTTATTCGTTTTTGTAAATGTATTTATAAATGCTTTTGTATCGTCAAAAAAAAATTGTGTTATAATAATTGCATGATAATTCTTTGAGGTCTGATCTAAGTGCAATATGCTTTAGCGAGTGACAATATCAGAAAGAACATATTTTATAAATCTTATAAACGTTTCACATAGCGCTAAACAATTTAATTCATGTTGGCAAATGAATAAACTGGTGTCAGATAATACCAGTATAAATCTATTATGGAACAAATTTGTTCGGTAAGCTTAAATTTCTTATAAATTTGATATGTAAACGTTTATAAGCTAATGTTTGTAGCTCACTGTGTACACGCATGGACTTTTTTTACACTATCCCTTCAATACAGCTCTGTTTAACTGAAATATACACATGAATTAAACATTTTATTAAAATCTCTTATAAATCAAATTAGTACTCTCAAGGAGGTAAAAGTATTTTATAACATGGGAGACATATTTTACGACTGCAATTTTTAAGTGGATTACAAACATTTTTGCAATAATAAAATATCTTGATTTACTTTAGTGTTTATATAATGGTATAAGCTGGTTCACTTGAATTATTTTATTTCTATGCAGGCCAGAATGAGAAGAAATACAGAATGCAAATTTTGACCTTTTCTCACGAAATTCAATTAAATCAATATACTTGAGGCGCTTGTAAATTTTGCTACATGTATCCCATATATTATACAGCAAAACTTCTAAACTTCTTGCAGATTACAAATCGATTTTCTGTCTAAATGAAATATAGCTGATGTAGTTACTCAAATGTATATTTGCTAAGAAAGATCTAATGCTTGCATTTTTGTTGTATCAAGGATCATTAAAAAACAAATTATTCTCAGTGGGCTCAATTTAACAAAATCAAACTTTTAGTGTTAGCAAACAAAAAAGGTGCATCCAAGATAATAAAAAATCTTTAAAAAAATTGTGTTATTCTAGTTCTATAACTATTTTCCATAAAACTGTTTCATAATTGTTGCATACTATGTTTTATAATAATTTTAAAAACGTTTAAATAATTATCCGGTAAAAGCTGTGGGAGGCATAATAAAACAAATTGAATAACAACATTGCTGCACAAGACTGGGTTTAAAAGCGGTGTAAAAACGTTGTTAGAACGTTTATAGCGGCATTGCTGTTTGATAAAAATATTCGGTAAACGTTGTTAGGACATTTATAAAACATTAATTGTTAGTTGGGATAACAAATTCTTATAGATGACGCCATGATATCTCATGTCATCTTGGATAATTTTCTGTATGCCGAAATACAATACATCGTTGGTAGAATTTTATCAGATGGAATACATATTTTGTGCTATTTCAACTTCAATTTACGACGGCCATTTTTAAGTGTATTACAAAAAATTATTTTTGCAGCGATAAAATGTCTTGATTTACTACTTTAGTGTTTATATAATGGTATAAGATGTTTCACTTGAATTATTTTATTACTAGCAGGCCCGAATAAGATAAAATACAGAATGGAAATTTTGACGTTTTCCCATTAAATTCAATTAAACCAATATACTTGAGGGGCTTGAAAATTTTGCTAGATATATTTCTTGTGCTACCTTCAGGTAGGATACGTTCATCAATGGTTGTAGTTGAACTATAGTGTCTGATATATTTTGCTTGACTGTGATGGTAGTTGTTAGATACCACGAGACACAAATACCCACATCACGAAACACACAGAACATGATAGCAGAGACGTAAAAGCAGCTTTGCTACCTTGACAATCATGAGTTAGTTGAGAATAAGTTGAAAAACTAACTTACGGGCAAATAGTTTACTTCTAGATACAAGTCTAAAATCAGGAAGATTTGTACTTTATTCCAACAAAGCTTCAAATTTTTCAGGAATGACTGGATCCACTAAAAACAAAATACTTTTCTTGTATGAATCATTAACCAAGCTTCTAATTTGCTGGATGTCATATGAAGAGACTGACAATAAACACTTTCTAATTCACTGGTCGTCATTTGGATAACTATAAATTATCATTTATTGCAGATTCTGGGAATGCGTGTGACAGATTAGCAGATGGTTTAGAAGACAAGCTGTTCATTGATAGTGATAAAGATACTGTTAAAAAAGCAAAAAGTAAGAGGAGCAAAAAGAATACTCTTGCTAATGAAGAAATATCACCAAATCAGACAGATAAGAAGCTCAAAGTAAAAGAAGCATCTGTCAATAATGCCATAGTATTAGATAGTATATGTAAGTATCAGGTAGTTGGTGGAAGACAGTTTTATATATTTAAAATAATCTAGAGTGAGGAGATTGCACAGATAGTGATATGCTGTTGGATAATTTGCTTGAAGGTATAGAGATTAGCAATCAAATAATTTTTTTTTTTTTAAGATTCATTCAATCAAATAACGCTTTTGTCGCCGGTGCCGCGACTGGCTCGACAAGAGCATTCTAAAAGATCAATTTTACAATCAATATTTACAAAAACGTGATAAATGTTTACTTTTGATGACCGTTTTTCGAAAAACGACACCTACCAAAAAGGTATAATGAATTTGTTTCCAAATTGAATGGAATACACTAGTTTGTACGGCTGGTGTCACACAGCTTACACGATTATCGATTTAGCAAGAGAGAGCTCCCACAAGCATATTATTTCTTCTAATAGACCTGAAAATGTTGGCTTTTAAGATCATGTGATCTCGCATCTATGAATTATTTTCTATAAGGACATGTCAGCTCACCTTCTATCACGGACAGTGGGAGCTTTAGGAGTCAACATCACAAGAAGTGTACTGTGATTATAATTAGAAATATAGGTTGTTTATATTTTATTCATTTAGTCGCATCATTGCAAATATGCAAATTCTCCAGCTGATTGAACACTGGTGTGCCGGGTTCCTCTTTGTTCAAACATAGAATGTAAAAAAAGTGGCGAGACTATGATTGATGAGAAAAATAAAATGACTTTCTAATATTGCACTAATAAGTTTAACAAATGAATTTCATACTGATCGAAAGTATGAGGCCTATAGAATATACAAACGTTGGATTGTCTATTATTTCCTGAGGTATCTACTGGGTTGGCCAGTATCAACAGGTACATTGATACAAATTACTTTCACCCGTGTTTTTATAAACAAACCTTATATCAAAATAAACGCATTTTCATTGCGAACATACCATTTAGGGTTGTTTGCTTAAAACGTGGCTGGAAGGGTGGTTGGCGGGTTTTTTAATGCGGCTTTTTGATACGAATGGAAACTTCCGACAAAGAGGTTCGAGCTAAATACTCCGTGCAATGCATTAGTAAATACGGAGCAATATTTTGCAACAACTGGCAGCAGACTAGAGAAAACAACAAATATAGAGGGTGTTCCAAATTGGACCCTCACCATTGGGATCTCGGAAACTGTAAGAGATACGAAGCCGCCTAAATATAGTCAACGCCAAACAAAGTGGCGTGCACGTCATCACGATAAAAATTCCCCGACCTAATGCCTAGGTTTCTATCACAAACAATTGCTCTATTGCAGTTTCATATTAATGTGATATATAAATTGTAAAATGGTCATTACTCTCTTATTATGGTTAATAGTCATATAAACATTGTTATTAAAATATCACATAAGTTGCTTTCTGATAAATTTAGACGCATTATGCGAAATAAAATGTTTTGCAAACGCTCCAATCACTTATCGACATGTAAACGCACTAAACCGATTTCGCAGCGTTGACACATGTCACCTTGAAACTTATTTAAACTGGGAACTGACATTTGTATTAATTTTGACACTGAATCAATTTGTGGCATTTCAAATCTTTATAAATCCTTTGGCTCCGCATACTGTAAATCAACAACTGTTTGTTTCAAAACAAAATTATTCATTTTACGAGTAGATAAAGGCAATTTTGGTATATAAAGATGCCCAAACAGTTAAATAGTCGGTGTAAGGAACTCGTGGCCTCGTTAATGCACTACTTTGAGCAAGAAAGGGACAACAACGGGCCTTTGTTGCCTTTAAATGCTGTTCAAGAGGTAGGTTACTAATAATTATATGTAATGTATATTAATAATAGTGAAATTTTATTTCATTTTTTGTAGCGTGTTGCTGCTGCTTTAAAAATTAGTTTAAGGACAGTTAGTCGTATTTCCGAGGGTGTGAAAAGTGATGCAAATTTAGAATCGCCCAAGAAAAAGCGGAGTTATATTAAACGTGTAACCAACACAGCGACATTGGATACAAGTGCCATTCGAGAAGTGATCTATAATATGTATCACAAAAGTAAGATCTTATTATAATAACTTATCAGAAATTTGCATTAATTTGTTAACTAAATTATAATGTCATATTACACATGGTTTCAGAAGAACAAGTTACGATACAAACTTTATGGTCTCGATTAAGAGATAGGGCATTATTTGATGGTAGTGCCACATCTTTAAGGCGGTTGCTTAGAGATCTTGGATTTAAGTGGCTTAAGGACAATCCGCGACGAGGGCTCATGGAACTACCAAGTATAGCTTTGAAAAGGGTGGAATTTCTAAGGCAATACAATCAAGCCAAGGTTGAGGCCTTAAACCAGTTTATCTTCCTCGATGAAACTTGGATATTTCAAAATGGGACCATAGGTCGCTCTTGGCAAAATGGAAACCAAAAAAGCGTGAAAGCTATTAAAACAGATGGTAAAAGGTATGTACTTTTACACAATTTGCACTATAAAATTTAAAACTAATATATTTTAGATACATTATATTACATGCTGGAAATGAAAATGGGTTTATTGAGGGTAGTGAAGCGATATTTTCTTTGAAAACAAAATTGAGCGATTACCATGGAGAGATGAACCAGGACAATTTTTTGAAATGGTTTCAACATCAGTTATTAGAAAAATTGGAGAGTCCATCTATGATTATACTGGATAACGCCCCTTATCACAGCATGATATTGAACAAAGTGCCCAACAATGCATGGACAAAAAAAAATATCCAAGACTGGTTGACAAATCAAAACATACCATTTTTAAACACAATGTTTAAAACAGAGCTATTGAGTATTGTTGCTCGGTACATAATGCTTCTTAATTATATATATTTTGGTCGACAGTTTATATTTCTTTTGTTTATTCCTATTCTTAAAATAACTGCTTTTTTAGAAACAAACCACCTAAAATATACGTGATTGATGAATTGGCGGAACAACATGGGCACAAAGTTCTTCGTCTGCCTCCTTACCATTGTATATTTAACCCTATTGAGTTAATTTGGGCATAGCAAAAGGTTACTATAACAGACATATTGGTAGAGATGGTAACAGTGAAAAAGACTGTTTGGATATGTGGAACGAGGCTCTACAAACAGTTACCCCAGACATGTGGAAAAATAGTGTTCGACATACTGAGCAAGAAATTTTTAAATGGTATGAAAGAGAACGAATTTTTGATCGACCAGACATCGAACCTTTAATAATCAACTTTGAGAGTGATGAAGATTCAGATTCAGACAGCGCTGAAGAAAGAAACTCCGACTAACTTTATTGTACAGAAAAAGCTTACACCAGTAGCTTACCTAATTTTAGAATGCATTTTTCTGTATGAATTCTGTAAAATAAATACCATGCATAAAATTTGGAGGACCCCATTTGGATTTTTATTCAGTACCTTTAAGCTATCAATTAAATATGGTAGTTTCATAGTGTCATCTGATCAATAATTGTCATACTTAATGATACTTAATGATACAAGTACAGATCTATAATTTTATTATACTATTATTTTTGTTCTCATTTGAGGTTAATATTGCTTATAAACCTAGATATGTAAATAATAAATTTTATTATTTTACAAAAAGTTTGGCAACAATGTAAATTTTTCAACACACCCACCTTGATGACGTGCACGCCACTTTGACTATATATGTATATATATACTTGAATTTTTTGTAGTTATTTTAGAAAAGTAAATAAAGTGGACAGTCAAAAAATTGAAATAAAAAAGTAAGAGAAAATCTATGCTAAGGAAAGAACAACAGTATAGCGAAAATACAAGAATTATGTTAACGAAAAATAAGTTCCAATTAATTAAAAATGATTAATCTGATTCAGTCAAACTTTGATCCTCGAATTCGGTAGATGGGATACATTGCTCGGACCTGTTTGTCACAAGTTTAAATTTGCATCAAAATTTCACTTTTAAAACTCGCCAACCGTCATTCCAGCCAGGATTTTTGTAGATTACCTTATACTCGTATTATCGTGTTGGCAATGAATAGTATATGTATTTTTGATTTTAGCAGCAGTAAGTAAGTGTACCCAATCTCAATCAGATAGAACCTGTGATATAGATAAAAATAATAACAGTGATGATAGTATAACTTCTAATGAAACTAACGCACGAGACGATTGTGAACATAGAAAGAGAAAAACGCACAAGAAGAAAGCAAAAAGTGAAGGGTCTAGTGAAGATTCCCTTAACAATTTCGATTTCGTAATAAACAGTCCACGCCAGTTTTTCGAATCTATGATACAGTGCAATAATGTAGGCCCTGAGAAGCCAATCAAGCCAAATAGGCTGGGTCTTGTAGACATAAATAATCTATTAGAAGATACTAAGGACCGTTTAGAATCAAAAGAGATCAACAATGAATCTTCCATTCCGAATAGTAAAGATATTTTTAGTTCAAAAAGTGACGACGAGACTGAACATTGTATTACTGCAAGCTGTGATAAAGTACCTAATATATTAGAGTTATTAAGCAAGGTAGATGTTAACGAATGTACTAATAGTGAGTTTAAGTCGGACACCACGAGAAGTGAGATGCTCTGTACTGTATATGGAGTGCGCAGGTTAGTTAATCATTTTTCTCTACATGACTACTGAACATTAACCTGTACTTGTAATTATAAAATATTCTCTGATTTAATTTTTTTTCTTGATAACGTCCCTCCTTTGCGCTTTCTAGTGAACAATTTTCGCGGCTTAGGTGGAGTTTGCAAGAACTTAGTAATAATTTTAGATCCCATTGTCTAACTGGACTGTTACCCGTTGAGAAGAATATCCACAATAAGTGCCATACCACGCTAATCAATATCCATGGTATACTGGCCGCTGAATGAGACTACAGATGGAAACTATTTTTTCACGATACTCCGTCACGGCAAAATTTGACAACAAATCACATCAGGTTATTTAGTGACATTCAAAATACCCCACATCGCCAGTTTTGACGGTTCTGTATCAAAAAAACCTATTTTATTAAAGCTAATTGTATAGATTTACAGATAATTTTATTTGCCAGAATATACAGGGTGATGCACAAGTCGTGACAAAAAATGAAACATCATACACAGCTTTTAATTTTAAGGGGGCTCTTCTATGTAACATTTTTTCCTCAAGGGCGTCAATAAAAAGATGTTGAAGTTTATAAATAAAAAACAATTTCTTAACATCCTCAAAACCGTCAACCGGAATTAACTAAAATTTGGTATGTGGATTTACCTAAGTATTGTCCACATTCAAAAGTGTTTACTTAAAATTAACGTGCACCAGTGGCGGAGATACAGGGGATTAGTGGTATTATTTTTTTCAAATAAGAATAGTACGTCACTGTGTTTTTCCTAGAGTGCATTGTTTTCGTTAAAATAAATTAGATAATAATAATAATAAGTAAATTAGATAATAATAATAATCCAGCTTTATTTATACAAAGTATAAAAAGGCGAAGTGTCGCTAAAAAGCATTTTTCAACTTAACCCAACAAATATTTGTGTAAATTTTCTAATCCCAATGAAAACAAAAAAGTTAAAAAAACCTGTAAAGAGACCCTATTCATGGTCATGGTCTACATACTGGACAATGATATCAGAGATAAAATGCTTCAATCTTTTTTTGAAGTTCTTTATAGAGTAGTAGCTAGGCAACGCGTTGTATAGCTTGGTAGCAGTATATATGTATGTACAACCTTTTAAATAGAAATGTTGAATGCTCAGGATAACCTAGGTATGCTTAGTCTTTGTGATCAGTTGCAGACATTGCACATTTTGCCGATAATAAAGATGTAAAACTTCACGATTTAAAATTCTCCACACAATTCTTTGGGAACATGGTAATTGGGTTGCAATCCGCCTAGTACTTGTACTGGGCTCATCCGACGCCAAATGAATCACTTCTAGTTCCTCTTGAACAGTATGCCGGACACTCTGGGAAGTTTGGCAATTCCATATTGATGAAGTCTTAGAAATGAATGATCCTTTGGAGTAGGTTGGCGTCTGTTAGGAAATCTACGTTAATACACTCGAGAAGCCGCTAAAGCATTTCCCTTACAGAGCCCATGTACAAAAATAATATTGGCGTACTCATCACTGCTAAATTACATTTCGTATCAAAAATGGAAAAAGAAACTTTTGACTTGACTTTTACAAAAAAAAATGGTATTAGTAACGATAACAACCTTATAACAGATAACTTTGCCAAACTCTCTCCCAAGAAACGTCGTAATTGTATCTCGGCTCTTCATGAATGATCTAATTTGTTTTATTTTTATTTTTACGAAAACACTGCACTTTAGGAAAAAACAAGAGTAACTATTTGTAGTAAATTAAAAGTGAAGTTCGGAAAATTACGCGTTAAAATAACAGTGGCGTACTATTTTTATTTGGAAAAATATTGCCACTAATCCCCTGTATCTCAGCCACTGGTGCACCTTAATTTTAAGTAAATACTTTTGAATGTTGGCAATACCTAGGTAAATCCACATACCAAATAGTTCATTTCAGTTGACTGTTTTAAATATATTAAAAAAATGTTTTTTTATTTTTAAACTTCAACACCATGTATCTTTTTAACGAAGCCCTCGAGAAAAAAATGTTACATAGAAGACCCCCCTCAAAATGCGGTCCTGTGTATATTTCATTTTTGGTCACGACTTGTGTATACATGCCAAAAATTACATTATTTCAAGAACTTGGACTAAAATATCTGCAAATAAGTAAAATAACAGAAGTAAACCCTTGTTTTAAAAGGACATTCATAAAGTTACAGAATTTTAATGAAGGGTGAAGTTTAAATTAGAGAATCAAATTAAGTAAAAATTTTGGCGAGGCTATATTGGCGGTTTGAAATTTCATCTGTTAAATCTTATTTCCGGGTAGGCTTAAGACATATTTTATTTCTAAGTAGAGTCACAAATAGATTGATGTCAAACGAGTAAAATATCTTGTCTGAGTAGGCTTAAGATCCATTTCTTTATTTCTGAATGGAAAAAGCTTTTTAACTGTATATGCGTTATCTGTTGCGGTATCATAGTGGAAAACCAGAGGCATAAGAAAATATATGACCATTGTAGAATATTATTTTCTGACTTGGGGACATCAATATATTTTTTATTCCTGATATTGTATTCGTGTCATGTTTTCTAACATTGCCTTTATGTGATATATTGCAGTGCTGTTTGTGCAGTTTGTATATCTTGTTGTCGAAACTCCCAATTAGTAAAAGTACGTATGTTCAAATAAATGTGTATCCATGTTTGGTATAAATAGTTCTGAATACGGTCCCGAGTTTTACGAGATTTTTCTCTCTTAAAACAAAGATAACACTCGTTGGTGATTGTTTGATTTTCCTAAGTAAATCCATCCTAGCTACTTTTAGTACAACAAGCCTGTAAAAAAATCGGGTACGTTGAGTTTGGTAGGATTTTCGTTTGTCACTGTGACTTTAACAATAATCTTAAAATGTACTTAATATAACTAATCTGAGAAAATAGATGTTTTGGATATCCCAGAGACAATTTGCAGCTCGCTTTTCAAGCAGTTTTTGGGCTCACACATTCCAGAGATATCCGCTACCGGAGCTGTTTTTTTGCTTTCCAAAGAATGTTGGGATCATTTTCGTTTGTCCTGGCCCTCCTGGGAAAAATTCTTGTGGTTATCAAATAGTTGATGAGACTGAGATCAAAGGGACCACCAGTCACTGTGGCATCTGTGTATGTTTGGCAACTGTACCTTTCCTGTATACAGTGTGTTCCAGCAGTAGTCGAATGGTCTTGAACCCTGCCGAGATTGCGCGATGTCACCATTGCAATTCTAAACTGACACCAAGCACCCAACAAAGTCCAGGGCTGCCCGGGGCAGACATTCATATTTCCTAAAGACGCGCAACGCATCAAAGATACAAGCAGGCACGATGTTATTTGTTGTTTTGGATGTACCAAACACGTCATCCTCGTCCATTTATTAAAAAGCATCCAGAAAGTGAGAGAATGCCAATATCCATCTTGAACCGCTGACGTAACATTCTGGTTGAGCTTTATCTAATCCTCGGCTACTAGTGCAGTGCCTGCATTGATCGTGGATTCTAAACGCGAGAAAGAGAACTTCTACCACCATGTTGTTTGTCTTGTGAGAAAATTATTTAATACAAACAATAGTTTGGCTTTAAGACGACCGAGTAAAACATTTAAGCGACTAGGTAAAGGCAGATAAATGAAATAGTCTATAAAGTCAGGTAATTTGCACCACCTAAAATACGAGTATTTCATAAAATAGCTCCTTAATGACTTGTTTGAATTTTCAATATTTTGAACCCTTGCGAGGCACGACTGGAAAACATTCACGAGTTTGTTAAATTGTACCAGTACGATTTAACAAACTACCTGGTGGTACAAATTAGCATACTGCTATGAAGGACACACATTATTTTATTTCTTTTTAAAAAGTGTGGATAAGATAAATTTCACTCACTAGAGATCTCATAAAATAATAACTATGAGAAATGCCTCTCTAACTAGCAGAAATCGATTATTTGGACAAGAATGCTTATATTGAATATTGAGGTGGTACAACTTAAAGACAGGTACAACATACCCGACTTTTTCCTATATTGTAATTGTCATTTTGTGATTTTTTTATGTCAGTAAATTTTCCAATTTTGCATACGTGGTTTCATTTGGCGGCCAATAGAACATGGAGATTGATCAGCGAGACAACCTCAGGATAGGTTTCAGATGTTATCATAACACGCCAATTTCCATCATTTAATTTTTCGACGGCTCACCACATTTTAGTTTCTTCTGCTTATTCGGACGTTTGGATGAGACAAAACTTGTTTTATGTCACCTTTTAATGGGAGCTCTTTTGTTCTTTTTTAGATTACTGAAATTATTGATAGATAGACGGATCCGGATAGCAAAACCAGATGCTTTTCTCATCGACCATGTCGACTTTTTTGTCACGACTATCAAGAGGGAAAGAAACGGAATTACCACGGCACAACACTACGGCCATAACTATGAATTTCTAAACGCAGAGTTAGCATTCACAGCAATGAGTAATAGCACCGGATTGTTCTTGGTTTCCAAGTGATAGACACAGTTTCTTGTTAACGCGTTCATGCCACAGTCACCAGGTACACACAGTAATGGAAGCCAATGGAAGCATTACTACTGTAAGGCTCGTATTCATGAAGCCCTCGTCAGTTAAGACCGTTGCTGTCCAGTAGTATTATCTTTTTTTCTAACAGCTTGAGTATAATATTTTGAATTCGACCCGTCACTGGCGCCGGACCAAATATTCTTTCAGAATTTTACCTGTTGGAAAAACATACCAATCGTGCAACGTTTCCACTGATATGCATTTCTGTACCATTTTCGCAGTTTTGGTATAAGCTTGTTCTTTCACGCATTCTGGTGCACAGTGTGGTGTATATATTTTGCATCGCACTTTGCAACCACTTTTGCATACTTGTCAAAATGAGTGAGCTGGAATGTAGAAAGTGGAAGTCAGAAATTATAACGATAAGCAAGACAAGATGATGCCACAAAAATAACAGAACTCATTCAGAACAGGTTTTTTGTCCTCTTTCTTGATGCTACCATACACCGCTTAAGGCGGCTCCGACGAAGTGAGTTTCAAGCCATTTACAAGGGTTCAGCTGCTTCGAAACTGACACTACATTTTTCAGTATTTTTGACTGAAATTCATAGAGTATGTTCAGAAGACAATTGTCCAGGGTACTATTGGAGCGATTTTCGAAATTATGTTATTGCACAAGATTTATGGTGGGTTGAAATGCTTACTTTTTTTGTTGAACGTCGATATTTTTTAAAATCAGCAGTGTAAAAAATGAAAAAGTGGCTCGATAGAACACTGTAGGGTTTTGTTTTCGGCACACTGAAAAAATTTCATCCGAAAATATTAAAAAATGTAGCGTCAGGTTCGAAACGCGCAAACCTCTACAAATGGGATTTTGCACGTACTTTGTCTGTTTCTTGCTGCCAGCGCAAGCGACGCGGCGGTATGTACGCACTAAGAAAGGAGGAATTCAGATAATTTGGTAATCCTATTTCATATAATATCGTGTAATATAAGTAATTCTGCAAATGCGAAGTAAATGTTCGTAACTAGTTACGTAAATATAACTTCTGAACTTATGCCCCGGTTGTTTCTCTGATCTATCTATCTTACACTGGTCAATAAACGAAACCTAAGATGGTGAAAATACTGCTTCAGCAAATTGAAAATTTTTACTCCTCTATCTTACAGCCGTTTTACTTCGCACCCAGTGGCGCGAAAAATTTCGAAAATGAGATGTTATGTTTATAAGGTCTTATATGACATCTACATCACGAAAAACTATATCTCTCATTTCCGTCTGTCTGTCTGTTAGTCCTTTGGCAATCTAAAACTTGAAAATTACCGCTGGGATTTTTATGAAATTTAAACACAAGATATGCAAAAGCTTTGTAGTCCAGTAGTTTTTCTGCTAGAATTGCTACATGAATTTTACGTGCGTATTTCTTTCATTTATCAAAATATTGTCTGGTGGTTGAGGTATTTATTATAGGTGAAAATAAAAATATATCTAGTACCTTTCCACGTCATCTAGAAAAATTTTAGCGGATGATCGATTTGCAAGCGGGTAAATGTTTTTATTATTACCAAAAATCTTTGTTCTCATTTCATTTATCAAAACATTGCCTGGTGATTGAGGTATTTATTATAGGTGAAAATGGTAAATGTTTCATTTAAACATGACAACCTACGTCATGTATAAAATGTGTTCAGAATGAATTTAAACAGTTAATGTATATTTAGATGTAAAGATATGCAAAGGATTTTTTGATTGCTTACTATTGGTTTTGCTTTAAATTCTGTATCCCTTTCCAGTAAAAAAATAAGGTTTAAGTAAAAGTGAGACCTGAAGGAGCACGTAGAGTCTCGGGGTTCCTTTTTCTTCTAAAAAACCAGCACAGGAATATTTTGCATATCACATTTGTTGTACTTCAGTGACATACATTTTTTGAAATCAAAGTGGAATATTTGATACTTATAAAGTCCACCGCATTAAACTAATTCATATTTAATATTCATCAATGCAAATAATGCTAAAAAATCCTTTCATATTGTCATTTTTGTATATATTCGTCATACCTAGAACATAATAAACGTACGCGAATGTATGTCTTTATCATCGATGGAACTAAATTTTGCCATTTTCATTAAGAGTGCGTAATTATATAATTATAAATATTTCAAAAGTATATTTTACATGTGACCAGTATTAGTTTTAAAGACTCTTAATTAATAGTGGCAGATCATGATATTTTTTGGATTGACCAAAGAAAAATGTTATGATCTCTCATTTAGCTTAACTGCAGAATCTGATCTTTTAAATTTATCAAAATGCAGTCTGGCATTCTCAGTTATCGATTCAGGAATTTAGGGATGTTTAAATCACTGAACTCCCGCCGAGTGCATTCTTTAATTTGAAGTATGTGGGTAAAGTGCCTGCAGTGTTTAAAATTATTTGTATACACTTTTTGACAGTTGTTTTTTGTAGCCATTGTTATAGTTAAAAAGTTTTTGTTGTTTTGATAGTAAGTAATCCTTCAAGCAACATAATTTGCGGTATATAAATGATGTTTTAGCTGTGTACTTTTAAGGATGCCGATCCGCGCCACGAAAGCGACATGATATAGCGACCCGAGACGCAGCCGGGAAACTAGTGGCACAGATTAGAAAACAACTGAAACTCTCCTGACAGTGCCAAGAACGGCCGCCATTCAGGCGGAGAAAATCTCATGTAAATTATTTCCCCAGTATACCGATAAAAGAGGTTTTAGTGTTCAGCAGCATCAGCCGGTGTTACCGCGTACGATGGCAGCGGCCGCATATATTTTTTTGCAATCTTAAAATGATAATATTTGGCATTTTTACTTTGACTATAAGTTTTCTAATCCAAATTTATTTTGAAGCTTTTTCTTAAATAAATAGTCATCAATACCCCGTCGCCTCTTTTTGAACAAAGATACTCCTTTTCGTTATTAATTCACATAAATTACACCGGAACATATCAAAATATCAAATGATTGTGCCAATTCGCTCTAGTTCATTACTCACATTTTTACTTTGTCTATGAGGTTTTCTAATCCAAATCTCTCGCCTAAACCTTCAACCTCCTTCGTTTCACTATTGTCTGCTTGAAATAAACATGCGCTTATTTCACTTTCTACTGTATTCATGGTTTTTCCATTGAACGTTTCTAAACCTTTGGTGCCATGTCCATAAAGTTGGTCCAGCGTGTTTCTATCGTCTGCAATTGATATAGAATCGAAAAGCAACACGTCACATCATTGGAGGTGCCAGAACTTCATTGCAAAGTTCAAAAACTTCGTTAGAGGTGTCGGAAATCACGGAGGAGACTCTGAACGCCGATGAGCGCATTACTGATGAAGACGTGTCACTTTTTGAGGTGTCCATAATCTCGGAGGAGACTCTGAACACCAATGAAAGCACTACTGAATCGAAAAGTAACATGTCTTTATTCTGCTGCTATCATCAATGCTCAAATTCTCTTCCGGGATTTTTCACACATCTAACGGAGGTTTTGAATTTTGCAATGAAGTTTTGGAACCTTCCAATGATGTGACGGGTCAATTTTCGATTGGATCTCAACTGCAGATGATAAAAACACGCTGGATCAGCTCTGTAAACATTGTGCGAAAGGCTTAGAAACGCTCACATTGAAAAGAGAAATAAGGGCATGTTTGTTAGACAGACAATAGTAAAATCAATGAGGTGATCGGTTTGGCGAGAAGCTGTTTGGATTAGAAAATCGCATAGTCAAAGTGAAAATGTTAGTAAAGGACCAAAGTGAATTGGCACAATCATTTGTACATTTTGTTATATTGTAGTGTAGTTTGTATGAATTAATAATAAAAAATGGTACGTTTGTGTGAAAAGAGGCGACGGAGTATTGATTAAAAAAAATACAACTCCATTTTATAGCAATTTTCTGATTCACCGACACCTTGTATACGTATATAAAATAGATATTGCCTGAAAAAATGTATATCAGGCCCTACAACTTTTTCATACAACTATTTTTCCCAAAATGTCATGGAACAAAGTTAAAAGGGACATTCCACTAATTCCAGCATCAAAATGGTTATGAAGAATTGATAGATAGTAGGTACTGATGACATATAAATTATCTTCTGCTTCCTATTTTCACAATAAATGCATCCCACTGCAAGTTTTTAACTAATCTCTCCGTCTGAAAAACAGTATTTTTTAATAAGAGGGTGATTCTAAACATATCGAAAATATAATAATATGTATAATATCTTTCGCAAATGTGCTTTCCCATGTTAATTATATGAGGCACATAGAATAATAATGGTCAAACTCAGATGTTCCAGTATTATCTTGAATGCATTTATACCATTTTTCAGTGAACTATATTGAATTCAAATCAAGGAGTTAGACTAGCTTTATACTAATAGATCTAGGTAGATTGACACCTTTTATGTGGATGGCGCGAATTTTCAAAAGACTGGATTAAGACCATTATTATTCTATGTGCCTCATAATATGATGAATTACATATATTAACTTATCTTATCCATCCCTTGGGTAATGATTCCTCAGGTAATTTTATGAACAAAAACTTTGCTTATGTCTGCAATGTCATATCTTTGTATAAAAATTTATTGCGCCAGTAGCTCCATGTTAGGCAACTAGATTTGTTTTTAAAAATTGTTATTCGTCAACAGTGGCAAAAGGAGTTACCATTTTGAAGTGTCAATCAAAAACTGTCGAAAGATCAGATGAGAATTTTTACGTAGGAGTGATCAAGCCAGTCGGAAAAAGATCACAGTGAAAAATGTCGGTCGTGTACCATTACTTTGTAAAAGACGCCACTGGTGGCGCAGTAAAACAACTTACACTAAAATATTTCGTTTCATATCCCCTTTAGTATACCAAAACTAAAAATACCGAAGTACTTTCGAAGATATGAAATAAAAAATGTCTCTCAAAATTTTTCACCTTGTAGCCAAAAATTCTCCATAAAATTATTTTGAGGAATCATATTGAGGAAAATTGGCACGTCATTAAGGAAAATTCTGAGACTTGAGTAAATCAGAACCCCCTAGGGTACATCACAGAGGTGGACATGACACACTTTAGTTGCAAGTTGCATTTTTATATTGTAGTCATGCGGAATTGAATACTTATTTCTTTGTGATGTTTCCGAAATCAAAAATGACATTTTGACTCTTGCTAATATGCCATCTTTTAATTCATTATTACAATACGTTACGATAATAACTGGAAGTGCCGGAATTTGTATTTATTATTTTTAGTATCGAAATTCAATATCAAGCAGAGATACAAGTTTATACAGAATTTTTATTTTATTTTTCATGATTTACAAAGCTTTAGTTTTTGTTTTATATGTCGTATATTTTAGCTGTCTTATGTATTACTTAACGTCTAGATTTTAAGAATTTGTTCTTTGTTCTTCATTGTTCTTGTAATAAATGGTAGTTTGTTAATAGCCTGTTTTAATTTATTCGTACACCTAATACACGTACAGAGTCAAACGTTAAACCTAGCGCATGGTCGCTATAGCCTGGTGGAATTAGCTTCGCAAGTTTGTTGCCAAATAGTTCGAACGACAGTAGTCGACGACGTCGAACGGATTGACGAAAATAGTCCAGTGAAACTAGGTTCGCAAGTTTATTTGGCGAATAGCTCGAACCGGTGAAACCAACAACGCAAGTTCATTGTCAGTTCCAACGGGAGTAGTTGATGACGTTCGATTGAATAACGAAAATATTTTTTTATACCGAAGCAGCCGCGCAGGCAGAAGCGACACTGCTTCCAAAGAAATTTTGTTAATCTGATTTTTGAACTGCCTGAGGTTAGTAGAACGGGGAAAAGCTTCCTATTGTAGATTGTTCCACAATCTCGACACCCTCGGGACAAAGGAGCGGTCGTATCGGCGAGTTCTGGATGTACGGAGTTCGACACGGTTAGGATGGGAGGCCAAAGACAGGCGGGTCTGTCTGACAGGCACATCGCGAGGTGGCATCATGGAATCTCTTCCTGCGGAGCAAAGCCCGTTGGTGTAGCGGTAGAAGAGAGCTAGATCCCCGACGGCCCGCCGGTGCGAAAGGGTTCCGAGACTGTCTGTTAGAGAAGAGTCGTCGATCAGTCCGATAGCCCTCCTCTGGACAGCATCGAGCATAAATACTGTTGTCGGGGCGGCAGCACCCCCCCACCAAGTGTGAGCTATACTCGAGGCTTAGGCCTTATCTGGCCTTGTACACAGAGAGAAGGTCATGCGGAGAAAAGTACTTCTTAGCCCTGAAGAAATGGCCTAGCTTTATCAAGTCCTTGGTGATCTGGACCCCGACCAGCCGAAGTTTGGCAGAACTCGGCATCCATCGAAACGGGATGAGCGCTAGGTCGGTTTTTGTTCGTCGATTTACAGTACTTTGTTTCGGAAACATCAAACTGTACAAGATTGTTGCGTCCTCAAGCAGTGATAACCTCCAGGTCTCTGGTCAGAGAGGAAGTCGTCGCTAGTCTTCTTTTTTCCAGCTCAACGGCAGAGATTGGCTTGTCACTCTGAATTCTTGCATGTAGAGTGCTGTGATCAGCAAAGCTGTGGATTGGGTTGATCGTACAGGAAAGGAGGTCGTTGATATGTAAGAGGAACAGTGTCGGAGCCAAGACGATGCCTAGGAAACACCCGCGTTGACGTTATGGGATGAAGAGGAGAACCCATCAATTACGACGGATATCTTGCGGCCAGAGAGAAAGTCAGCGACCCAAAGCTTTTCTGGGAGGCCATACAATGAAAGTTTGCCTAGGATTTATGCACCTCTCCATCACCTTACTTACAACAGAAAGCAGCGATATACGCCAGTAGTTGTAAGAGTCGGTCTTAGATCCTTTTTTTGGGATGGTCTGGACATGAGCTAATTTCCAGTTATCTGGAAAGGTGCCCGATAGTCCGGTGAAACTAGTTTTGCAAGTTTATTTGGCGAACAGCTCGAACGAGAGTTGACGACGTAGAATGGAATAACAAAAAAAGCTCGGTAAAACCAACAACGCAATTTTATTGGCAAACAATTCGAACGAGAGAAGTTGATGAAGTTGGGCGAAATAATGAAAATAGTCGGGTGAAACTAGTTTTGCAAGTTTATTTGACGAACAGCTCGAAGGAGAGTCGTCGACGACGTTGGATGGAATAACGAAAGTAGTCCGGTGAAACTAGTTCTGCAAGTTTATTTGGCGAACAGCTCGAACGAGTGTTGACGTAGGATGGAATAACGAAAAAAGCCCGGTGAAGCTAACAACGCAAATTTATTGCCAAACAGTTCGAACGGGAGTAGTTGATGACGTTGGACGAAATAACGAAAATAGTCCGGTGAAAGTAGTTTTGGCAGCTTATTTTTTCAGCTCGAACGATAGTCGTCGACGACGTTGGATAGAATAACGAAAACAGTTCGGTAAAACTAGTTATGCAAGTTTGACGAACAGCTCCAACGAGAGTCGTCGACGACGTTGGATGGAATAACGAAAATAGCCCGGTGAAACTAGTTTTGCAAGTTTATTTGGCGAAAAGCTCGAACGGGAGTTGACGACGTTGGATGGAATAAAGAAAGTAGGCCGGTGAAACCAACAACGCAAGTTTATTGCTAAACAGTTCGAACGAGAGTAGTCGATGACGTTTGGACGGAATAACGAAAATAGTCCGGTGAAACTAGCTTTGAAAGTTTATTTGGCGAACAGCTCGAACGAGAGTTGACGACGTAGAATGGAATAACCAAGAAAGCCCGGTGAAACCAACAACGCAAGTTTATCGCCAAACAATTCGAACGAGAGAAGTTGATGACGTTGGACGAAATAATGAAAATAGTCCGGTGAAACTAGTTTTGCAAGTTTATTTGACGAACAGCGCGAACGAGAGTCGTCGACGACGTTGGATGGATTAACGAAAATAGCTCGGTGAAATTAACAACGCAAGTTTATTGACTAACAAGAAGAACACATCTCATCTAAAAACTAGGCTATTTATTTAGGGCTAAGAAGTACTTTTCTCCACACGACTTCTTTACTCAGATAATACCTAGCCTTGAGTACTGCTCACATGCATTGGGTGCTGTCAACTACATTATCCATGCTCGATGCTATTCAGAGGAGGGCTGTCCGGCTTATCGATGACTCTTCACTAACGGACAGTCTCGGAATCCTTCGCACCGACGGGCCTCCCATGACAACTGTGTCGAACTTTGTTCATCCAGAATTGGTCGATACGACCACTCTCTTGAGTCTAAGATATCGAGAATGTGTAACAATCTACCTGAGGAGGCATTTCCCAGTTTTACTAACCTTAGGTAGTTCAAAAATCTGTTTAACAAAGTTTCTTTAAGCTCCTCATAGCAGCCGCGGTACCCTGGTATTTAAGCCTCTGCTAGCGCGGCTGCTTAGGTATAAAAAACATTTCGAATGAGAGTAGTCGATCTTACCGGATAGAGTAACAAAAAGTTACCTTCACCGGACTATGATGTTGAAAATTACTAGCATAATAATCAGTAAAGTGATAAAACAGAACATTCTTTTTTATTACCATATTTTATATAACAGTATATTTACTTACAAGATATGTCTTGATAATACAAATATCACAATTTCATACTATAAAAAAGTATGTTAACTCATAAAATCCTGGGACGCTAGATCATGATTTTCTATAGTCTACAAAATGCTAGAGTATATCAACCTTATATCGCTACATATAATTAAATTTATTATTGAATAAATGAGCGTATTTAGGAAATGATAGCGCAATATGTCAGCGACCAGATAAAATATAACCATCAATTTCATGTAGTTGAGTCCTGAATACATTCACTCTCCGATTGGCAGTTTATCTATAAAATCACACATAACAATATACATAAATGAGACACCAGGTAAGGGTGCAAAGAAATATATGAAAAAACGATAAGGTGCATATAAAAATAAATATTCACTAAAACAAATTACAAGAGATAAATTTTGTCCATATTATCTTCTGTTCCAGTTTGCAAAGCTTTAGGTAATGGAATAAAAAAATATGGTATTTGAAAAAACGATACGGTACTGTATAAAAATAAATAATCACTAAAACAAATTACAAGAGACAAAATTGAGAATGACATAACAATATGTAATTATTAATCTGCTCAAATGGAAATATATTTGTTCATATTATTTTCTGTTCCTCTTTGCAAAGTTTTGCCTCAATAGTTTTATTCTGAACGAGAAGCCTAAAACTGTTTCACGAAATTTAGTTATTGCTTTATATTCTATATTTCATTTTCAAGTGAAAGATTTGGAATATTTTCGAATTTCTGATACATTTTTGGATGCTTTTGCTGAAGCCTGATGCATGGCTGTGGAGAAACTAAAATGACGCATTTGTTAAGTATAACTACAGCTCTGGTTTTGCTTTAAAAGGCTCAGTAAATAATCCTTTTTTATGAAACGCAAAATATATTTTGGAAGTACGAAAAATTTGGGCTAAGAATCGATGACATGAGTTTTGAGTCATAACGATAAAATTAAAAATATGTCTTTTTCTCGAGTTGTGCAAGCGTTATATTGCAGTTGCTCTTAATGTTCTAGAATGGATCATCTTCTGGAGCATTCATATTTACACGTCTTACATACGATAGTAAAATCATAGCTTTTTGCTTTTGCAGGATCTATAATTTACTCTCAATCATGTTATTCTCGTCGTGCTCAAACGCAGCATTACTCTGTCCATTCTCAGTCTTCTGTGCGCTTTTTCTTCGGTACACTTTATTGCTTAACTTACTGTTTCCAGCAAAATGCTCCGTTATCTCATAAAGAGACTTTCCTTCAGTCTCTGGCAAGAAAAAGTACAAAAGTATGGTCCCTACGAGTGCCACAGAGCCATACAACCAAAACACACCTGGCAACGTAATATGAGTGACTAAACTAGGAAAAGTTTTGTTAGCCAGAAAATTGAAGAGATAACCAATACCTCCTGAAAGCCCAGAAGCGGTAGCTCTTACTTCGTTGGGATACACCTCCCCTGTAAGCACCCAGGGCAATATGCGTATTCCAAGATACGAAAAGAATGATGATAAAATCAAGAACACAACTGGGATCCATTGACTGCTTCCCATTTCCACAGAAGTAAGAGCAGTCGCATCTTTTGGACCAAAGTCATCGATGTATCTGATATCAATACTGTAAATATAAGTAGCAACAATGACGAAGCATATACCGCACCCTAGGAGTGAAATGAAGTTTAAAATTCGTTTTCCTATAACGTGGATGATGATAACAGATATCACGCATCCCAGCAACTGTACAACACCAATAATGACCGTTGCATAGTATCTGTCAATGGGCGCCTTAACAGCAGAAAATATTTTGATTCCATACGTCTGAAGGGGTTGGTTACCACTGAAACTACCTAGACCGAACGCTAAAGATACGATAAAATAAGGACAGAGGAATGTCTTCTTCGCAAGGTTGTGTAGCAGTTGTATCCTACTCGGTTCCTCCTCGCTTTCCTTCTGCTTCAACTGTCTGTAGAGCTCTTGGAACTCAGGTTCGATGTTTGCGGGAGTCGTCCATCCTCTTAGCCATGCTATGCTCTTTTTGGCCTCCTCGTATTTGTTGTTGCTAAGAAGAAAGATTGGCGTTTCCGGGACAAATGTCAGCAAAATGAAAGACAGTATTGGCATCGAGCAGTTCACTAAGCTGACTGTGCGCCAAGACATGAAAGTACCCAGCAAGAATTCGCCGAGGATTCCCAGTGAGACGGCTGCAGTGCTTGTTGAAGAAAGTATACCCCTTAGGTGAGGCTGAGTGACTTCAGCTACGTAAGTGAGGACCTGGAAAGAATGTCGTCATTAAGGCTTTTGGAAAAAAAAGTTGCGTGTTACTAATTATTTTATGAATGAAACCTCGAGAAGGCTAATCCCAAGAATACCAGCATGTCACGATTTATAGCCAGTATACAGAAATATAAAGAAAGCAAACATTGTTACGGGAACGCTTGTCGTGATATTCCATAGGATTTCCCAAAATACAGGCCAAGATTTGAATTGAATAGAAAACATAGTTTTCTTTAATTATTTCTACATTGAATGATAAATATTAAACAGGATAGCATTCTGTATAGAATACCAATGACTGCACAGTAGGGAAATGGTTCTCGGCCTTGCTGACACATAGGCACACTTTTGCCGAAATTTTATTACGTGTATTTTTTGGAACAAAAGTGCCTTCAATAATTTCAGAATATTATCTTTAAATATAGTCATAGGCACATTCAATTCTAAAAAACTGCCAACACGATAAATATTCCCATACAGATCTTAAGGTTGTTTCTGACTGACAAAAATAGTCAAGGAGGTGAATTACTGGCGACTGATAAGCCGAGCCGGCGGGTGTCGCGGTGGGCGCGTGTCTTAACAATGGCGATTCAACGTCGTGGGTTACTTTCCGGCTTAAAAAACACGCATTCCAACAAATAATTATTCCTAATACACGCCCCCCCTCCTTCACTCCTTATGATACTGCGTAACATTTTCTGATTACGACCTCTTTCGCGGCAGCTGCCTAGAACTGGGAAGTACTTGTCGCCATCTAACTCTGGACGAAGTCCAAATGACAAAAATAGACTTGAGAGCGATAACATAATGTCGATACCTACGTCGAGCGCAAAGAAAATAGGAGATAGCCGCTGCAGCTCGGGGGTTACTCATCAGAATTCTGATCGCAACGTTGCCCTGTCAAGTGGGTGGGACTACGGTCTAATATAATAGATCTATTTGATTGACTCGATCTATTTAACTCCTCTGTTATATATCGTTGGTCTTCTCACGAAATGTCCTAACCAACATTCAGTAAATTTTACAGGAGAGCAAGAAAACGAAGTCATCGTGTTGTTGAATGAGCATTGTATGTAAAGTTTAGATATTTCTGAATTGAAAATTTCAGTGTATCTGCCCATACTCATTGTCGATCATACGCTGTTTCAATATTGTGGTAGCTTATCAAGTTATTTTGGAAAAAATTGGATAACGCACGTAGGAACTTCGTGAGAATTTTCAGAAGCTTTTTGTCAGAGCTAAAATATATTTTTATTAAGGTTCTTGTTATTATACTTTTTCAAGATATACAGATTTTATTTCATTTACAAGCAAATAATCATATTTCCAGCCAAGGGGGGATTATCTCAGAAAATTTGATGATTGTTTAATTTTCTAAGTAATCGTTGGTCTGCTGATAGCAGAGTTTATGTAAAAAAGCTCAGATCGACTTTTTAATTTTGGCTACCCCTACAAAATTTCCCTGAATGTCCATGCCTAAAATTGATGTACGAGTTGATTAGCTAATGCTGACATATTATGATACACAAAAAATCAAAGGCAAAATTATTCATAATTCATTTCGTTTCATGGGGCAAATTCATGAAAACATGAAAAAGTTTTGGAATTCTGGTAAGCGTACAACGGCTGTTGGATTTTCATATAACGAAATTAAGTAGGAGTACTTCTTTTTTGTTATTTTTACTGGTTCCTTATTACGTTCTTCTAATTTAATATCATTTATATTATTACTATTTCTCATCAGACTTTTCAACTCAATACTGTCATATAAAGTATCGTGGTCGCTAGACTTAAAAGATATTTTGGTGGGCATGTCTTTTCTTACCATAAACTCCATATTACCCGTCCATATAATATTTTGCCCTTTCTCAGTTTGCAGTGTGGACAACATTCTGAAATCTTTTGAAAGTTTCTTGAAGTCAAAAAATTTAATGGAATTATTAAATAAAGTTTACGTCTTCTGGCCAATCGAGAAACCGGATAGAGTTGTGATTATCCAAAAAGATCTCCAGCAGTATGAATTGCACTGTGGGGGGAGTCACTCTCACTTTGGCCATGATTCGACCACCGCGGACAAGGATTATTGCACACTAGGATGCATACATTTTCATTTAGGTCTCTTCGTGGCCTCTAAATGGTGTGTTGCCTACCCTAATAGATATATAGCTAAGCCTTTTCGTCAGATTAACTGGCATGGAACAACACCTATATGCGGGTTATCTCAATTTTTGGTATTTTGTCAGTTAGGACAGCATTGCGTGACAAGTGCAGAGCCAACCCACTTGACGCCATTCTTTATGTAGCAGTCGCAGCATCTGCTGCTCAAATGTCTTCGTTTCGCCGAGTTGAAATGGTTTATCATCCGTTTGAAGGAAATGTTTCAAGTTTCAATTGCACATAACGATAACTTACCGGGGCTTCAAGTAATCCTCCAGTGAATCCAGTCATACTAAGTGACAAGAAAATGTGCCATGGTCTAGTGGAGTAGTGGAATATGAGAAAAGCTGCTATAAACGGTATAGTAACCAGCTGCATGGTGAGCTTTCGACCAAGATTGTGAGTGATTGGTCCCGAGAAGATGCATCCAAGTGGTACCAGTATTAAGTTCAAGGAACCTAAAAATATCTCTGTTAAATAAATTGTATACGATACGTTTTTTGTGGATGATAAATAATGAAAACCTGATAAAAGCGATGCAATTTTGGAATGCGGCTCATATGTGGTTATATTTTTATGCGCTGTTTTCGATGCAACTGATAGTAACATGTATAACATTGGGATTAGACTTTCTTGAAAATGTTACATTTTTGTAGAAGTCTATCTGTTGTTTTTGAAATCAACTTAAATAATATGTAATTAGGATTTGTTAGTATATCTATCCCACAAGGATTTTTTTTCGAAAAACTTTTTTGTGATATTTTTGCTTTGAAGAGATCTGAAAAGATTCAGTACGTACAATGTATAATAGTATCAAATACATACTAAACGTCCAATCTTTGGGAGTGACTATACACTTACTGGAATTTTAGAGACAATATAAACTTCGTCCAATAAAGACGTTTTATTATTATACTGAACTATCAAATCAGAGAAGGAATTTTTTTGTTTTATACTTATATGTTTACAAAAGATTGTCTATTTTTATGTATCTTCTTATCAAAGTATTCAAAACAAGACATTGTAAGTGTAGTTACTTATGTAGAAAAAAGTCGACAAAACTACTGAAATCTGGCAAAATGTCGAGAAAGAGTTGTTAAAATTTCTACACCCTTGGATCTCCCATTGCCCCAAATATCAATGTTGCTGAAAAGATCATTAAGGAAAATAATTTGCTGCCTCCACGGTTCTTTCAATTTCTGTAGTTTACGCATAATAATAGCCTCCATATACTTGTAATTTGAGAAGTGACGTACAACAGAATTTTTTAATCGTGTAATAATTTCCTGTAGGTGTGGTATAATAGTGGATCATCGGTGATTATCTTAAAAGTAGGTCGGAAATGCGTATTACATATTAGCATGGAAAAATTTATATAAGCTTCGCAAAAAGATACTGTGTTATGTAACAGCAAAAGATAGACGACAAATACAGAGTGGAGTCATCCATAGTAACGATCAAGCAAATATTTATAATCTAGAGCTACAATAGCTCAGTGGAACTATTTTATAACATTTTAGCCCATTAAACTCATTATCCAAACGAAGTTCATATCAAAGTTATTCAACAAAGAAACACGTCACGCTAGGGTTGCCTATCGCCACCTTGCCACAGATGTGTTTCATTTACGTTCAAATATAAATTTATTGACATAATTTTGACTGCTGTTGCAACCAAATAATACATATCGAAATAAGACAACACAAAGTGCCATCTATCGACCACGGCTAGAGTGAAAACAGCAAGCTGTCTGTTGGAATTGTATGACACCACTGTGTGGTTTAGGCTTGGTCTCAGGTACGATAACGAACGAAAGCTGAGCAACTATCCTTTATTCAGAGTATAAGTGTTATCAAAATAAAACAGCACAAAGTGCGATGGCACCAGTTACCAGAATCGACCACTGCGAGGGTGAAAACAGCAAGATAACTGTTGGAACTGTTACCCAGTTCGCATGAAAATGGCCACCTGGACAACTCTGCAGGCGATAGTACAATGCCGTCCATAAAATACAATTTACCATCGTCTAGACGTACTTACTTGTTGGTCATTTGCAGCATGCTGTTAAAGTCAATCCTAGATTAAAATCGTTATCATCAACGAACTTTGATAGAATTTGCATTTGAATGGTAAAAAGGGTAGACAAGGTATTATGAGACATGGATCTATAACAATTCAAATATCCTCGAATTGGAAAACGGAAAACTATGCCAAAGGTTGTTTGGTATTTCCGAGATTTGCCAATACTTCTTCCGAAGTCTTCGACAAAAAAGCTTTGAAAAGAAAGGGTGGACCACCCTGTATAATGTTCACAATTACCGCAGTTCCAATCCACTAATTTCTGCTTATAATTCTACGCGTAAATGTATCAAGGTATTCCTAACTCTCTACGCTAATTTCTACTCCAAGGCACGCAATGTAAAAACCCATCATCAATGTCATTTGAGCAAGATGCCTAGGGCGTTGAAGAATTACATAACTATGGATACATATATAGAATGAGTTTTTAGTGTGCTAAAGTTATTTACAAAAATTGTATTTAACTGTGTTACGCTCCTTTTTGTGAAAAATACCACTCTCTGCAGGGTGATACACAACTGCGTGGCAACACAAGTTTGATAGCATACAATAGGGCTTGTATCATTACTTTTGGAGCTACGGGATATTTTGTCCGAAATATCGCTCAACTTTGATAGCTTATCAGTCAGCTACTTTTTGCAGATAGAGTTACAAGCTTTTCGTAGAAATCAGCTTCTTATCTCATTGTTTATTATATACTAAGTGACATATAAATCCGAACACCCAGTTTAAATGGTTTTATTTTAATAAAATTTAATGAAACATAATAAGTAAATGATAAAAATTTCAAAATGATTGCACTGCTTTAAAGCCCTTTGACCTTTAATAATGTGTGGATGCACCCTGATGTGCTACGCATTCTCCAAAGCGCCTAGGCATGCTTCTGATCAGGTGGTCAATGTCCTCCTGTGGTATCTCATTCCAGGCAACCACCAACTCCTCTCGAAGTGCTTCTAGAGTCTGAGGAGGACGTTGCAAATTGAGCAATCTCCTACCCATCATATCCCACACGTGCTCAATTGGGGATAAGTCGGAAGATCTTGGTGGCCATGGTAACAATGTGACATCATTATGTTGAAAGAAGTCTATTGTGACTCTTGCAACATGTGGTCGGGCATTATCTTGTTGGAAAGTTGGATCTGCCAGGGTGTCAAGATAGAGTAAAAGATGGGGTTCTAGAACTTCGTGGATATAACGCTGCGCGTTCATGTTACCTCTGATGAAGATTAAAGGTGACCTGGAACCATAAGCTATAGCACCCCAAACCATAACTCCAACAGTGTGATGAACATGTCTTTCAACAAAAACTGTGGATTCCTCCTTTCACCACGTCGCCTTCTAACCCTGGCACGACCATCGTGCATGCCCAAACAAAATCGTCACTAAAGACAATACTGTTCCATTCCTGATCCCAGAGTGACCGTTGTCTGCACCACTCAAGGCAATTACGTCGGTGTTCTCGAGTTAAAGGGAGGACCCAGTGTTTCCGGTATGAAAACAAGCCAAAACTTCTCATTCGTCGGTAAACACTTCGCATGCCAGTAGGTCTTCCGTGTTCTGCAAACCATTCATTTGCAATGGACCTGGTAGTGGAGAAACGGCCAATAATCTTAGGCGGCGATCTTCACGGTCTGTTGTTCTACGGCGGCGTCCAGTGCCCCTTGCTCTTTGCGTACGGCCTTCTCGAAGCCATACCTGACAACACCTAACCACAGTGTCTACACTTCTTTGCACTCTAACTGCAATTGCCCGAAAAGAAAGTCCAGCTTCCCGAAGTCCCACTATACGGCCCCTATCAAACTCACTAAGTTGACGAAATCGTACAGGTCTCCGTACTCTAGGCATCGTAACCGATCGTAAAGGATGTCAAGAACCAAAATCCGCCAACGTTGATTCTTTACTGCGGCTGAAATATTCATTTTTAGAGCGTTAGTCAATTAAAAAAAAGCAGTATAAAAACCGGAATGTCCAACTGATAAGGCTGAAAATTTTTTCACTTGTTATTTACGGTAAGATAAATACATTCACCAACTTTTATTAAAATAAAACCATTTAAACTGGGTGTTCGGATTTATATGTCACTTAGTATAGTTAAGAAATATTTATAAACGCAAAATGTACTTATTCTCAAATACTTCAAATGCCATTTTTATGGTTTTGGGTTATTTTCTTTATACCATGATTTGGTATAAAATTTTCGAGAAATTGAGTTTTGAGCTATTTATAGTTTCCTAGAAATTACAATCCAAAATAAATTAATACCATATCATTCGTGGAAGGGGAAGATTTTCAGTCGATGGATAAAAGCCTTCATTGGAATTACCCGCCTTTACACGTTGCCTTGTAGTATTTTGAATTGTAACTTCTGGGAAACTTCAACAACTCGAATGTTAGTGATTTTACCCCACAAAAAATTTTCACCACAATGAAGTTTATAAAAAAGATAAATCGAAACTGAAAATATAAAGGGCATTTCATTTGATGTTTTTTTTTTAAGAAAAAGTATTTTTTGTGGTATGGTATTTATATGAGATACGAAGCTCATTTTGACGAAGAGTTTGTTACTGTACATATTTGCAAAAATGCCTGATTTACAATCTGTCAATGACGACTTTTTTCGAACAAAATATCCGGCTCAGCTATTATGTAAAAAACCTATAAAACGTCAAACAAAAAACAATAAAATGTCATCTTGCAGACTATGTAGTTAATAACTTAAGAAATACATATTTATGTTGTCACGTAGGTAGATAAAAATCACTCTGTATAGAGGGGGATATTTTCCAAGTAAGGAGCGTATAGATGAATAAAAAATTTTAACTATCTATATTTCATGTTTCACTGTGAGCTAAACTAGATGAAAAGGTCGTGATAAGGAGAAATGAAAGGTCAAACTGCATTTTCGTATGAATTATAGTAATCATGCCAAAAAGAATAAAAAACGAGACGCCATTACGTCAAATGTCTATTTTTTAGAAAGTACTCACCAATCCATGAGATCTCTTCTACTCCCATAGTGATTTCTTCATTAGGATCATCTCCAGATAGACTTGGGATTAAAATTGTAGGGAAACCCAAAGTCAAGCCGTAAGAAGCCAGCAGTACATTCTTGACACATACTGCAAGGATTTGGGGTAGGGCCTGCCGGAATGCAGAAGTTTCTACAGCTGGAGATGATATGCTGTAAGAAAATATACTCAGTCACAGAGAAAATATAACACCCAGTAAAAAAGATTCCACTTGAATTAAATTTTGCATAGTTAAACAAAAGCAAGACGAAATACTGATTGAATTTTGAAGAGAAAATATTTGCTGTATCACTGAATTTTCTTAACAATGTGTTGGGTCAGCCCAATCAATGCCGTATACACCCGCCAGTCATCGAGCCATGCTTCTGATGATGTGATTTATGTCGTTTTCACGTATATAATTCCAAGACAGCGGTAGTTCCAAAAAGCTGTTAGCGTTTGAGGAGGATGAGGTAAAAAGGTCACTTTTCTTTCCGTCATATCCTACACATGTTGAATGGGCGATATGTCTCGAGATCGATGAGACCAGGGAAGAATGCTGACTCGAGAGTTACTGAAGTAGCTCTAGTTGGCAATGTGGAGCATAAATATATGTCCAAAACCCCGTGATAGTCCATAACTTTTTTAGTTTTTTATTGAAGCGCCAAAATAAGAGAAAGGTGATGTATTTTATTAAATTCTATATTCATGCGCCTCTATCATTTATACTGCTTCAAAAACCGAAATTCAAAATTTCATCTGCTAGATGCTGAGCGAAACGAACTAGTTGTCTAGCTGTAAGACTATGTACTGAAATTCATAAGCTTCCCACAAGAAGAAGATAACTTAATTTGAGTAAAATGTGTGATATTCCTGTTGATAATTCCAGTATAAACAAGTGTAGATACGAGTAATCAAAAAAAAATCAAAAAAATTGAAAAAATCCAACTCACGAAATTACGACCAGTTATTTTTTTATATCCCTCAATTTGGGATACTCCCGAAATAACTAACATTTTTATTGATTCATATTTTTTATGCAAACAGTATGTTGCAAAAGATAAAATATCCATGTATTGAAAAAGGCATTGCGTTTCTTTTGGGCATATTTCCAACAATCCTTTTTCAACTAGACTATGAAGTGAGATTCAGTTTGTATAAGTCAAGGAAAATTTGAGTATGTGTACAAAGTATAGTCTTCTGTTTTTGTACTACAGTTATTGAGTACATGATACTAAATGACCAATAAACATCTTCTCATAACTCAGAACATTAAGGATTTGTATATTTCAAAACCAATATCACGAAATAAGGGACACGCTTTTTTTTGTTGTTTAGCTAAATTCGTATTGAAGATTCTTGATAATTATGAGCATTTTATCATGTTACAATCGAATCAGATCAATAATGAGGAGTTTTTAAACAAAAATAGGTATTACTGTATCCCTTGTCGTTGCTACCTTTCGTTTTAGATTATGAATGCGAAGACGTTGTTATATAATAGGGACCCCGATACCACTCATACAAGAGGCGTTTATTCTGTGCCAGATATGTAATATGTTTCTATATCAACTATTTATGAGATACAAATTTACATTTATAATATTCCAAGTACAAAGATTGACAATCAATACAAAAATACAGTTTTCCTTTCTGCTGTTAATATAGTAGTATATTGATTTAAAGATGTTATAGAATGTAACTTTCGTTTGGAATTATTGTTTTGAGGGATTTCATATTCAGCCCAGCATGAGTGCCTACATTTATTTTTTATTTTTTTATGTGATATCACGTCTCTTTGATGAAAATTCACTTTTTCATAAAAACCACAAGGGCCCTCCAAGCGTTTTGTTGACATTGAGTGAAATATGGCGAGTAAAAATATATCGTCAAGAAACAATAAACATTGAATCTACAGGGTGTTAGGTAAATAATATTCGTAACTTTAAGAGGTGATTCCTTGGATTATTCTAAGCAAAAAACTTCATTACTATATAACCTATGTCAAAAAATCAACCGTTTCGGAGCAAAAAAAATGCTGAACTTTTTTTAGACATGAAATAAATTAATTTTGCACCTTAATAATTTAAACTGATATGCCTAATAGCGTAAAATGTATCAATACATCTATTTATTAATTAACTGTCTCTAAAAAAATAATTTTATTGCTTATTAAATACAATTTTCCGAAGAAAAACAGACAAACATCGCATCGTTTCAAATAAGTGACTGATTATCGTGGGAATTGGTGGTGTGTATCGCCACATACCGGTAGGTTCTGTCATTTGTTTTAAGTAACTGTACTGAAAGCGTTATTAAATAAATAATATTAGCCAGAAAGTTTCGTAAAAGTATTCAATAATTCAAGGCATATTTTCAACAAAAATATCATACAAACGTAAGCAATTCGATGAATCAGTTGCGGTCGTCGTGCGCTCGTATCGCGGTTGCGTTGCAGCTTTGCCAAATGTTTGAGAAAATTTAATTATGTACTTACGACTCACTTTCCTCGAAAACGATTGATTTTCGGACCTAAGTTATAATGAACTTTTTTGCTTAGAATAATGCTCTTAAAGTTACGAATACATACATTTTATTAAAATGGCAACTTGTTATTACCATTCAGATTTGCGGAATCACGGAATTGAGTATGCCATTTTTTCGTCCAGAAATTTGGTCTCTGCTGACGTGGTTTCATGAACGACCGCAAGGGGGAGTGGCGCTTCTACGAAGATTGGGAAACTTTCCTGCGGGCGCCCATACGTGTTTTTCTCATTCGAATTCATGTAAATTTTCGGCGATGCGTCTGTAAAGGCTAAAGCGCTATTGCGATTTTTATAAAAAACCGAATTTCTCTAAAAATTTCATACTTCATATAAGTGTATCTTATAAGAATCACCCAATCAATCACCATTTAATGTTTGGCCAGGTACGAATGCCTTATCAACATCTTGTATAGTTTTCCTTTTTTCATGCCTGAGAGAGCCTTTTAGATTTGACGGACTTGATATATTTAATTTATCTGTTATACTTGTTCGTACATGCTGTTTTCGACGGTTCATCCAAAGAGCCAACCACAGACAGATGTTTCGTGCTATATCCAGGTCTATGGCGCTGTCTTATTTTTATACGGTCTTACTTGTGTTATAATCCTATAAAAACTGATGGCGGCGTTTTTTGGGACGGACAGAGCCAACCTGATAGTGTGATAATCGCTAAGTAACCTGTCATTAATGATAAAAAATTACATGTTACTGACTGCTTATACTTATAGAACACGTTATCTTACTGAGATTGTCAACAGTAGGTTACAATTTTCCAGTTCACTTATCGACTGTTAAAATCCTTATTGTCGAAAGCATAATAATTGATTATTAATAGGGAATTATCGCTCTCGCTAAACTGTTTTTGACAATATAAGTATTCTTCCACTGTTGGTGTTAAGCCAGAATATCCAGAAAAAATGAGTTTGCTTGCGATGACATCGTGTAGCATCCAATAAACTTATTTGTAGGTTCAATGGACCAAGAAGACCTGCGTCCTAGACCGAGGTTCACGCAGACCAGCCACAAACAGGAATATCTCGATATTTTTTTTGTTACAACGGTATTTCGCGAATGTAAAACTTTTCTCTCATATTGGCGCGAAAGCAAGTAACGAGTAACAACATGTTTGAAGTAGAAAAATTCTTTTTGAATTCTCAAACACCTTGTAACAGTTTTTGGCAATATTTCCTATAATTGGGAAAAAATTAGTTGGAAATAGTATTCTTTCGATCTAGGTTTATAAATTCTGCAACGAAGTAATCTTCGTCATAGATTATAAAAAAATGTAGCTGTCATTGATATCATTTTGGAAGAACCTGTATAAATAATGTATAACTAAAAAATAATACCTGAAATTGTGGAAAACTCCCTTCTGAAGTCTTAGCAATTTTACATGAAATATTTAGAGCTAATTTTTAAACTTGTAAAATCAGCAGGATCCGCATTTTGGAGATGCGGGATCCCCCAGGTTAATAAGTGGAAGGGAATCCCGAGAATGCGAGATCCCGTTTTGAGGGATTGCAATCCCTATTAAGGATCCACAATGCACATTACATTACCGAAATTGCAAGTAATTATCAGGTAATTTTTACGCTGTTTGAAACTGGACGTGGCCAGGACCTCTTTTCTGGTGACTACTCAAATTGTATAAAAATATTTGGTTTAATATAGATCTAGATTGATAAAATATCGTTTATAAATAATATAATAATCTTGTCATTGATCCAAAAAGAAAACGATAATCTGTCGTTTTCAAATATAGTAAACACGGAAAATTTATGTTATTGATTAATATTCGATCTAATAAATATTGAATGTTCTTTCCACATCGACACCTTATACCCAATTACTTGATGTTGTCATATTTCAAATCAAGAAAAAAGCTGTTATCAGAGATTTTTCATCATTTAATTTTAATACAAAGATAAAGCCTCCTATCAGTCTAGCTATACATTGGACGCACCGTTTCGAAATTTGCTTAAAGAACTCTATTTTCAGACGTATTGAATCAATTGATTCAAGGCCAGTAGAAAGATGAAATAAATATGTGGTACTACTTGGCAGCGTTTAAGATTTTTTCATTCATTTTGACACGAAATATCCCAAATATGGATTATAATATTTGTGCGTTTTTGTACATTGAGTTGCATATATCTCGACAACTAATCATCAAAATGCTATGCTATGTTATACCAATCTTATTCATTTATTTTTAATCTACAATGAAATAGTGGACTACCTGTTTTAAAATAAAAGAGTTGACTCTGCATTTCCAACGCAATGCTGTCATCAGTTCATGAATGATTATATATTCGACCCTTTGAGCTAGCTAGAACATGTTCATATAACAAAATATTAAATTGGTCAAGTCAGCCAAACAGGTCCATATACAATAAGTACATATGCCATACTCTTCATCCATTTGATAACACTAACGCTAATTTCTTCCTTGCCCTAAGTATCGACCATCTGGCAACGATGTTGGATCACACCAGTCAAACACGTCTTAAACGATACTATATCAACCCCGCGCCCTGTCTGCAGTTCGGCAGGTTATAGGGGCAAATGTACGGGGAAATCTTTGATGTGTGAAGTATGTACTGACAGGTGCATAAATTACTGGCTCTGGAAGCGTATAAATATACTGACGCCAACAAAATGAGTTATACCTTCCCTTGCCCCCTACAACCCTCAACCACAGGATTTCAACTCATAGAAAGTCTTCTGAAAGTGGTCAGGAGCCGCTGAATCCTCTAAAAACAAAGTTTGAGAGATTTTCATTTTTTTGGTTCTTTTGCCCCTAGCTCCGCCGCTACTGAACCGATTTTCAAAAACTCTAAAGCTTTTTCGTCCTTGGCACAGTAGTAACCTTGTTTCAAAATTTGATCCAAATTCGAGCGGTACTTTCCAAGTTATAAGCGGTCCAAAGATTAGCGGACAGACCGACAGACAGACAGACAGACAGACAGATGAAAATGAGTGATATGATTTTTCATGATGTACATGTCATATAACTCCAAAAAACAATCGAAATTTTTCACTAGTAGGCGTGGGAAGTAAAAATGACAACTATAGACTTTTTTTTTATAAAATGTTTTCGTATATAGATATCAGAAATATTCTGCTAAGATAATAATATTGATATAACATACTATAGCGTATTGATGCTTAGTTGATGAATTATAAGCGATTCAACGTATGAAAACGCTCACATTTGATAGCTTGTCAATCCGCCATTTTGAAAGATAGTGATTGCATTCTAGGATTATAAAGTACTCATAAGGCGCTTCAAAATAACGTATAACATGATGCTTCATTCCAAGATAGTATCCGGCCGTCATCTTGACATTTCAAGCTGTCACTTTTACATCAATATACAGGATGTTTCAAATTCGACCCTTACTATTGGGATCTCGGAAACTGTAAGAGGTACGAAGTCGCTTAAATGGGGGGAAAGTTGAGTATATAGGTAATCAACAAAATGCCGCTTAGAAAGTTTCAAAATACAAAGTATTTCCGGAGACGAATTTTCCCAAAATCGTTTCAATTATTTTTTATTTGTAGTGGGATTTCAAAATAATTTATATACTAACATTGCCACTTTTTCTCCTCTACAAGATGACATAATTGATATTTCAATATGACGATTCATCTCTTATCCTTCAGCATCATCTTTATCTTGTAAACGCCGTGTTGAATTTTTGCAAAGCGGAACAGAGTTTTCAATTCTAATTCCAAAAATTTATAATACGTCATACATTGACATTTCCAAACCTTAGTTATTCCAGAAAAGCAGAAGTTCCTAGGTAGTCTTTGAAATTTTCATTTTTCATTTGTTTCGTATATCAGACCAGACCTCAAATTGAACATAGCAACAGAGTTTGGAAGACTGCGAAGGACCAGGCTTTGCCTACAAAAAAAACGGACATCTTGTACCTCTGCTCATTTATGATTATTATTGTTATTACCATCAATACATTTTTCATTTTGTGTTCAGGTTTCACCACTACTCATAACTATATTTATTCTGATTTTGATCCAACAAGCAAATACATCACTGAATTTAGGACTGAAAAGTCCATTTAAATGTACAAAATCCCAATATAGCGTCCAATGGAAAAACAAAGTTGTTGGTGGAAGTCGAAAGAAAAAAGTTCGAATTGAAAATTTGACACGCTATCTCGTAGAGGAGAATAAGTAACTTCGATAACATGCAATTTATTTTGAAATCCCTTCTCAAATAAGGTCAGGAAAACATAAAAGTGAATTTGGGATAAACCTGGTAAGCGAGAGAAATGACTATCTGACAATTTCAAAGCCTGCCTAGGAAATTCTGTTTTTTTTTTTAAATAACTAAGATTTGGCAATGTCAATGTATGACATATTATACAATTTTGGAATCAGGATTAAAAACTCTATTTATTTATGATAAAATCCAATATGGCGTGCTTAAGAAAAAATAAGTGGATGAAGTCAGCAAAAAATTAAAACGTTTCGGGAAAATTCGGTTTTTTTACTTTGCCCTTTGAATTCCGGAATTATTTATGCGGCATTACCTAAATACACAACTTTTCCCCCATTTAAGCGACCTCGTATCTCTTACAGTTTCCGAGATCCCATTGATCAGGGTCGAATTTGAAACACCCTGTATAGTATTCATGAGTTTATTTCGTTTCCCAAATTTCAACATGCCCACTTGACCCATTCAAAAAATAATAATTGGAGGAGGGGCATTTTGAAAACTACTGTATAGAGGTAATTCTTTGCACAATCGTTTTGATTGTTCTGTTAATTTCTTCCTTTTCAACTTTAACTGCACCCTGCTCCTGAGCATTCTCATTTATTTGGCTTTGAGTTTGTTTAAATTATCACCGTCCTCCATTGCTATTTCAACTTTGTAGTCACATTTTAGGCATACTTACTTTCCTCTTGCGACAGTAGAAAAAAGAATTTCAGTTAATCTTGTCGGTAGTAGTTATAAGAAGAATTGAAAACTATCGTCTGAAAATTACTGTAGATGCTGAAATAGATGCAAAATGCTAATTCGTCTTTCTATATCGGTGATATGACCGCAATTCTTTTACAAGGACGCTACCTCGGTGTGAATCTCTGACCAGACCCGGATTAACCAGAGTCACAAGACGCTAGATCCATAAGCGCAGTTAAAGGAAACTTTAGCTGTAGCAAATATCTCCAGGCACTAAAAATCGTCAAGTAGTTTGACTCTGCGCTTCTCAAGCAACGCTATCATTAGTTCATAAAGGATTATGTTGAGCACAAGTTGGCCCCACGAGGAAATAGCTTACTATGAATATGTATGATAAAAGAAATTAGAAGGATCAAGTCAGTCAAACGTTGCGATCTAGAAGTGTTTCCCCTGCCCTACGAATAAGCACGGGAAACTTGTGACGTGTGAAGTATGTCCAATAAGAGCACAGAATTATCAGGGTTGGAAACGTATTAATTTACTAATGACAAAAAGTTGACGTATACCCTCAGCCACCCTCTGCAACCCCCAACCCCCCAATTTTCAGACCCCACAAACATTTTTCCGAAAATGATCAAGCCCCTATGAACTTCAAAAAAACGAAGTTTGAGAGATTTTCATTTTTTCAGCTTTTTAAATAAAAAAAAAAATAAAATATATACCTCCAGCAAAACTTATACAGTGCTTTTCAAAAAGGTCCTCCCCTAGTTTTTTCAAATGGGTCAAGTTAGCAAGTTGAAATTCAGAATGATGGAATCCATGGATGAATATTACATTTTGGCATAAAAAAGGTAGGCGGAAATTCCAAGGCGGCTGGACACCATTTTGCAACATTTTTTATACTTTTATACTTCAGTATATAAATTCACTATCTATCAAAATGGCAAACTGGGAGACTGCCAAAGTAGGGCGTCTTTTATATTGAACCGCTTATAACCCAACAAGCAGTCATCAAAACGCTGTTATATCGATCTCACTTTTTTGATAGAATCTACCCAAATATGAAGTAAAATTTTGAAAAACAGTAAATTTAAATTATACGGTTATAAAATACGCACCCCTACTCCATTTTGAGAAAATGTTTCAAGATGACGCCCAGCCGCCGTCTTGAGACTTTCAACTGCAATTTTCACTCCAAAATATAGTATTTATGCATGAATTTCATCGCCCTGAATTTTTGCTTGCTAAATTGACCCAGAAAAAAAATAAAAGTGGGGGAGGGCGATTTATACGATAAATACAAACAGCCTTAATTTTAGTTAAATTACGGATTTAATTTTTGTAGTCATTGCTAACGGAAGCACCGGCCAATAATTAGAAAATAAAATACCAGAACAGGTGAATTTGTGCTAGTGCTTGACTTGATAGAGGAATTGATAGGTGTATTGGATATTACTTTATCTTTAATCCTGTATTCCGAATAAAAAAAACGAATTCCGATTCGCTGCGATGAGGTCTTTTTTCACAATTTTATATTAAACCTTCGGAAACTGTCTCGTTTGTCCAGCTCTGGATTATGATATGAATGCAATTGGTATGCTTTTTAATCCATGGCGTTGAGTAATGACGGAGCAAATGACAAAGGTTGCAACAATTCATCATTAAACAAATATTTGTGGTGAATATAAAAAGTAAAATGTAGGTAGTGCCTTCTCATTCTTTAGATAAATCATAATACTTGTCCTTCAACGTCAATGCAAACAAAGCAGTGTGAATATCCAACAAAAGCTACAGCAAAAATACGTCAATCGTATACAAAGATATCTAGTACTAACAGTGGTAGTAAAATTCGGCACGTTATTGCTGTATCTACTAATCTTGTAATAAATTATTTAACGTAAAATATAATAACGTATGTATGTCCTAAAAGTTTTGGCACTGGCATTGGTTTTGATTTTAACAAAAATAGAAATATGAAAAAGTATCTACAGTTGGTTGGACGGGTACACAAAGCTGAAATCTGTCGAATATTCCAGAACGAAAAATTTCACGCAGAACCATATACCGGGTGGCGCATCGAAAACGAAACAGACGCATTTACGGGCAGCTCAGTTGTTTCTTGGAAAAACGCTCAGCCCCGTCGATTTTGTTTTCGAGGGGGACACAAGCTTGGCAAAAAATCACGTTAACACGTGTAGCCCACTGGGCGGGGGTGACACCAACCCTAAAATCTTAAATTGAAAGGGGGGTCGAATGACACCTTATTTTAAAGGTCTTTCAATTCCCTTTATAATGATGTAAAATACATGAGCTTCAGTTCAGTAGTTTTGAAGATTTATTGATTTAAAGCTTAAAGTAGTCTTTAATAGGTACATCAGATTAGTTTGTACTACTTTCAGAAGAAATTTGACTAAAAGAATTTACTTAATAAGTAAATGCTTTTCTTCACTACGCCCATGGTTTGTTTATCATTTTGTTGTTGAAAATAGCTATTGGAGCGTTTTTTTGTGTCAAAAAAGTTATTTCTTGAAGAAACAGGATGGTGCCCCACCACATTACGCATTACGTGTTCGACAATATTCAGATCAGACGTTTCTAGATCGATGGATTGATAGAAGAGGTGCCACTGAATGGCCCCCAAGATCGCCAGATTTATCACCTTTGGATTTCTTTATGTGGGGTCATTTAAAAAGCAAAATCTATGCTACTCAGCCAACATCATTAGAAGACCTGCGACAAAGAATTGTGACTGAGTGCCTTCAAATTACTCCTCAAATATTGCAAAATGTGCGGCAACGTTTTGAGCAAAATCTTAATTATTACATGGAGAGTCATGGTGGCCATTTTCAACATTTACTTGCCTAACGGGTCAGTTTATTCTTAATTTTTAAATTACTTTGCTGCCAAATGTATTGATCTCCACTAATAATGACATATTACTTTTATTAAAGTTTTAAATCAATAAATCTTCAAAACTACTGAACTGAAGTACATTAATTTATCATTATAAAGGGAATTGAAAGACCTTTAAAATAAGGTGTCACTCGACCCCCCTTTCCAGTTAAGATTTTGGGGGTGGTGTCACCCCCGCTTAGGGGACTGCACGTGCTAACGTGATTTTTTGAAAAACTTGTGTCTCCCTCGAAAACAAAATCGACGGGTCTGAGTGTTTTTAAAAAAAAACTGAGCTGCCAGCAAATGCGTCTGTTTCGTTTTCGATGCGCCACCCTGTATGTCGAACAATAGAGGAGTGCGAGCATGTCTGAATCTCCCAAAAAGTGGAAGACCACGTGCATTTACTGCACAAAAATCTGAAAGATTGGTGAGAAGAGCAAAAAATCAGGTTGGAATGTCACCAAGGAGACTGGCTTGTTAATACAGATATTCTAAACTACGATATCGTTGGAATTGAGGAGGAATGGTCTTAGTACCCCGATTACTCTCAAGCGCAACTTCGTATGCCAAGATGCTGTCTGTCGTCAACTGAGCCGGGTACACTTTACCGATGGAAAAATCATTTTAGATGACGAAAAGTATTTTACTTTGAGTAATTCTGAAATGAAGGGAAACGACGGACTTTATTAGAGTGTATTCCGATCTTTTGTGGGACATAATTCGATAGTATGGTTTAGTTAAATTTTGAGTTGTTATTTATGATAACCATAATTATTTAAATAAATTTCTTCATTAGAAAAATATACGATAAATATTTTGTGCCAAAACTTTTAGGACATACGTTATTTCAAATTCAAATATATTTAAATTCTAGGGAAACTAGTAACATCCTCCCTTTAATTAGAATGATATATTAAAATATGGGTTTCAAGCCGTACAGAATTTTTTTTATCCACTTACTTTTCAAAAATAAAGCAGCTCGGTCTCTGTATCTTTATATATTCATCAGGAATGTTCAGAAAATAGCAAAACATGATAAAACAGAGTCTGAGGACACATTTGCACACTTTTAATTAACCCAAATTTATTTATTCAGACCGGTTCGGCTTGATATTTACATGCAAAGCATTTCTAACCTTTATTCATGTTTTTAATATAAACAAATAACAGTTCCGGATACAACTTTCCCAAATATCACGCTACTGCATGATGAAATTGTCCGAAAAATATATTATACCTATATTTAAGGAAAAAAAACTCGTGGAGTAAACAGAATCAATACTTCACAGAATACTAGCTGCATATATAGGGTGTAAAGTTAGTAGTGGATCAATGGAAGTCAGGTGATAGAGGGCCTCAAAACCTATCGAATGAATCCCTATACGTGTGGCCCGAAATTTTATAGTTCAGGAGATATTTGCAATTTTTTGAAATAAATTACAACTAAACCATTAGGTTTAAGGCTTTTATTTTTTTGAGCTAAATGGGTAGTTATAGCAATGGTTATGTCACATTTTAACAGAGCTTATTAGAAATCAACGCAAATAATCTTAAATTCATTTTTTTGGGAAAAATCTCTTCCATCCCTCAACTTTGGAAGGCAGTAACAAACATGAGGTTGTATTTCAATATTCATGTTATTGTAAATACTATTTCAATCAATGTAGAATAAACCCTGAAAATTTCAGCTTGCTACGATATGTGCCTCACCTTAAAAAATCTGTATGTTTGACGCAGGTAGGTATCTATCTATACATGTAAACAAGAAATTCTATTTTACGAGATACAGTCCTAACGAGTTGATGGATTTTGACATATGACGTACTTTTAGATTCGTCCTAGTAGTGCGAGTTATACTGTGTGTATTAACATATTGTAAAATCAAAATGGCGGATTTTTTACACAAATAGCCAAATCAGCTTCGGTCAGACCGAAATCACTAAGTCAGGCAATGGTCCAGCGCGGAATCTGTATATAATTGGCATCTGAGTGGAATCATGTCATATTCTACATGCATCTTTACCATGTAAAAAAGTACAAGAATTGCTTTCAAACGACTGTGCACAACGGGCTGAATTTTGTAAGAATATGTTGAGAAGGTGCGAAGATGATACATTTTTTTCGACAGCATCATGGTCAGATGAATCCAACTTTAACCGAAATGGATTATCCAACATTCAATTTATGGAGCGTGGAAAATCCACACGCTATTCGCCGATACGCGACACTTGTCCCGTGTCAGCATCAGCGCTCTCCTATTGTGAAGATATGCTTTCTTTTTAAATTGTAGGAAATTTCAGGCTGATAAAACATGATCTAACTCAAAAGCAAGCACAATTTGATGCAAATAGATGTTTGTGAGATAACCTCAAAATAGAGCGCTGACAGTGACAAGTAGAAAACTAAGACAATCAAGGAGGCCATAAAGGCGCGGTATCGTCAGTCGTCCCTACAATTGTAGGGCGCCTTTATGGCCTCCTTGATTGTCATAGTTTTCTACTTCTCCGCGTCAGCGCTCTATTTTGAGGTTATGTCACAAACATTAATTTGCATCAAATTGTGCTTGGTTTTGAGTTATATCATGTTTTATCAGCCTGATTTTTTTTACAATTTAAAAGGAAAACAAACCTTCACAATAGGAGAGTGCTGACGCTGACATGGGACAAGTGTAATCTAGAAATTTTTGAAGGAGAGAAAGGAGGATGTTTGTGACATAACCTCAAAATAGAGTTCTGACACGGAGAAGCAGAAAACTATGACAATCAAGGAGGCCATAAAGGCGCACTACAATTGTAGGGACGACTGACGATACGGGCCTAAAGGACAATTTTATTAGGTGTCGCTTGTGTATAGAAAATAATGGAGGTCATTTCGAACATATTCTTTAAAAATTAATTAAACCATCTCCCACATTTATCGGCAAATCGCCATAAAGTGCGGCTGAACACAATAGGTTCTGTACTTGTAGGTGGTAATGATTCTATTGCGTTTCTTACGTTTATCATACTCATCGAAGACAGTTGAAATTTTTAGGATTTATTCTAAATGGATTGAAATAGTTTTTACAATAAAATGAATAATAAAATACAACCTCAATTTTTTTTACCGCCCTCCAAAGTTGAGGGTTGGAAGAGATTTTTCACAAAAAAATGAACTTAAGATTTTTGCGTTGATTTCTAATAAGCTCTGTTAAAATAGGACATAACCATTTCTAAAACTAACCATTTAGTTCATCTCAGAAAAAAATCACAGCCCTAAATCTAATGGTTTGGTTGTAATTGCGATTGAAAGGTCATTATCGCGTTTTTTTTTCGAAATTTCACAAAATTGCAAACATCAGAACTCTAAAATTTCGGACCACACATATAGGGGTTGATTCGATAGATTTTGAGGCCCTCAATCACCTGACGTCCGTTGATCCACTACTAATTTTACACCCTGTATATTCAGCTAGTATTCTGTGAAGTATTGATTCTGTTTACTCCAAGAGACTTTTTTTAATAATATATTTTTTTGGACAATTTCTTCACGCAGTAGCGTGATATTTGGGAAAGTTGTATCCGGAACTGTTGTTTATATTAAAAACATGAATAACGGTTATAAATGCTTTGCATGTAAGTATCAAGCTGAACTAGTCTGAATAAATAAATTTTGTTGGTCTGGAGAGGTAATACTTCTTCAGAATTTTTGATGTTCCAAGGTTTCAGGTGAGATATATATCATTAATAAACAATAATAGTTAAAAAGCATGTATAGGGATCTCAGTTCTGATTGGAAAGTTACAAGTGTATAGTCCGAGAAGACTAAGGACGCACGTTCATTGAGGAGAAGCAAATAGAAGAGAAGATATGTGGAATTCTTTTGCAGGGTTCTTTTATAGACAATCAAATGAGAGCGCGAATCCTCTCATGTTTGACGTATAATAATAATATGCCACGGAGATGACACCAACAAACTCTTTTTCTTTGAATTAAGGATTCAATTCACTGAACTAAAGCGGCAGATGCTTACTCCTGAGATGGAAACCACATGAACTTATTAACAAAGATAAATGATAAAATTGATATACTCTAACTTATCACTATGCAGTAGGCAATGACATATGTATTGCGCTCATAATAATCGCCCTAATTCGATAAACAATCATTAATGTTCAATAATCAAAACAACATAATAACCAAAACCATTATTTTTCTTACAGAACACCGAGCCCAGGAGCGCTTCGATAAAATGCTACAAATTCAAATACCAGTCATAAATTGATAACTACACAACTCCCATTCAAGTGCAGTTTTTACTACTAAAAAACTAACAACATGGGGTGAATAAACTAGTTCATTTAGGCGGAAAGAGTTCATACCGCAAACAATGCGTCTATTCAGCACCGGTATAAACTTGTTTGAAAAATTGTTTCTTATTACGATCCAGCAATCATGACACCGCTTTAAGAGATCTAGTGATCATTGATATATTGTAAACAAAACGTACTTGAAATAAAAATTTGTCTGTCTGTCTGGCTGTCGATCTACCTTTAAATAGGAAAGTATCGCTCGTGTTTTGATGGCCAGACGAGGTTACTACTATCCCAAGGACGAAAAAACTGTAGTTTCTTAAATCGGTGCAGTGGTGGCGGAGTAAAGGGCAAAAAAATAGAAAATAAAAATCGCACAAACTTCGTTTTTGACGTTTCAGAGGCTCCAGATAATTTTTAGAGAAATTTCATTATATTCTCTTTTATTCCAACCCCGGTAATTATAGGCACATTTCACTTGCCATACGCCACGTGGTTGTAAGGATTGCATTTTTGAAAGTCGATGCGAGTAACTTATAAAGGCAGGTAGCAGACGGCGTGACGCCGCGATGTGCATATACGAGGTGCTCATTGCGGCAATCTGAGGATTTTTTCATGAACAGCCCAAATAGTATACTAATGGTTCAGACAAAACCTAAGTATTTATGATGCCACAGCACTACATGGAACATTGTACTAGAAGTTGTTTCGAAGGGGGAAGTATAGAGTCAATCTACTTGACTCCATTTTTTAAGTATGCAGTTTTTTTCAGAAACTTTGGAGTACTAGATACTACTAGCACTGCTAAACTCCGATTATATGTCTGTATCTAATCCAGTTATTGAAAGTTTGTTTACACAACAGACCTTGCCGAGATCTCTGCTGGTTTTGATTGATAGCGAACTGAACCCGAATGAATCAAAAAGAAAACCAACTGCAAAATGAAATTTTGAATTTTTTAATTACTTACTCTTTGATCACCATTCTTAGCTCCTATTTTTCAACGCGATGAAGAACTTTCACTTGTTACCATGAAGAACCAGCTCCATGTTCATCAAGATCAATAGTTAATCAACATTCGATGACCTGACATCAAAAGAAGCCTTGCATAGCTCAATCACTGTGCAAACTCGGGGGTCCGAACATCCATCAATGCATATTATTTTCGCAATGCTATGAATGAAAGTATAACAGTTAATGTTTAGATTTTGTCACCCGGCAGCGATTTTCATTTGTTTAGTACTAGTCGATGGAGAACTGCGTGGTCCGTGCTGCACGGCCGGCAATCTAGCTCTCCCACCAGTACGATGTTTACCGTATGAGATCGTACTACTACACTTAAGAACTACTTTGTTGCAGTTACCTTCGTTACACTTTAGCAGTGTCCAATCACTATTTCGGTTGGTTTCACAGCACAGGCGACAGTGGAAGTACCTTAAAAAATGCGATCAAGCAGATGGACTGAATAGTTCCAATGCCTTGATATTCAGGGCAGACTGGAACTTAGTCGATTTAGGGAATTTTATTGACACCAAATAGACCAACTGACGACTGGTTTTTAACACAACCTTCGGTCGAAGTCGAATAATAAATAATGTACGCTTGTGTCTCCTGATCGTCCTTCTAAGTAGAAATTATAAGTTGAAATTATATAAAACGTAAGAGTAGTTTGATGAGTATGAATAGTTAAACGTTAGTTAAATCATTCAGGTTAAAATATTACAAAACTCTAGAGACTTGATATCCCGGTAACAAATTAATACCAAGTCAGTTGAAGTATATCAGAGAAAAACAGCAAGTTTTAGAATTTTGATTGTTTTCGCTGATAAACCGAAGATTCCTGAAATCATACAATCGAGGGTTCTGATAACGAAATCAAATTGGCATTGTTTACACAGGTAAAACAGAAATCAAAATAAGCTACACGTTCACAGAGTTACACTGGAAACTCAATTGGCTGGTATGATTTAACGTTTAAAATGTAAAGTAATTGTTGCGTGAAACATCCAAGTTCAAGTCAGCCTTAAAAACAAAGTAAGTATGACTCTCACATAATAGTAGGGGAGTCGAAGAGGCCAAAAGGGGACTTACTCGAACGTAATAGGGACCTATTGCGGTTCGAAGATTAGATTGCAGAGACGAAAAAAGATTATTTAGTGGTGGGGGAGTGTTTACAGGTTGTCAGAAATGTAAAAAAAATAATTCTATAGAAATACTGGAACGCATCAGATACTAATACTGTATATGCCCCACGTGTTTTTGATGTTCATAATATCATAATCTACCGGTTTGTACCGGGTGGGCCATTAATTAAGGAGACCAGCTGTGTAGGCACCGGCAACGGCTAAACCTAGAGCTATCGGTTAAAAAAATTATAACGTGTCGGAGAGAAAATGCTGGCAATTATACTAAGTGACATATAAATCCGAACACCCAGTTTAAATGGTTTTATTTTAATAAAAGTTGGTGAATATATTTATCTTACTGTAAATAACAAGTGAAAAAATTTTCAGCCGTATCAGTTAGACATTCCGGTTTTTATACTGCTTTTTTTAATTCACTAACGCTCTAAAAATGAATATTTCAGCCGCAGTAAAGAATCAACGTTGGCGGATTTTGGTTCTTGTCATCCTTTACGATCGGTTACGATGCCTAGAGTACGGAGACATGTACGATTTCGTCAACTTAGTGAGTTTGATAGGGGCCGTATAGTGGGTCTTCGGGAAGCTGGACTTTCTTTTCGGGCAATTGCAGTTAGAGTGCAAAGAAGTGTAGACACTGTGGTTAGGTGTTGTCAGGCATGGCTTCGAGAAGGCAGTACGCCAAGAGCAAGGGGCACTGGACGCCGCCGTAGAACAACAGACCGTGAAGATCGCCGCCTAAGATTATTGGCCTTAAGGAACCGTTTCTCCACTACCAGGTCCATTGCAAATGAATGGTTTGCAGAACACGGAAGACCTATTGGCATGCGAAGTGTTTACCGACGAATGAGAAGTTTTGGCCTGTTTTCATACCGGCCACACTGGGTCCTCCCTTTAACTCGAGAACACCGACGTAATCGCCTTGAGTGGTGCAGACAACGGTCACTCTGAGATCAGGAATGGAACAGTATTGTCTATAGTGACGAGTCTCGATTTTGTTTAGGCATGCACGATGGTCATGCCAGGGTTAGAAGGCGACGTGGTGAAAGGAGGAATCCACAGTTTTTTGTTGAAAGACATTTTCATCACACTGTTGGAGTTATGGTTTGGGGTCTTATAGCTTATGGTTCCAGGTCACCTTTAATCTTCATCAGAGGTAACATGAACGCGCAGCGTTATATCCACGAAGTTCTAGAACCCCATCTTTTACCCTATCTTGACACCCTGGCAGATCCAACTTTCCAACAAGATAATGCCCGACCACATGTTGCAAGAGTCACAATAGACTTCTTTCAACATAATGATGTCACATTGTCACCATGGCCACCAAGATCTCCCGACTTATCCCCAATTGAGCACGTGTGGGATATGATGGGTAGGAGATTGCTCAATTTGCAACGTCCTCCTCAGACTCTAGAAGCACTTCGAGAGGAGTTGGTGGTTGCCTGGAATGAGATACCACAGGAGGACATTGACTACCTGATCAGAAGCATGCCTAGGCGCGTTGGAGAATGCGTAACACATCAGGGTGCATCCACACATTACTAAAGGTCAAAGGGCTTTAAAGCAGTGCAATCATTTTGAAATTTTGATCATTTACTTATTATGCTTCATTAAGTACTTATACAAAATTTTATTAAAATAAAACCATTCAAACTGGGTGTTCGGATTTATATGTCACTTAGTATATTTTCAGCTTCCTAAAATGACCGATGCGAGGCGTAACTCCAACTACAAAATTAAAAATGCCGTATATATATCGTTTTGAAATATTCCTGTTTTGCAACCTTTTTTATTACCATTTTTTCGTTCGTCGATCGCTTGAGGAGGAGGAATTTTTCACGGTCGTGTCAGACAAAGTAGTGTAACTTCTGATTGGAGTTCGATTTTCATGGTATTGGTGTCATTCAAAAGGAATTCAATGCGTGCTTCTAGCTAATGTTAAGTCTTGTTAGTTCAGCTTGTTTTTCACCTGTTAGGTGAATGACAAAGCGACGTTAATGTAGATTTTTTCCAAAACTTCAAATAAAATGCTGTTGTTATTTTTCATTACTTACTAAGTGCATTGTAAAATCATACAAGCTAAGGTAAACCGCATGTCGCTATCTTAATTCTTTATAAAGTTATGACACACTCTTCTAATCGCGCGCGCAAATTCTGAAACACTCTCTTGCAGTTTAAGCTCCTCCAGTATTCGTGGATTATTGGAATACACTTTTGACTTTAGATAACCCCACAAAAAATAATCGCATGGCATGAGGTCGGGTGACCTAGGAAGCCAGTGGATGTCTCCAAAGTTCGATATAACTTTTTGAGGAAAGAATGCTTTCACCGTGTCCATCGATCTTCTGGAAGTATGTACAGTGGCCCCATCCTGTTGAAACCATGTGTTTCAGTTAAATCGACGTTCTGATCTTCCAATAGGAGCAAACAAGTGTCAATCATGTCCTTTTATCGCTCGGAATTGACTATCAATGCATGACCGTTTTCATCTCCAAAGAAATACGGCCCAATTGTTGGTGGCCAATATCTGCAATTTTGCTTATTCACATAACCGTCAAAGTGAAAATGGGCCTCGTCACCGAAAACAACGTTCTCGAGTCTGCGCTGCGTAGGAAAAAGATTCAACAACCGTTCAGCAGAAGATTTCCGTAATACGTAATCACCTTCCTTTAAAGCATGGACTGATTGGATTTTATAAGGATGAAAACCCATATTTTTCTTCATTATGCCATGCCTAGGGATTCCCAAAGCAGCGGAATGCTTCCGTACAGACCGATGAGGATTTGCAATGACCGAATCACTTACACGACGCACATTTTCTTCGGTTCATACAGTAGGAGAGGGCCAGGAATTTATTGACTAAGAGTTGAGCCTGTTTCACAGAACCTCTGAATCCACTTTTTCAATAAATTCTTACTTGGAGCATCTCTAGGTCAGCTAATCTAGTATCGTGTACAGAATTCCCGAAGGGCAGCTGCGTATGAATCACCACTCTTAAAGTAAGCCTCGATAGCAAAAGGCTCCGGTCCAACGTTCCATTGTGACTATTTAACCCGCACGCCGAACGCGTCGATCAAGACCTCTCCCCACTTCCTCGCGTATACGGTTGCCACGTAATTCAATTTTGAAATGTGATCTTTCCCACTTTACACCCTGTACAATGCTAAATACTCATAGTAACTATTTCTTATCTTTATATGATATTTATAAGTTAAGTAAATATATGTCCAGAAATGATCTACTGACAGATGGCAATTCATCTGATCTTAACGACCTGGAACTGGTTAATGGAATGGGCATTGTTTCGTCGTCAGTGACGAAATAAGTTCTTGAATTTATCACTAGTCTCAAAATTGAACCAAATATAAGCATATCATCACGAATACTGTTAACGTTGACCATCATCATTACTTCTGGAGAACGGAGTTTCTCAAAATAAAAATTGGAAAAAATACTTAAGATCAATGCAATAACAAAATCGTCGATGGACTTGCAATGTTAGCAATTGAGCACGAATGTGCTGAAATAAAAATGATAAAAAATCATTTTATTTTTCTCAGTTTCTTAATAATAGTAGTCACGTTAGTCTTCCTTTCTTAGCTGAGTATAGCCATGTTTAACCTTCAAAGATATCTGTTTATTACAAGTCTTATCTTGAAGACAAAATTAGATTCTTTATTTTCTGAATGTTAAATTGCTGAAATATTTAGTTTTAGTTTTTGATAAATTTTGTTTCTGCTCATGTATTTTAAATCTGATGGAATTTTTTATTTATGTTGGTTTAGTTTTTGATGAATTTTCTTTGTTTTATGTATATTATAACTGCGGAAGTTAATAAATACTGTTTTTCTTCATTAGAATTTTTTGTAGTTTCCGTGAAGTTCCAAATTCATAAGCCACCTAACCCCGTTGAAATCAAAACATTTTTGATGGAGGGCGCTGAATTTTTCAGTTTTGCCCGGGGCGCCGATATGTTTAGGGCCGGCGCTGCCTAGTTGTTGCCAGCAAAGAGTCTGGTCAAAGAACCACTTGTCATACTAATAGCCCTCAACACCGTTTGAAAGGTATTTCAACTGCTTCTAAGCTCAATGACTATGGCTACGTGCAAGTTCACTCATTCAGTTTACGGAATTCCTGCAAAACTTCTGATATTTCTGAACCTTTCCTTTCTAAGAAGCATTCGGCC